CTTTTAAGCATAGCTCTTCTCCAGCCTTCGGCATAAACCTGTCAAGCTGTTCACGATCTCCGCAGTCTCGGTGACGGATAGGCGGAGGCGCGCATCAAGGCTGCAGTTGCTACTACCAAACTGGCTTCCCTCTCCGTTCAAATCTTCATCTAATCTTTGACGGCAATTCGGCATGCTTCTTCACGCTAAATCATGATAGACAGCTTACCATTCACAACATTGTCAATCACACGTGCTAGAGATCAACGCATTGAATTCATCTGCAACGGCCCACTAGACCAATCACCAACAGTAAGCCCTAGCGCGCGAAGCGAGGATCAATTGAGCCCCATATCGAAATGTCAAAAAGCCGTCAAAAGTCCGTCAACATCATGGAGACTTAATATATGGAATCAGAGCTATTTGATGCGTGACTTATACTAGCTAATGCAAGGTGATTCGTATTATCAGATGAATACAAGTCCCCAATAGCATCATGTCCGAAAACAACGTGCCTCTTGCTCTTTGCGATTTCTTCATACAAATTATTTTTTCCGGCGACATCGGATGATGCCCATACAAGGCGAGATTTTCCATTTCCGGAAAGTCTCTAACATCGTGCTTTCGGACATTGGTTCGGAAGCATCCGTGGAAAAATTCCAGCGGCGTGCAAGGACCGGCCTTTCAAGCATGACATGGAGCGTGTTTGCCCCAAAAGCTCTTGGGCAAAACGAAAAGAGAAGGTGAAAAAGGCGGCTTCGTTTATACGGATCGACAGGCCGGGTAGCTGTCCTTCCTATTCGAGCTCGTCGTACGGGTGGGATGGCGTTGATTTCCCGTCGGTGAGAGGCGATAGCGCAGCGTCTTCTTCGTATCTTGTGTCGCGTTGAGAGAAGATATAAAAGCATCGATCGGTATCGCTAAGTCTGATCGATTTCTTGGCATCTCATTTCATCCTTCATCTCAACCTTGCGAAGACCATCTGCCGTCATCATGGGTTTCGCTAAGATCGTTCCTCTTCTGCTGCTCGCCGCCAAAGCTGCTCTGGCAAACACCCCGATTGCCGTCAGCGATTTCACCACGAATGGAGGTCTAGCTGCTGCTATGGCCGCTGCTCCCATGTGGTACATGGCTTCAGGTACCTGCATGCCCTCGGCTGCTGAGGATGGCGAGGGTAACCAGACCAACGGCGTGGATGCGGATAACTGCAACATCAACGCCCTGGCAAATGGCTGCCCTCAACAGCCTCCCTGGCAAGGAGCCAACACGTTTTATGGAAATGTGACTGGAGAACCGTTTTTCACGATACCTACGTACTGGGAGGCAACCTTCTGCAACGGAGACTCCTCTGGCTCAGATCCTTCATACCGCATCATCTACTACGTGTACTTCAAGAAGGACACCGGCCACAAGAGCGACTGGGAAGGCATCGTCGTGAGATTCACCAGCCCGGATGGAGGCAACACTTATACTCGCGAATCAGTCATCATGGAGCAAGGTCCGTCCCATTAACACGTACCTCGATATCGATTCGTCCTCGTCCCATCGCTAATCTTGATATAGATGGTAACCACGTCCACATCAGCTGGTCCGATGTCAACGACACTTTCCAGGGGTAAGTTATCGATCCAGAACCGTGAAATAACGAGTCAGTTGCTAACTTTGTGTTTGTAGCGATGACGACTGGCAGGCGTTTGCTCAGAAGAACCTCGACCACGGCAAGTTCTATTTTGGCAAATTCCACCACTCTGTTCACCAAGACTGGTACACTGCGGCCTTCAAGAACACCTGCCCTCCCCTCTCAGCCGATGACTACCGTAACTCGGACTACCAATTCTGGGCGGCGAACAACCTGCGTCCTGTGTCGGTTCTGAACCCGAACTGGGTCTGGGGCAAGGCCGACTCACCCGCCAACCAGGACATCTGCTCTTACTAGACTGTCATATTTGGCGGAGGTCAAGATATGTGCTCGTTTGGTCTTTGAAGAAGCAAAGTCATGATGTATGAAGGATATGTATGGAAATGTAATTGAGAATGTAAAATAGAGGGATGGTAGATTATCTATACCAGCAGCTTACAAGAGGGGAATTATACCCACCAATTGCATTTTCTATCAAGTTATCTTGGTGATATTAATACTCCGTAACGAGAAAAGAAATGTGACAAAATTCAGGTGCCCTCGTCTCGCTTGCACTCTGTAAGTCCAATTGAATTGCAACCTCACGACGCCTCATCGCAGCGATTTGATCGGAAAGCTAGCCGTTTTGAGCTTTATATGAAGTTGAGCACACGAATTCATCTTTAAGACCCACGATTGGTGGGTAGCTGGCTCGGAAAACTAACCTCTTTAGTAGCGCTCACAAGATTAAGACTCGATTTGGCTATATGTCTATCGAGTCCTGCAGATTGAATCTCCTGCAGATTAAATCGCAGATATGGTTGATTCCTAAAGGGAAATTTCTGCTGACCTCGAAACTAGCCTTTTGTAGTTACGCTCGAAGTGATAGATCTTCATTTGAAGACGGGGTTCAGACAAGTTTTGCATTCCAACGGACAATCGCGAATTCCGTATAGAAGTGGTAGTAATAAGGAGATGAATCAAGCAGTATATATAAGAAGCTCATTTACACGACAGAAATATTTGTCTGTTCTTCAGCGTAGAGAATTCAACAGCATCTCTGACCGAAAGTTTTTACGTTCTCTTCATTACAATGTCCACTGTTCTTGTCACAGGTGGCTCAGGCTACGTAGCCTCTCACTTGATCTTGAAGCTGCTACAAGATGGCTACACCGTCCGAACTACAATTCGAAGCATGTCCAAGGAGCGAAATGTCAGATCAGTGCTACAAAAAGCCGGTGCAGGACAACTGGACCGCCTGTCATTTTATGCCGCCGACTTGACTCAGGATAAAGGCTGGGATGAAGCTATCCAAGGCTGCACCTATGTCCACCACGTCGCATCACCATTTCCCGGAGGGGCACCAAAAGACGAAAACGAGCTGATCATACCGGCAAGGGAGGGAACTCTACGAGTTTTAAAGGCAGCTCGAAACGCTCACGTTAAAAGAGTAGTATTCACATCCTCCTTTGCCACAATCGGATACGGAGGCAAGGATCGACAGGAACCATATACTGAAGAAGACTGGTCCGTGTTGGATGGCCTGCCAGCATATCACAAAAGCAAGACTCTAGCAGAAAAGGCTGCCTGGGAGTTCATTGAGAATGAAGGAGGGGATCTAGAACTCAGTGTCGTCTGCCCAGTTGGCATATTCGGCCCTGTGCTGAGCAACGACATGTCATCGTCCATTACACTCATCACGAAGCTCATGGATGGAAGCATTGGGAAATGCCCTCGGACATACTTCAACATCGTGGACGTCCGCGACTTGGCCGATCTACATATCCGGGCTATGCTTGACCCTGCAGCAAAAGGGGAACGCTTTATTGCCGCCAGTGACGGCAAACCCATGGCACTTTTCGACGTCGCTCAGACCATTTCCAAGGGTCGTCCCGAAAAGGCAAAAAAGGTTCCAACGGGTGAAACGCCTTCATGGGTCGTTCGGATTGCCGGTATATTTAGCCCTACCGCTCGCCAAGTTGTGCCAGTTCTCGACGTTATAAGAGCACTTAAGAATGAAAAGTCAAAGAAAGTTCTCGGTTGGACGCCTAGGACGCCACAGCAGACAATACTTGATACGGTGGACAGCCTGGTTGAGCATGGTATTATATAGTTGGAAATGTTGCCTGGTGATTACGTGAGGAGAACCATTCTTCAGAAAATATATAGTAATAATTTTTTGTATTTCCTTTTGTGTTTTAGAAGTAGTTTTTAATATTTCTCATATCAGAGTATAGAGTTCTGTTTATCCTTGGACTGGTATTTATCTGCCATTATCATGTATTAACTATCAAAGTCACGCGGTATACCATTATTGCAAGTATGTAATCGCAAATTGAGCTATGCTATGTAGAGTGCTGCAATGTCGCTATCGATTAAATCTGTCGAACTAAGCAAAGACTTTCGTCTGCTACTCGTAAAAGCTATGTCCTAAGCATGGTCCCCTGGCCAATATTTTCTCCTAATTCGCGTGGAATTATCCATTGATACATACAAGACTTGCCGAAATTCATTCCTTATCTCCCACCAAACCAAATTCTTCATCCGCCGACTCCTCGCCTTCATCCTCATCTTCAATCTCGCCTTCCATATCCTCGGGATGAACAAACTCGTCAGATTTATACTTGTTCTTTCGAGCTTCAAATTGGACCTTCAGAGCTTTGGCCTATTGCTTCTTCGACTTGTTCGACTTCACAACCATAATATGCCGCTCAAGCCTTTCCTCCATTTTTTTGACGTAAGAGCTGCTCTCTACAAGTGAGCCATGTCTCAAATTCTTCCACGTTGATCTCCTGGCTCATTTCCAACATGGCAACCATGAGATACTCATCGTTTTCCGTCCAGAATTGCTCGCGATCTGTCGTCATCACAAGCTTGGCAAGGGCAGAGCAAGCGTGTCCCAACTTCACAACCATCTGCGTATAGTATTCCATCTTAGGACTGTCGCGATCATAAGTTACAACCCAGGCGCAGCGATTGAAAGGATGGTTCATGTACGCCTTCATTAGCTCGAAAAAGACAACCTCGCAGTGTGCTCCAGAAATCCAGTACGGAAGACTTGCCTCAGCAGACAATTGCCGAGACCATTTGGTAAGAAGCACTCTTTCTTGATGATTATGGAAAGAATTCTTGACCTTCAGGTTGTGTCACTTCACAGCGTTCTTCTGTCCCAAACGATTCAATCGGCCGTGGATTTGCAAAATCGTCTTTGCGTTGAAGTGCATGTTGACCAAAACGCCCTTGCAGCAAGCCGTGTGCAAGTTCATACCTACGCTCATTATGTTTATATTGGCAATAAACACTTGGGCGTCTGAGGTCGGATCACAAAAAAGTCGAACTGCTTCAATCTTCGCATCGGGCTTGTCTGTAGACTTCACAGTCAGCGTGTAAAATCCTGCCATTATCATAGCTGCAAACAAGAGCCTAAAGATACAAGGTTAGTCTGAGCTGAGAGTGGTCGCAAGGAGGTAGAGTTATTCTGGCATAAATGAGAAAATCTCATGGATGCAAGAGTAACATAGAACCGGAAGCTTAATGCTGTTTCTATCGTGTCATACACCACAGTTCGCTCCTTGTCCTGCAAGACGTATTTATGCGCGAGTTCGAGACATCGAGCGAGTATAGGACTGGTTGCGCACAACCAGTTGAGCCATCCACTGCGACCAGTCAGGGCATTCACATCGGGATCCAGGCATGTCCGGGTGAAGAAATAGTCGAGGCCGGCGTTTCGGTCGTATGAGAGTAGCGTCTGGACATGTTTGACGCCGACGGTCGGGCCTCTACCCTTATCGTTGCGGCCACCATGACTCTGCAGCTGCGAGCTAGGCGGAATATTCACATCACGAAAGGCAGTAATGGCACTCTCATCAGTGTTCGCGTCTGCGCCAAAGATCTCCTCGATATTACTGTAAAGGATCTTGGAATTGCGCCAGTCATACGCAATCAACATCCCTTCGCGATATGCCGAGAAGTTAATTGATCTTTCCTGCTGCGAACTGCTGATATTCCCTCGGCTTGCAGTGAAGTTTTCCCCCTGCCCAGGGATAAACGAGTTCGTTGCACAGGTTCTTCCGTGGTCTTGAATGTAGCTCTGGTGCTTTCCGTCGAAGTTAAGCTCCTCCGTAACGATCGTCATGGGGAGAAGGTCAGCGCCAGGGTAACACGGTGTTCCATCTGGGAGCACCAAGCGAGATCTGAGAGCACGCCGCAGTGAAAGAAGGCCGAGAACAGGTGCCACGATATTCTGTCCAAAAGAGCTCGTCCAGTCGGCCCTCGAGCCAGCCGCCTCAACAAAAATTGTGTTCAAATGCCATATCTTGACGCCAGTCCGCTTGTAAAACTCCTCCATCTCGTCCCATGATGTCGTCCGGTATTTTCCCTCGAACTTAGTGGTGAAGATGCCTCGGGTAGAACTGCCATCTTCCTACATGCTCTCTTCGGTTGGCTTGTAGTCGTTTCGCCATAAGCCCTGGATATGTGAAATAGGTTTAGGGAAGACCAAGGTTTTCATCTCCAATCCTTGCTATTATCTTCTACTATCTACGACTACCTGCTACTACTCACTACTGTCTGCTACTGTCTGCTACTGTCTGCTACTGTCTGCTACTGTCTGCTACTGTCTGCTACTGTCTGCTATTACCTACTACTACCTACTACTACCTAATACTATTTACTATTGTCTACTATTGTCTACTACTATCTGCTATAGGCCTCCAGCTGCTTTGGCGTCATGGATATATCGCCTTGGGGTCGCTCCATAAGGGGGGTATGGCTGCAGAGAGGGAGCCAGCTGGCGGCTTCTCTCTTCCAAGGCAAGAACTCAGTCTAGAGGCCGTCCATCTTGGTTTCGAAAATGGCGCAAAAAGGATGTGCAAAGACTGCCTCTACGGCGATAAAGCAAACGCGAGCAGTAAGGACTAAGCCAACAGGGGGAATGGGGGTCCAGCAAAGGAGGCCAAGGTTGGTCATAGTATAGGCATCGTCAAGGGCCGCTTGCACAAAGCGAGGAAGGGCGGTGCCCGGATCATAATTTTGAAGCCTCATGGAAACACCATTCAGGCCATTTGTGCCAGAGCCAATGTATAGCTTTGGGGGGAACCAGGCTTTTCCAAGAGAATTGCATAGACGGCCTAAAGTTTCGGGCCAGGGGGGGCAGTAGCAAGCGAAAAAAGTCGACTGATGGCGGAGAGGAAGAGCGGAGGATCTTAAGAAGAGCCGGCGGAAAGCTCAAAGGTGTGGTGGAGCAGATCTGCTGGAAGAAATCCTAGTCCCCCAGCTTGGTCTTATAAATAGGGCAAATATGCCACTCAGGAGCATCCACAGTGATCGTACACCACGTATACCCATCCATAACCACTTGGAGAGAGACGGCCGTTGGAGACGATACTGTCTGCTACTACTGCTACTGTTTGCTTTTTTTTATTAGCACATTGTTAATTTGTAAAAAGTGATTGACAGGAACCAGCGTGATTCGATCGTTGACGTGATCAAAACGCATCACGGTCGCGTCATGTTGCTCGATGAGGTAACACTCAAGCTTTTGGAGGCACTGGCAGATGCAGGAACCTGGTTCTTGAAACCCGCTTTGGGGCAACGTGATTTGCGATGCGTCCATTCTGCGCCGAGGCGGAAAGGGTTTTACTGGCTTTCGTCTCCAGGTCCCTCTTCTCAAAGCCCTTTACATCCCCCAGGTATCCTCAATAAACTACGGAGAATTACAAAGAAGTTCCCAAACGACGTGCTTACATGTATAGATAAGGACACCCTGCATACATTCTTTGTCTGGCACGACCTTATTCGTACTCCGAATCTAGGCCAGGAAAATAACTGGAAGAGGTCCGGAAGGGAGTAAAGCAGGCCTCAGCAGCATGGACCGTCCCCCTGGAGTACCTGGTGCGATGCATCCTCGCCACATCTGAGGTGGCATGAGGAAATGGGATTCAGCGAATAAATACATTTTTTTTCTGTACGTCGACTACATGTTCGAGCGGACTAAGAGAGACCAGCCTTTTCGACCAACGGTGTTACGGCGGACACTGAGTTAATACTACAAGGGCAGTTATGAGTTGCAGGGAAAGAGGCTTTACTTTTGCCCAGAAATGACCGTACTCCCGCAGACGGCACTTTAGTCGAGTGCAAGCTTGTGAACCCCGTCCTTGCTAAGCAAATTCGCTTATCAAGTGACATATGATCCCACTCGGGCCCGAATGGAATGCGTTCATTATGGTTCTTTTACAGGTGGTTTGACCAATCTTAGAGCTAAAAGATATTAACACTGGTGCCCACGGATGAGATGGAACTTCTCCCCGAGCCTGATTTGGAGATCAATGTGGCGGTCATCATGAACAACCTCAACACCAGATTCAGCTAGGCATTCCTGAACAAAACCTCTTACACTAAGCTTACTAGTAATAAAAATATTATGCTGGAATGTTGCCTTCTTAATCACTGTTGAAAGGCCGTTCACATTGAATGAATGAGTCAACAACATCTTTTTCGTAGCAAATTGCTCAGTCCGTCCAAAATGTACATGTATTCTTTGGGTATCATGCTGCCAAATGTTGAGTGGTAGCTCCCATGAAACAAAATTAAAATGTTGAAATCCCAAGAAAGGTAATCATCAGATCCGTATGCCGCCAAACACCTTGTTGAGAATAGGTGTTGCTGCCTTGTTGAAACTCCTTGCACCGATTAATGCACTCTTTTTATGTTTGCCCACGCTTGCCAAGTTTAAGCTTTTCCATATACATCAACAATCCATTGACAGAATTCTGTCCATCTTTTACCGTAGTCGCTGAGCAAATTCTCCTTTGTCGCTGTATCAACACAGCTATAGGAAATGCTCCATTCGGCTAGAGTCCGCCAACCCATAAGTGACATATTCTCACTACTCATCATCGCTTGATGGAAATCGTGAGATAGCATACTCGCTCTGCATCTGTCAATACTAATTCTCTATTGAAGCACTGATAAGCACTCACTTCCAAGATCCAGGATCATCGCTGTTGACAGTGCAAGGGACACAATTGGCCAGGAGAACGGGCAAGTGGTGCGATTTTGTTGTCGGGACCAACCCCAAGACTTCGTTGGATATGGGGCACGTCTCAATGGCAATCTGCCTCTCCTTGCAAATTTGCATTAGAAGTGGGTGCTTGGTGATACTGAAACCGTGTCCGATGCGCTTCGTATCCAACAGGATAGCATCGTACAAGTTGGAATCCGTTTCTCCCCCGTGATCTAGCGTCTCGCCGGCATGGAATATGAATGGCAGATCGAGATTCAATGCTGTAATTTTAGCACGCATCGCGAGAAGATCAGAAACCCAGTAAGAAAGCGGGTGTCCTGTATCTTCTTGTCCCTGCATATCAAAAGCTAGAAAATGTGTGAGTCTTTTAATAATGAGCCAGTGAGAATCAGGGAAATCTCACCGCAGATGAGGTCTGGGAACAGTTGCTTCATTTCGATGCAGTTATCCATGCACCAAAGCATGGCTTCTCGAGACGAAGATCGCATGCATGCATAAATAACCTTGACACCATAGAATACATGTCCTGCAGCGTGTATCTTTGGGACTTCCTCTTTCAATACCTGCTGGAAAATCTCCAACGCTTCCTTCTGCTTAAGTTCTCGAGTGCCATTATCAGACTTGATGGAAAATCCGTAATTAAGAGCTACTCGAATCTCGGCGTACATGATGCCATCTTGGGCAAATTTCCAGAGCACTCTTCTAAATTGTTCTCTGTAGGCCGTCTCATAGCCGAACATGGATCGGATAACCGTGACCGCCCGAATAAATTGTTGCCAAATGCTAGTAATCTTAGCTTCTCGGGTTATTCTACCACATGTCCCTTGTTTATGCTTACCCGTTAACTGTCTGCTTGGGATGATAGGCATCATCTGGCTGTAAGACCATTCGCTTATAGAGCCACAATTCCGCCTTCTCTGCTCCACCTGGAAACTTGCTTAAGAAATCGGAATATCGCATCCAGGATCCAGCGACATACGCCTTGCTGAACAGGTTGGTGGATTCAGTCAGAGCTATATCTTGGCTGAACACGTCGAATTGAGGCAAAGCATAAGCGAAGAGCCCCTCGGAGACTAATGGAACGTCGCATTTGATGTAGAGATTCGGTTGGTTCCTGGCATCGCTGAGGGCAGTGTCCGGAGGCAGAAGGCAGTCGTAGTGGCAATGCAAAAGACAGCCTTTGGGGGCTTTTATAGCAATATCGAATAGTTTGCTATCCGGAACAAGATCTAAGCCATGGAAAAACCGGTGGCCAGCTTCGTGTCCGGAGCCATCACTCTTGACACCATAGATATTCTTGTCTTCCCATTTTTTGAGGCGCTGAATAATATCTTCAGCTTCCGCCTCTAGAGTTGTCCTTTGGACCAAACCTTCATATCCATGGGCCTTCTCCGCGTTCACAAGCGACTCGCGAGCCTTGAGATATTCATCCAAAGACCCAAATGGCCCGGACTGCTGCAGTGAACTGGCCGGCATTTTCCAATATTCGTGCCAGATGAGGGGTCATTCAGGTGCAAAGTTGCTGTTAAGAAAACAGTTGGAAAGTTCGGCGAGACTAGCCCCCCGGAAATACGTACACAGTGACAGATCTGAACTTCTCGCCGATGTCAATCCGATATATCGATTATTTATTACGGAACTCGGCTCAGTATATATGACTCTTTGAAAGTCTTAGTTTTACCCCGCTATGAACAGTTCAACATGTGCTTATTGGGATTACTGATATGATATACTCGGGATTCTTTTCTTCTATGTATTTTCCTAAGATTTATTTTAATCATGATATTGCTTTCCGTTTAATACAAGAGACAGCAAACATTTGAAATCTGTCACCTTTTGTGATAAAAACTTCTTCAGATCTTAGGTATCGAGAAGTCTCTCACCCGGAGTAAGGTGGGGTGCAACAACGGGAAGAAAAGTGCCGACTCCATTGCAGCTCACTAGCAAGCTTACCGTTCGTACAAATCAAAAGAAACGAAACCAAGAAAGGCTAGCTTTCCGAAGCACATATAGCTTGAATCTTTGAATGATAGCAGGGGTCATTTTTGCTTAGTTCATGATCCGATCGAACTATACATACACATAAATAATTGTAGCAGCAATATGAATACAAGATGAACCTGCTCCGCCGCATCATTCCATCCCCAAAACATTGTTCATTCTTATAGTATCTAGTCAAATCCTTGCTTTTGAGCAGCGGCACCAACTTCAGTTAACCAAGGCTGCCTGATTCTCACATTCAACTCCGCGACAGGTTGGCTGACCTTGTCCTTAGCAGGGCCATCCAACGTTCCCGCTTGGACCAAAGAGACTGGTGCAAACATATCTGCAGTAGCCTGCTTGTAGATTGTCGTGCCGCAGTCGCCACAGAAGAATTTGGTCAAGTCGAATCCATCCTCGTGTTTTTCAGTGTGAGATTTGGGAGATCCAGTCACCTTCAGCTTGTCTCGCGGGACAGGAATATTGGCGGTATTAGTTGTCCCGGATATCTTTTGGCAGGTTAGGCAGTGACACAAAATCTGCATCATGTTCAGTATGCATCTTCAGTTTTCCATTCAGTTGTGAAATCCTACCACGTGCTTAGAGTCCCCTTCGAACTCGTATTTGAGGTTGCCGCACCAGCAGCTGCCTGTCGACATCTTGACTGTCTGGGGGGATTTGTTGTAGAACAGCTGAAATAAGCTGAAATAAACGAATATTCGCTGATGAAATGAATCTCAGAGGTAAGGCTGTTTAAGCTGAAAGGCGAAGGGCAGAAGGTTCATTTATACACAACTTAGACCCATCAATAACGAGCCTAACGATTTCTGATGCCGAGATGATGTAACAACCCCAACAACCCCATTCTCTGTCTAAATTCACACATTGGCTTCCAACACGATAGCTGACAGCTCACAATACGCTTATAATGCGGGGAAAAGCCTAGACGCTTCGACTCTCTAATATTTTACACAGCTTCGCCACCATGTAAACGCCCTTCTCTGCAAGCCACGCAGGTCATGCCACACAATGTTTCAGCTTTGGACTCTTCATCAATTCGCATTTGGTTTGTAATACAATATTATATGTCTTACTCGAGTTTGAGTTTGAACCAAAGGCGCAGTCACCATTATAGTCTTGGATAAGCACTATCTGGCTATGCGCCTAGTTTCCCTATTCTTACTATTTCTGGGAATGTTACCGAATTGCAGAAGTTGGCACCATTGCTACCCTCGCCGGTTCAATAATAGGCAAGCGGGTATCGGAGAAGAAAACAGGGACCACAAGATGAATATTCACGCACAAATCAGCACCAAGAGTACCATTTATGTAAATCGGCTGCTGCTGTTGTGTGCGTATAGCTATTTTGGGTATTTAAAATCCCCGGTTCCCTGCATTGCCGATATCCGCCAGATAGCCTATTTGGAGGCTGAGTTCTTGAAATGGGCAAATGCCGCCACTCCTATGGAATAGACGTGCATCTTTCTAGTGGGGTAGTGAAGGGAAGAGACCTAACAATAGGCTACTAGAGGATGGTGACATATTAATGTTTATTTATTTAATTGTTTCTTCTCTAAATTACACCCGACAGCCAAGTCTCTGCCCTTGTACCATTTTTTTAGTTTTCAATTTTATATCCGCATACGTCTCGTGTTATGAGTCGACTCATGCCCACGAGAAATGTTCGGCGTGAAAATAGACTTGACCGGCTTTCGAACCTGTAATAATGTTTAGGTTTTCCTCGGCGGCAGCATTTCGTACATCGTTCTGCATTGTGGTAGGTCCACAAACATAGACGTTGAGCGATTGCTCAGATTCCAATACCCTGGTTGCCTCCTCGTGGATAATTTGAGGTAGCTGTGGCCGGCCCTGGCACTCCTTTTCTGGCAAAATGGGCTTGTGTCCCTCTTCTGGAATTATTTTATCACCTGCCAATGTGTCGGATTCTTTCGGAGCCGGGTCTTCTATAGCTATATGTGTTGAATTGACATTTTGTGAATCCGCTCCGGTCACATAGACTTGTACGTCAATATGAGATGATGAATCCGTTGCTGAAGATTTTGCTAACAGCTCATTGATGGTACGGAGAAACCATGTGCGGCTATTGAAGTCTCGAGTAACCATGATGACACGCAGCGAGAGAGGTCCAGAACTGGCGCTTTTAGAAACGACTTTGGTTGGAAAATCGCTCTTGTCGTCGGTTGACACGATTTGGCCATGCTCCTCATCTGCTGACATCCAACGCTGCCTGACAAATTGTTCGATGAACGGGAAACACCAGCCTGCGCCCGAGCCGCCTGCAATGACGAGGAGATGTCCACCATCATAATACTGCTGCTCATTGATACCACCGTAGGGACCATCGATGAGTACGGGCACCGAACTTCCAGGCTGTTCAACAGCATGTTGCTGTAACTTAGCAGTGAGGCCGGTTCCCTGACGAATATAAAAGACGAGTTCAGATTGCTCATTCGGCCCCGCCGCAGGCAAAGAGCAGATAGTAAAAGGGTGAGACGAGAGAGTGTGTAGTAGACCAAAGCTTGTAAATCGCAGGAAACAATGCTGCCCTGGTTTCCAGTTGAACTTAACCGGAACTGTGATGCGAATGAAACCATTGTCTTCCACAAGAAGCTGAGCTTTCTGACCAACGCCGTACTCAAAGTAGGTTCGGAGCCAGGGGTAGACGTAACAAGGAACATATACAGCGGCTGTAGCGATGAAATAGTCCCTGTGAATATGTCAATATCTACATCTTTGTATGCTGTGTGGGCAGTAGCTGATTATTCTTACCATGAGCTGAGTCTAAAGCCGCAGTGCCAAAAGAATGTCACCATGAATAGAACGACGGCGAAGAGATGCGTCATCTTGAAGAATTCATAACCGAGATTTCTGAGCTTTAGATTAGCCACATTCTTTGGCATTTATGGCTTCTAGATTGCAACCCACCGGATTGTGCTATGAGACGCAAAGGTGAGCCATGCTTGAAAGACTAACGCAACGATGCCGGTCCAGTAAAATACAAGATTGGACGAAAGGTGATGGTGTATGTCATGAAATCTGATGTGGTATACAATGAATGGGAATGTGTGCATGAGCGCAAGGATAAAAAAGGCATAAGAAATCCATCTGTGGAAGACCTGGAGTCTCTCGTACGAAACTGCCGTCAACAGTGTGATCCAATTCGTCTTGCTTGCGGTCGCGCTGGATACTGTTAGTGTTTTTCAAGCTTTATCGCTCTGAATTGACGTACAAGATGAATGGCATGCATGCCAGACTCAGCCATCCAGATCTGGTTGCCAGGGCAGGCGAATTGCCATATATCTTGCTTGACCAATAGTAAGGCTGTGGAATCAAGTCCATACCTAACCAAACGATCAGGTTCCATCATAACATCAGTTTATTTTCGACTTACCGAAGAAGAAGATGGTCCCAACAAGTCCCAAGAGAAGAATTCCAACCGGGGCTGAGTTCCATTTTAACGACTTGACGTGAAAACCACGATAAGAGAGATATCGAACAACAGCAATTAATTTCTGCCATAATAGGGGCCCTCGGGATCGTCGATAGCCAAGGGTTCCCGATATGAAATGGCCAATAATGAAAATGCCGATGGCGCACATAAAAAATGCAATTGTTGGCAGGGCAAAAACATGGTCGGCGATGTACCTGACGGGAAATGGGTCAGTTGAATACTGCCAACGATGATTCCAGATCGTCATACCAATAGTGCCAGCGTTGCTTATACCAGGCGCATTGTTCGGCAGTGAGTGGATCGCATACGAATGCGCGGCTTGAATGCAGCTGAACTGGCTGAGGAAGCCATGCGGGATTGCCCATCATCTTTGCGGGTTTCTGTAGGGGTTGGTTGCCCCCCTCTATTATCGGCAAGTTTAGCTTCGACACAGCAGCAGAAGGGGAAAGGGGGGGCAAGGCAGAGATTTAAACAACAAAAGAAGACTCACAAGCTTGTTGCTCAGTAACAGTAGATTTGTTTTATGGCACGAAATGTCCATCCTGTCATTGGTCGAGAGCGGCTGTCTGTGAATGGTCTGGACGGAAATTTCTGTTTAAAAAAAGAACCGCTTTAGCTATCTCTCTTAAACAAAAGCATCAAATTGCCGTCTAATGGTGGTGTGATTACATATTCATTGAGAGCGTGTTTGAGCAAGTTTCTCCACTGACTCGGGGGTTAAAAAGAGATGGTGCATGATCACATCTGATAACCTTGTTTACTAGCCGATAATTCCTCACTTGTGCCGTTTCTGATTCGGCAGCTGGGATCAACATGCTACAGAACCAGTTAGCAGAAGGCGCATGAAGACATGGAATGATTCATCCTTTCCCCCACCTACAACGAAGAGTCAGGTCACATCTCCATTGAAGCGCATGTTGGAACTTCAAGAATATAAAGGTGGCCACAGTGAATTTTGAGCTGATTCTGGCTATTGATCTCCTTATCCCGAAGTAAACATTAAGCGCGTTGAGTTGGCTACGTAACTTGGGTTCCGTTTTTCACAACGCTCATTTCTCATCTGTACCGCAATATCTGACGTATCAAGATGGATATGTCTATGCCTGGGTCTTCAACAGGTACCATGCCCATGGAAACTCCAACGGATGGTTCCATGCCTATGGATTCATCTAATATGATGAGAATGGACTCAATGGCCACGATCTTTTTCACCGCTACAAGCACCGCTCTCTTTTCATCTTCCTGGATTCCCCAAACCACTGGACAATATGCTGGAAATTGCATATTTCTTATAGCTTTTGCGACCGTCTTCAGAGCTCTCTTGGCAATTCGGGTCAATTTCCCCCAAGTCGTGGACGCAATCGAACGCCGACGTCGTCACGGCAGAATACCTTCACATCTAGCCGATTCCAAAACGACAATACGCCCATGGAGAGCCGATGAAGCCATAAAGCTGGCGTTCATGGATCTTATTCTTACAGGCGTCGGGTATTTATTGTTAGTACGCATGAAGGAGTGGGAACTCAAGGAAGTTTGCTGACTATTGGACAGAATGATTGCGGTAATGACTATGAATGTCGGCTACTTTCTATCCGTCCTCGCTGGTGTTTTCTTGGGGAGCGTAATATTTAATCGTTTCTTGGCTACTTCTACAGTTCATTGACATGACCGTCGTGGGTGGCTGAAGATGGAAGGATATTTAAATTACATTCTTGTACGGGGCCTCGAGCGGGCAATGCAGCATACCTTTATGTTGTCATTATGAAAGTTATTTCATAATTTCATATTCCCCTCAAATCTCCTTACAGCCTTTTGGAAGATCCTCTTTTTGGCTTCTATTTATTACCAAGATTTCTACCGGTCGTGCATTAAGTGGAGGCAAAAGATCCGGCATTCAACTAACTGAATACGATGGTCTTCGGAAGAGGAAGCCTTGGCATCATAACTAATATGAAAATTGAGAATACATTGAGACCAAGCACGACTCAAAACATATGATCACATATAAACCACGATTTAGAAATTACAAACAAGCTAATGGTCAATCAGAAAATAAGAATCGCCTAGCTGTCAGTAGTTTCTTACCAGCCAACTTCAACTAATTCTCTATGGGAACAGGTAGGTCAACTAGGATATTCTTCTGCCGTGGTATGGCTCACTTACATCAAACATATGACAAGCGAGCTTATAATTTGGCATATATATTTTCTAGCCTCTATTTGAACATTAGATAGACAACATATGAACCCCGCCTATTCTACCCAACAATATCCTATGTCATACGTACATGAACTTTTCGTGCTACAATAACCGATTCCCTCTCTAAAAGCCTATGTGCCAATGCTGCGTATGATGGGTATCCTGCGTCCATGTCGATCTTGATCCTGATTCCCCAAAGATAGAACACTAAAAGAAAAGCATCTACGCCTGTGAAGGAATCCCCAACTGAATAGGCGGTGTTGGCTTCTTTCAGTTTACCATCGATGAAGGTATAACAATTCTTGATTGTTTGTCTTGCCTTTTCTTTGACATCTGGATATACCGACGCATTGTTTACAAACCTCCCTGGCCTCCAGAGTCCTCCGTAGCCTTGTCCATGAAGAGTACCGGAAAGGTAGTTCAGCCACTCGTATGCGCGCACGGTCTCCGACGTATCCTTCCCCATCAACTTCCGGTCAGGACTCAATGCTGAAATAGCCGTAAGAATAGCGGGCATTTCAGTAATAACTTGATCTCCAACTGCCAATACGGGAACCTTTCGTTTTGGATTCAGGCGAGCAAACTCTTCAGGCATGTCCGCAAATTCGATGCATATGAGCTCGGGCTGCAGCCCAGCCTCAAGTAAAATTATATGTGCGGCCATGGAGCAGGCCCCAGGAGAGTACCATAATTTTAAAGGGAGCTTTGAAGTGAATGACATTTTGACGCTTCAATCATTAGTAAGATACATCAAAAACGTTCTATGGGGCCTTACACCTTGGTATATGTAATCGCCCAAAGCTCTATGAGTTTTACAAGACTTCTGTAGTCAAGTTCAGGTCCTGTTTATTTATTAAATCAAGAGGGGCGTGGATTCAATTAAAGGTATCTGTTAATATATATGTTTGGCGATCTAAGCGATGAATGCTGTCGCCAATTCTCAATTGAAACAGGCAACCAGAAGCGAGGCATTGGTGGTACCGCGAGTTGTCGTCGGCTATCTGGTTATGACGCTTAACTCGTTGAACGATCAACCAAGACATTACAGCAAGGCAGTTTCATGATTGAAGAAGGATGTATTTTAAACATAAACTGGGGAAAAAAATTATTTCAGTATGCTTCCATCCAGTGAAACCAACGCCTAATAACCTTTTAAATCATCCATTGTTCATCTCAATAAAAGCCTTCTCGTAACATATTCTCATCAGGTACTCCCACATCTCTCAGACCGTCCATTGCGGCATCTCCAAATCCACCTGGACCACATATTAGAACATCTCTACCACTGGCCACCTCTGCCCAATAATCCGGTGCAATTCGACCCTTGTGTAATACGATTTGTATACTCTTCGTATCTATGCCCTCCATATCGACGTATTCCTGCCTTGTAAATATGTCGATGCGTACTCTGACTTTTGAAGCCGCATGGCGTAGGGAGGATTGGATAAGTCGTAGCATCATTTCTGGCTCTCGCGTTGACAACGCCAATACAACATCACCATTGGCTTTTGCTCTGCGTTCAGACAAAGCACCGAACATGGAGAGAAAAGGCGTAATTCCAATACCACCGGCGACCCAGAGCATGTTGACGTTATCAGGTCCTAAGAAGAAGTCGCCCGTCACACCCACGACTTCAGCAACGACATCTTCGTTAATTGTGATTGGTCTTTCCCATTGATTCCGCGGATGTCTTCTCAAGACATCGAATAATGCTCCTGTCACGGCCCCTCCCTTCATCTCGCGCATCGTCATGTCAAACCATGTCACGTCACGATCCTCGTGCGCACTTGAGACTGTCCACGTTCGTACTCGATCATCGTTGACAGACCCAGGAGCAGAGTTTGCCATGTGCTGATATGCGGGTGGGCCGATCCAGCCCATGAAATCCAAGGCAACGGCTTGACCAGGCCGAATTTTGATCGGCTCGACTCCAGGCTTTGAGGTAACCTTGAATCTGAATACAGCAAGATCATGTGATAATTGCGTTGCGCTTGTTAGTCTGGCCTTGTGTGCTCCAACGGCACTCGCTTGGCCTTCTGGTTCCTCTACCAGATATTTGACCTTTGGACTATATGGGCTGCGCTCAACCTCAGTGCCAAACTGTTGTCGTACGGGAAGAGCATCTCGAATAAAAATGAACCCGGTTGTCTTCATGACTGTGATGCTCGCGTGCTTAACCATAATGTTAAGCGCATCCGGACCGACAAGGTTGTCTGCTCTACCAGTAAGGTAAAGCACGTCTCCTGTTGTAAATGAGACAATAGTAAGCCCCACCTGTTTGCTCATTTCGACATTCCCTAGGCTTGACATGAATCTGTTTCCGGAGTAATCAGGTAGGACCACTGATCGTCCATCCGAAGGGCTAACGCGCATAAATCCAGGCAATCCACCACGAGCATTCATTCCAGTTTGTGAAGGAAACTGCTCAGCCGTTGCTGGATCCGACCTATAAACAGATCCGATGAAAACGGTATCGGCGCTGGTAATGAAGTCGATAACTTCATTCGGAAGTCTTTCGAACTGTGTAAGATGTCGTTTCTCGTATGCGATAACTGGTTTCGTTTCTTTCTGTCCAACAAGTTTGCGGATATTGATGTATTTCGGGCAGTTTCTGTATTTGCAACGTATTGTAGCTAGTTAGCAGCAGTTCATGACAAGACAGTTGAGAATAGCTAATCACCGACTTTGAACTTACCCAGTGGTTTGATCGACCTGCAAATTTAGTTTAAAGTCCATATTTGATGTACGTTTCACATCCTTTATGAATCCGGCAAACTTATTGCGCCTTCGAGTTGGGAACTCAATTCCTATCCCTGCTGTCAAATATCTCTCGGGGCTTGTCGGGCTCTGGCCATTTCTGTCAACATATTGGTTCAGAGTATCCAAAAGTGGCTCTCCAGGCCATAGTCTTGCGTTGACTACGAGCGTTTTCAGATCAGGACCTTCCACAAATCCAATCTCTCCGTCAGCGCCAGCAACGATCGAAGCCCAAGGACGTCCTTCATCATCAAGAGTTGTGATGGGAATGAATGGTAGATTCGATGTGTGAAAAATGCGATGCTGTTCGCGCATTCTGTCTTCGATCTTCTGCCATGTGGAGGCCATTGCTTCGGCAAAGCCCAATTTTGTCTGCATAGCGACTTCACCAGGATGCCATCCTTTCAAGCCTGATATTGAGACAGCCATGGAAACAGTTGTGGCGTAGTAGTTACGATACTGAGATTAGGCGATGTTCACATAAACCGGTCGGCTCAAAGGTTCGACTGTTCTCGGTGGTTGTTTTGCATATGATTTATTATGGATTATTCGCCAATGTTTCTGAATATTCTACATAGACTCCAGAAACAAAACATCTGCAACTCAGCTCTTCATAAACCTTTGAAACACACACTTCTAGAACATCGATTGGTCTCCCAACATGACGTATTTTTCGTGCTTACAGAGCAACACACCACCCGGGTAAGCGCCATTTAACAGGCGGAATCCCTCCCGGTAAATTTCTTGTCTATGTAATCGGGCGGCCATACTGGATAGAGTTGAGCTAATTGGAAGATTCCTCATTTCCCCACTGAAATCCGTAGGGTCTTGTGCCGCACTCGCCGCTTCTCGATGCCGCTATTTAGAAGCACGCTATTCAGAGAGTATGTTATTGGCTACTGGCCGCACTCAACTCGGAGCTCTGTCTTCCGCCGCCAGCCAGAAGGCCGAAAGCCGAAAGCTAATGAAGCAGCCAAGCCTGAGCCAAGCTTAAGTTGGGAACCATTCGTATTGTTTAAGAGTGCAATTCTCTGAGTACCAATTGACACGTAAACTCCAATATTATTCTTTTTTGGGGAATTTCCCTGTGTCCCTATACGCAGAAAGGGGACGAATAAACAACCTAGAGAAGCAAACCCTAGCGAAACGTAAAATGCACTCCTGTAAGATTTGAAGGCATCATCCTGGCCTTCTACCGTATTCTTCACCAAACTGTATACTACAGTAGACATTCCGAAAATGATAGTTGCTCCCAGTCGAATAAACATGTTAAATATGCCTCCAGCTAATGACTGCTGGTGGGATGGCAATGACTGCATGACGTACATCTATCATCGACATTAGATCAAAGCTCGATATATGATAGGCAGGCGATTACTCACGTTGGCTATATTGAACTGTAAATCGAGACCCATGACGTTTGTCAATAGCGATGGGAAGATAAAGGCCCAATAAGGTGCTCGAGGGCTTTGAACAGCAAGTAGAAGATTCGCGACAAAGTACATGGCGGCGCCAAACGCCATGATGAGGCTATTATTGACTCGGTGGAGGATATTTGCTGCCACAACATTGGATATGAGCGCAGAGATAACTTGCGGAAGCAGATCTACAGCAACGGTTAAAGCCGGCCGGTGATGAAATTCTTGCAGGAAGAGTGCGAGCCAAAAGTTGGAGGAAAGCATCGACATGACTCCAAAGATGGAGACGGGCATTAACTAGATCAACTTTCAGTATATGTAGCTTAAAAACATTAGATAAACCGGGGAGTGCTCACAAATGCAAAACCTCTGTCCTTCCAGATATGCAAAGGCATCAGGGGATGTGGGTAATTCTTTTCCCACACTACAAACCCCACGAGTAGGAAGAAGCCAACTATGAGCATTGCGATGACATGAGCAGATTTCCAGCCATCCACTGGGCCAAGTCTGCAGAGCCTGTCAGCAATTTCACGCCAAACATTATTTGCAAATCAACGTACGTCAAACCAGATGTGAAAAGGCCAACGCCGACAATTGTAAGAGCTGTTCCGACATAGTCAAATTTTTTCAGGGCTTCAGTTAGTCTCTTTCTAAATGGCCCTGGTTCAAAGGCTTCAATATTAGGCACAACCCAAATCGACACTATGGCCAGTATTCCCCAGAGAATCGTGAAGAAGAAGAAACCCGCGCGCCAATCAAAGATTCTGGCCGATATCCCCATAATAATGCTCCCAAGCCCAAATCCGACGGGATTTCCTGCGCTGAAACATGCAAATGCCCAATTTTTGCGCTTCGACGGCTCGGAGTACGCAGCGCCAAGTATTCCAATTGCAGGAGGGACGATGACAGCTGAAAAGAGACCAAGAAAGCCGCACAGGATATTCATCCAAAACGGGTTCCGAGCGAAGCCGAGTATAAGACTGCTAATGCTGAAGCCGACCATACCAGCTATGAAAAAGCTCTTGCGACCGAGGAGATCTGTAAGTTGGCCCAGGGGAAGTTGGAGAGCTCCCGCAGAAAGACTAGACATGTCGTTAGCCACAAGACTAAAGCTGAGAATGAAGCAGTTTCCTCAAGTGGTAGCAGCACTAATCCAAGTGATTTGGGCTTGTGTCATGTGTAAATCTCTTCCAATTGATGCAGTCACGATAATCATGGCTCCAGTCACAAGGCTGTTTGTCGCCATAGCCAAAGTGGCCATGAAGATGAAACAAATCTCCTGAAATGTGCTCTTGAAACATTCTGGCCGTTTCCCTATGGTCGTTCTCTGTATATTTGGAGCGGCAGAAGAGCTATCAAATCGCGGGCTGCCATCTTCTGGATTTCTTCTCTCGTGAAGCTCAAAGAGCTCGTGGTCGATTTGAGTTATTTCGATCATGAGGTGGGTGTGTACAGAATTCTTGTGGATACTGATAGAGAGGGTATTGAGTCGTATATCGTGTAATATGATGCAGAGCAAAACATACGACTAGGAAATTTAAAAGCCGCCAAAGGATACTGATGAATCAGCAGGAACAGAAATTGACACGGTAACGCAACATCGGCCACGGAGATAAAGCAATCAACTCTAACGGCTGAAAGATTAGACTACGCCCTCGTAGTAGCATCTATTCCGCCCTTAATCAATGACAAAGATTCTATATACGTCGCCCTGCATGCATATCAAGCCGACAGCTTGATAGAATGTCGAGGTATGTATTACGTACGCGAAGTACGCGAGAGAGCACAGTAATCTAGATATGACAAGTCCTTTACCGTGAGTAACTGTTGTAGATTACGGAGGCTTTACTTTTACCAACACCTTTGAGCCTATTGGTATAAACTGCACTTTCATAATCCTGTCCTGTTTGTCTATTTTACTTTATCATCATAAGCTCTCCCAGGTCCGTCAATATCCTCTTGAGGAGTTTGTGCCATATCCATTTCTATCTTAAAATACGTTAAAACCTAGAGCTTATAAATCCTTCTAGCTTCAATGAAAGCAGTTCTTTAGAGCATCTTCTTAACATAAGCTGCGTATACGGGGTAGTCATTGTCAATGTCAATAGTTACTTCGGTAAATCTGGCCGTCCAAAGGTATAAGACGCTCAGAAACCCATCTGCAGCGGTATAGGAATTTCCAACGGCAAAATCCGTAATATTGGCTGCTTTGAATTTGGTCTCGATGTGAGCGAAAAATTCCCGCATAGTCTCATATCCCTTTGCTCGAAGCTGAGGATATATCTCCGGGTTATTCGTGAACCTCTCGGTTCTCCAGATTTCTGCAATGGCTTAACCATGCGCCGTGGTTGACAGATAGTTGAGCCATTCGTATACTCGAATCTTTTCGAGAGGAGTCCTCCCAAAGATGTGTGAGTCTGGTGCAGCAGTTGCAATCGCACTGAGGACGGCTGCCATCTCCGTAATGACCTCACTGCCCATTATTAGAACTGGTACGCGGCGCTTTGGGTTGATTGCTTCAAATTCCTTCGTCATATGTCCGACCTTAGCAAGAACTAGGTCATGTTTGAGTCCAGTTTCACATAACGCAACGTGAGGTACAAAAGAGCAAGCTCCAGGCGACCAAAACAATGTCAAGGGAGTGTCAGTAGGTGTCGACATTGTGAAACTGATTTCTACCACGGTATTAGTTTATGAACGGTTAGTTCTGAGTTCAAATTACCAACAGGTTGGCAGGTTCAGTAATTCGGTTGATCTTGGTGTAGAGAAGAATTCAATAGTCTTCAAACCAAACTTTGGGTAATGACTGGCATCGCAAACTCTGTTTCTGAAAGATCATATTATTTCAATTATGCCACGTATCCCAACAACTCAATGATAATTCAATGCGATCGCCATCACGAGCTAGTCTTCACAACTTTTCCTGATCATTTGCTCGCTTACGTCGTTTAGCTCGCTTTTGCTCACCTCAAAAAGATCGTATTGAGAAAGATTCCAAGTCGTTAATTGACTCCTAGAAATTGATACGCGCTAGCGACCGTATTTTTAAGCAGCCTTGGATATCTGTATTTGTAATACGATTGTTGTAGGATTCAGCTGCTCGTCATTGACGCCCTTAGATCTGGCGCACATTAGAAGTTGAGAGAGCCCACCAAAGTTGGGTGTAAGTGAACTCCCAGCATCAAGGTCAGAGAATTTGTCTTCAATCCAAGATTAAAAGAAAATTATACATGAATTTGTTCTCAGATTTCACAATGGCTGCTCAATCTTCCACTGTATTCCATTATCTCGATATCGGCCGAATGGGTCGCGGCGAAGTCGTGAAGTGAGTGTTAGCATCTCGACTGCATCCGCCTTTTACGATTTGTCCATGATAAACGCCGTATTTCTTAGCGCCGATAACTAATCATGAAACTTTGGTCGGTTAAGCCTCTTCCTCAAGGATGCAGGAATCGAGTATCAGGACATTCGGTACTCATACCCCGGTGAAACATGGCAAAACACTAGTGATGAGTTGAAGCGCCGGGGCCTTACAAGGACCGGAAAATTGCCAGCGGTGGAATACAACGGCCACGTTTTGAACCAAGTACAATCATCCAAGTTTCCAAGGCTACTGTTCAACTTACTAATACTCATCGAAGCATATCCCGACGTTGCGCTACCTCGCTCGTGACCTTGGTCGCTACGATGGAGAAACAAGCTGGGAGAAATACGTTGTAGATGCGGTGTCAGATATATACATTGACTGGAGAGTGAGTCAGGGCAGTTCTATGACCATAGTGACATCAAATACTAATATGAACAAGTTCAAATGGGTGGCAAACCTAGGGAACTCGACAGACGAGTATAAGAATGACACTGCGCCACAGTATTACGATGTATTAGCCCAGTATTACGCTGAGTCCGGAGGTCCATACCTGTTGGGCGACAAAATCACATATGCTGATTTTGCTGTTTATCAATCCATCGACAACGACCAGAGGACGGGAACACTACCGGTGAGAATGTTCGAATCATTCCGCTACTTATAATGTTATTAACCGCTTTTGCGCAGACAAAGCTTCCGGATACAATCTTGAAGTTCAGGGAGACATTCGAGCAACGTCCCAACATTGCGGAGTATATCAAGAATAATTTCCCAAAAGCTTAGGAGTTGGTGCTGGCTAAAGGAAGATTTGATCCATACATATTGCATCTTGTAGAAAATATAAAAGTTTCCAATAATCCAAATCAACAAGTCTTTATCATGTATTATAAATCCTTCTCCAGATCCAAAATATCGCTGATGTACTGGTTTTGGGATAACGTTACCACGTCGCTATGAGCAAGAAGGGGCAATCTTGGCACCGCAGGGTATCCGAAGTCCTTGTTCAACAGAGCTTTCAAGCCGGGAACCTGTCAGATGTTAGAATACTGTAAATAAGAAACGCCTTCTAAATAAAGCACATACTCCGCTCTTCAACAAAGCAGACTCTGCGAGAGAAGCCAAGCCTTGAGACTTTTGTGCTGCCTTCAAATCTGCCTTAGTTTGGAGATTTTGTGTCAAGTCCCATAATTTCATGGAGAATTTCTAAGCAGAGGGTCAGCTTTTATCAGGCAATCACTGAATGCTTTACTAACCGGCGCAATGTTGGGTAGTGGACTAATAGCACCAGCGGAGCCGACCACCACTGAAGGGAGGAGGAAATCGATTAGGCCAGCCAATGTTGTAAAAGAAGTGCCATCAAGCAGGGCTGCGATTCTTGCCAGCTTGCCAACATTACCACATCTATTGTCGTGTTATGAATAGCTCTCACGTAAGATAGGGATTGAAACGTACGATAGCATGATGCCGCAAACGTTCGGTGCCCGTTTTGCAATTTCGGCCACATCGTCACTTTCCAGATCGATCCCTGCCGTCACAGGAGGAAAATTGTAAATGACCCTATTCCACAGAACAGACAGGATTAGCAAGCAATGCTGCGGGAAAGAGGCGAAGAAGGCCCGTACACTGGAATCGGCGAGCCTGCGGCGACGTCAACGAAAAATCTTTTAACCGCCGCTGGGTTTCCCTTGAGATAACCAGCCCAATAGCCAGGAGCGATCACAAGGGCGAAATCTGCACCTGCAGCAGCAGCATCGCGAGCTAGCTGAATTGTCTCACGAGTGCTATTACCTCCTACACCGGCGACAATTGGTGTCTTCTGCAGGCCAATTGAGTTAAGAGCATTTCGGAGAGTCTGTATTAACTTGATACGTTCTTGCGAGGTCTGAGACCCACAGGTTAGTCAAAGAATGAGTAGCTGGTGATGGACTGCAACGGACCAAGTGTACCGCTTCTCCCATGCTAGCAGAAACAATGGGCAAAATTCCCGGTCCAGTAACATCTATTTCACAACGATCAGCGATCAATCTATCGAAATGTCTTATAACCGTCATTTGGCTTGTCTACATTTCGCATGATTCGCAAATGCTACGTAATCTATGCCCCTGTTAGCACGCTGTGATTACAATTTCTCGTACTTCTCATAAAAATTCACTTACCTATTTCATCTTCAGCGTTGAAGAACACGGGGAGAGGAGCATAGAGCCCCTTTGGCAGTGTTTTAGACATGACGAAGCCGGCGTCTAAATGAAGCGTACTTGAAGATCGTCGTAAAGAGGCTGCTGAGGATCCGGAGTAGTATCAAGGTTAACCTTATCTATTAATTATTTAAGGGCTGGAAAGCTTGATGAAATTGTAAGATTTAGTGCAGTGTGTAACAACTTTAAACACATGCATCCGGGCTGAATAGCTGAAAACCAAGGTGACGTCACAAGTGAGGCACACCGAAGCAACTTGTTCTCAGATGGTCTCGTATAAATAGATGCAGCTGCCAATGACAGCTTTATTACAAATGTAAACCCGCTGCAGTTCTTTCGGCAGTCTTAGCGGGAAAAGCCATTGACTGTGGGATCGGAAACCCTGACTGTGGCTCCATGCCTCACAAACCCCAGTTGCTCATCTGTTCGATTCCTAATTTCAGCTGATAAAATAACACATCAATGTTATTGGCTTGTTGCTTTGCTGCATGCGTTGTAATGATGTGAAAATAGCATGTGCAGAATATTGCGATGCCTGAATCTCATCACAGCTTTCTGCCCCTTCCAAACTTGAGCCCCAGACCCATGCCAAGTACACCAAGACGAAAAACTCCTCGATTTCACTTCTATAATTCGTGTCATGTATAGCTTCACCGTAGATTGTTAAACCAGAATGTGCTTCATAAGCAATAGTGCTTTCTAAGCGCATTTTATTTGTATTACGATAGTATGGGTAGGCCAAAAAAGAGATCTCCGCGGCAGTGAGACATACTAACTCGGACTACTCTATCGGCACAGTTCAGACCATACTCTTCTCACAACCGACCCTAATGTAGGATATCATCTTCAAGTAGGCAGTAAATGTTCGATATTTCGGCCTTACTAATAAATTATTCTCTCTATAGCATGAAGAATTGTTGCAATCCTACAACAAATGCGAAGGCTACTTCTCCAATCACCTCGTCGGAAAACGTTCAGTCAGGGATTTATTGCCTTAAACGGATATATCCTCCTCTTCCTCCTCCACCACCCCTTCTTTCTATGCTTTCTTCATATCCAACCCGTCAACTGTGAACTCAAATGCATCTCTCCTCGCGCGAGATGGTCTCACCCAATCGTCTCCTAACTGCTCACAATCGGCAAAATCGACCTCTGCGATGAAAATGTCATCCTCTTGGTCCCAGCCCGGTCCTCCTAAAAGATTGCCATTTGGAGAGACAATAACAGACCCTCCGCGACTCACGATTTGATCTCCTCGTTCAGCCGATTCAGTTATCCATTTCGGGAGATCAATTGCTCTAATGCAAGGCGTAGCTGATAATACAAAAGCCCGGCTTTCGACACCAATTGTTTGCATCAATGGAACCCAAATCTCAGTAGCATGAGCAGTTGGGCCAAGGAACAGATTAATATTCTGCTCGTAAATACTCTGTCGTAAAAGCGGCATCCAATTCTCCCAGCAAATAGCGGCTTTGTATTTTTTTTTAGCACCAATTCACTTTCATGGGGAAGCATTTCATCACTTACCCGCCATCCTCAACTTCACCCCTCTGATAATCGTTGATACAGCTTCAAGTGTTAACGGACTCCCCTGACCCCACGCAACTCTTTCCAAGCCTGTCGGCATCACCTTGCGCCTTTTCCCAATAATGCCTAATCTTGGACAGATGTACACAATGGAGCTGTATAATGTTCCACCACACCTTTCAAGAATACCGACGATTATGAAGATGCCAGTAGCCGCTGCTATCTTTTTCAAACGCTCCCTCGTACCGTCTCCCCTATATGGTCGATTGGCAGGTAGAGGAAGTTCTCGGTGTATCCATTTTTGGCCAGCTCCTCTTGGTGTATCTCCAAGATCAACCGATGCCCGCCAATGGTTCATGTATGGACTGTAATCCTTCTCTTCTCCAAAGCTCCCAATTGCAGAGTTACCAAATGTGGACAGGCGCGGAAATCCGCCGATAAAGACTTCGGGGAATAGCACAAGGTCAACATGTTCAGAGCTCAATTTTCGCACTTTGGTTTCAAGCACTTGAAGAGCTCTTTCGGGGCTGTCATGGGTGTGCACCTGCGCGGTGGCAATCCTCAATTTCTGGAGTGTCGAGGCGATCACATTGAATGAAAGAAAGGCTTCAGCTTGTATTCGCGATGGCAACCCAGCGGGATAGTTTGATATAGCTGCCAAGCTAGTAGTATAAGGAACTCGCGTTGAACATGACAAAGGATCACTATATATCAATTACTATACATAACACTGCACCATACACCATACGGTGAGATAATACACAAACCATCCGATGGAGGCCGTGATTACGCTCAAAATTGCCTAATGTATGGAGGGGCAACACAAAATATGGTGTGCTTGGGGATGTAGCCAATGAAAGAACGCCGTCTGGATCGCTTATGCCGGCTTTCTCGCAAACTAACGGAAGATGGCGGAGGTGGAGGAAACAACTGCAGTTTTACCCCAGGATCATCACATATGGTGGGAAGAGATGCGTCTGACAATGTTGCGGGGAACACTGATGTTCACTGATAAGACATTCAATAAAAAGAGAGAAGGCTGCCACATATTATATCTACTTCAAAACTCTAAATAACTACCGCACTGCCCTTCCTTTGGTGCTCAGGTGGATTGGTCGCTTTCAAGCGCTTATTTGATCACTACTAACCCTACAGAAACAGAAATCCTACACCCAAACATGCCCAAGATTCTCAAGATTGCTGCGGCACAATGCCGGACCCTCGACACAACTGGCAACACTCTCAAGCAGCTTGAGACCAAGGTCAAAGAGGCCGCCGCAGAGGGCGTTGACCTCATCCTTTTCCCGGAAGTTTACTTGGGCGGATACCCCCGATCAGCGACCTTTGGCGCCAAAATTGGTGAGCGGACTCCAGACGGCTATCACCAGTACTTGTCGTATTTCCAAGGAGCCATTGATCTGGGAGATACTCCCGAAGGCGCATATGATGATTGGGTTAGTCGCCAACTGCCTACCAACGACAACGGAGTTCGCGGAGACGGCACGCGTGAAGAGCTGGAGAGAATTGCACACGAGACTGGAGTCTACATAGTCACTGGTGTGTTAGAGAGATCCGGAGGCACTCTGTACTGTTCCGTGGTGTATGTCGATCCAGCCAAGGGAATTGTTGGAAAGCGACGCAAAGTTCTTCCAACAGGGAGTGAACGACTTGTCTGGGGCCAGGGCCAACCTCGATCACTCAAAGCCGTGAGCACAACTATTAAGGGAGTCAAAATTTGTCTTGCTGCCGCCATCTGCTGGGAGAATTACATGCCTCTCTTGCGCCAGACTCTGTATCAGCAGAACGTCAACCTGTATCTTGCGCCAACTGCCGATGGAAGAGCAACATGGCTTCCACTTATGCAAACAATCGGATTCGAGGGACGGACTTTTGTTGTGAGCTCCAATCAAGCTGTCCGTGACGATCAGCTTCCCGAGTGGATCAGCGAGGTAAAGCGGGAGGGTAAGTTCATTAGTGGTGGAGGATCATGCATCATTTCTCCTTTTGGTAAGGTTCTGGTTGGGCCGAGCTGGGATAAGGATGGCGAGCTGCTCATTCAGGAGCTGGATTTTGAGGAGTGTGAGAAGGGTCGGCTGGACTTGGATGTTGCTGGATCTTATTCGCGGAATGACTCGTTTCATCTGGAGGTTAAAGGTCTTGACTTAATCCCACCACCTTAGGCAGAGAATTTGTGAGAGCCATTCCGTTAGCTTCGAGAGCTTTCTGTTATCTTGCCGGATACAGTATCAGTATTACCATGTCCAGCAATTGTTTAATGATGCAATATTGGTTATCCGTTGCATCTAATGACGTTAGCTTAGCAGATGGTAACACATGGCATTCAGTATGGATTTGAAACAAAAGTAGATGTAGATGTGCTTGTCTATCTATCTCTCTAACAGTGCATCTCTAACAGTGTCTAATCAACATGTCTAAATAACAACTGTTCGCTGAACGACTCTATCGCTAACTGGTTCCACCAGATTATGGGTTAATTCGGATCTCCTCGGTCCAAGCACTCTTCTCCTGGTTGTACAAATCCCACGCCTTGCTTGAGACGTTCTTGTTGTTAAGGTTGGGGTTCTCATCGGCAACAGTGCCGGCAACAGCCAACAAGCAGATGTGGATACCCAAGTCGCCAAACTTCTGGCGAAGCGACAAAGTAAGGTTCTTCTGAGAAGCCTTTGTAAGAGAGAGAGAGAAGAGATCCTCAAGAGGCGTCTCTGGAAGATGAGAGTTGGTGACCATCAGAGTTGGCTTGGCGGTGGGGTCCTGCTTAGCTAGGGTAGAGAGCTGAGGAATTGCCCACTTGGCCGTGTTGTGAAGAGCAATGGTGGAGACCTTAAAGTCCTCAAGGATGCTCTCGTCGTCAAACTCCAAGAGAGGAGTCAGAGCAATGACAGCAGCGTTGAACAAGACGAACTCGGGAGTTCCAAGATCATTGGTGATCTGTGCAAGAGTAGCCGCGAGTGCCTGGCTATTGGCAATGTCGGTGGGGTAGGTCTTGATCTCCACCTGTCCTGGAGCAGCGCTGTTTACAAAAGCAGCATCTTTCTCCAGTTTGGCAGGGTTTCTAGCCACGAGAGCCACCTTGTTGAATCGTTTGGAAGCGAAGATGGCGGCAGTGTGGGAACCAATTCCAGGGCCCGAGCCGATGATGACCACAGAGTTGTTAGATCGGGAAGCCATTGTGATTTAAAGTTGTGTGATAAGACAAAGTATTTACTTTGAGTTTGTGAAAAGAGATAGTTATTGTTTAAGTGCTGATGCTGGTTTGTTGTCTGAGACAATTCCCAAACTGATGAGACCGCCATCTTAGCATTTATAGAACTTCCTCAGACACCCAACTTTCTCAAACAGCTTGGTTTGGTCATCCTTCAACATAATCAATATTATTGTTCATCCTGGAGTTTTCAGCATCGATTATTCATCCATCGTATAGTCCTTAGCTGATTAATGTCAATGAGTCGCCGGAAAGAATGCCTTCTTGGGGCACAGATGACATCTCCGCGGAGTGCCTATAAGCACCCTCGAGTGTACATACCGTAAACTGCTAGGGCCATCTCGGCAGCTCCACGTCGCCGCCCAGCGTGGCTTACGGCAGTAGATCCGGCTTTTGGTTCCATCTGACGTCTTAGAAGGCCTTCTAGTCTAGTCGAATCCCACCGAATACCAAGTCCTGCTTATTAACATAAGAGGTCGCCGGCTAGCTCGCTTCGATCGACTAACTCGATAGTACAACAACGAGTGCTGTCGCACCCTTACTTGTTTGAAGAGCCAGCATCGTGAACATGACAGAGAAACGAAGGAGACGTACGGGCTGCCTTACTTGTCGTGCACGGCACGTCAAGTGTGACGAGAGGAAACCCGAATGCGAGCGTTGTGAAGCTGGCAATATCGAATGCGCGGGTTATCTTCCAAAGAAGCAAGTTCAAGTACGCGAGCCGCAGCGTCGCAGTCATCGTCGTGGGGCTTCTTCAGCTCTGAACAGCGCACAATCTCTTTCTCCGGATTCTCCATCTTCTCCATCGTCAGTTGGAGATGCATTGAACTATTCTCAGCAACTTTTCCGCAACGATGGTCTCCCACTCATTGGATTGCCCAGCAATCCACGTCCCTCTCAGCGGCCACTCGCTGGGGCACGAGAGGTATTGGCCTATCACCAGTTTCTATTCCGCACATTGCCAATTTTATTCCCAGCAGAGCACTTGTGGTTCTGGAGAGATCGTCTGTGTGAGGAAGCATGGGGCATCGAGTATCTCTACATGATGTTTTCTTCCCTAGGAAGCATGCATCGCGCCGTGTTAATGATGTCGATGCCTGGAGAGAACGATCAAGATCGTGGGCTTGACACGAAAGTAATTGCCATTCAAGCGTACACCTTTGCTCTCCAAGAATTAAGTCGCAATTTTGAGGAGGCAAAGAAGACACAAGATATTCGCATTGCGACGCTGATACTGATGGCCTATTTTGAGGTATGAAAGCCAGCTCATCCAAGCGTCTCTATTCAGTAATGTGGTATCTAATGAGATTGCCGAGAAGTGTTTCGCAGGTAATATAACAGCAGCATGCGGCCATATACATTCAGCGAACCACTACTTCGAGATGTATAAAGGCAGTGTGTCGCATTCACAAACTATTGGCGTCCCTGCTTTAGACTGCCTCGATACAGCTCTTCAGGGGCTCAGTTGGGCACGATTCATGGCACTCCCACTTCAAAACATAATTCACTCAACACGACGAGCACTGACGTGCGATGAAGCCTGTGCAACGCCGTCGTCTCTAAGACAGAGTCTCCTCAATCTCTTGGCTGGGTCGGGATTGGAGGATCTCATTTGGAATTTGGTTCCACGATATTCTAAGTCAATGGCACTAACGAAGCTTCACTGGCTGAAACAAAAGCTACGAGCGTGGAGAAACTCCAACAAGTCAATTCTGCTGCCTTTAGCATCAGACACAGCCGAACCAGGCGAAAAAAATCCTGAAATGCAGGCATTTACGCTCCCACCTCTCCTCCATAAGACGACAACACCATACGACGCATCTGCGATTCTATGCAGCTTTCTTTTTGGTCGCACTTTTTGGTTGCTATCAATATTAGAAGGTGGGCAGAATACAGAGGCGTACAAGCATCTAGCATATCTGCATCTCTACGAAACTATGCAGTTTGCAGCAACAGAAGGGTCGTTCAAAACAACATTGCCAAGTAGCAACGGCTCTCAAAGTCCAGCTTCTTTACTATGTGAAGATGTCGAAAACGGCACCTTGCCGATGCTTTACGTAGTCGGGCAATGCAGTCCTCAACCATCGTGGCTCCTTTGGATCGCACAACTAATGAAACACATCGGACGGCAAGGTCTATATAACGGCCTCGTCTATGCCACCAGTCTCGAAACATGGCATTCCTTTGAGGTCAGCAACAGCCTTCTGAGGCAAGATTCACTAGAGCAGTACCCAAGTCCTGCATTACGGACCATCTCAGTCCTCATTCCCGACGCTGTTGGAAGCAACTTCATTACATATTACGCTAAGCCAGCAGGAATAGACGGGTTATTGATGAGCAATGATGGCCTAATGTACTATCTACTTGGTCACACTCATATAATATATCGACCTGCGGATGGCCAGATCGAGCAGGATACCCATATCTATCATCAACAAGGATTAGGAATGGAATTATTCACGCCTGATTGGCTCCAGAGCCGGGCAATCTGCCTCGAGTGGCGACAGCGGTCACTACAAGTAGAGTTTGAGCTGGACAGGATACTACAAGACCACATCAATGGGGGACAACTTTTGGTACCTGTAAAATATGACTAAGACTGTCGTTATACGTTCGTAACTGTATTGATGAAGAGACTCTTGTGTGTTAATCACTGAATCAAGTGATGCATTCCTTTATTTCAGATGAGACTACCAGGGTTCGCTTGGACCATGCAAAACCTAGAGTTGAATCTAGATGCCCTTTTTAAGAAATTCGATGTCGTTAAACAATCGCTATTTCTCTATATATAGCGAATTCTTGGTAAGGGGCATTCCATTCATCACTGCAATAACTGAGTCTCTACCCACCTCCCAGATGAAGCTACCACCAACTCCATCAGTTATGTCACAGAGGCTCAAAATGTCCATCGTCCTCGGAGAAACATAATACAACGAGGTAATGCTGTAGGTCATGACCACATTCCATAGAAACTAGACCACTCAAGCTAACGGGAACGAGCTCGCCCTCCGGCAATCTCATTACTCATTACGCCGACGTCATGGGTTGTCATATGCTAACTGTTCTAGGGAACTCCTTCATTATACCCCATCGCGCAATATCTTGTAGCTGTTGTTGAGGTGGTGAAAGGGATATGATGCAGCTGACAAATAACAAGACTTGGTCAATGTCGATGGAGGTTTTGCATATTTGTAATGGCTAGAGATCACAGCCTGCGGTCCTATTATTAGGCATTATTAATGTACACTTATTTGGAATTGTTCATGACTCGTTTTAGGTGGAACTAATCAACTCACGCAAATCCTCAACCTGATAAATTTGCATTCCCCCATCCCAGTTGCTGCAAGTGAAATCTCGCTTTCTCCCTACATGCGGATGAAAGACCAAAAGATTCAACAATTTCGAGACAAAATGCAATCTGTACACAAGCTCCAGCATTCAGTTGTGTTTCGTCTTCTTCTTTAGCCAGCTCCGCAATCCTGAACAGAAGAGACGCATAGAGCAGTTGTTCCCCTATGAGGCGCTCTTCGCAAGATTCAAGGTTCTCCCCAAATGCAACATGTTCGACAAGGATTCTAGCGGAATAGAACAACGCCTCCGGCATCGCTGTGCAAAAGTCACCGCCCCCATCAATCCACGTGTTACACTCAAGGCAATCATCTGCCTCATCATCTTCATCGGGGCATTCGTTCATCCTACGACTGGTTTCATGGGCAAGAAGAATGCTCTGTATGTACCGCTCTTTGTATACACTCAACTCAGCAGAAAGCTCTTCCACGGAAACAGCAGGTTTTGTATGAATGGAAGAGTCGCTGTCGAGTCCCCCGGACTTCAAAAGATTTGGGAGCACCAAAAGGATATCGATGAGCTTATCCATGTCATTTTTTCCAGATACTGCAAAAGGAATGGTGCGCCATTCTTCGGATGCGAATGCTGACAATCTTCGGTTTCGAAACGACGAAAACGCCTATAAAACAGAATCAGCTTACCCTCCAAGAAAACAAACACCAGGCAAGATCTATTACCTCGAGTAATCGTAAAGAACGAAACAGCAGATGCAATCCACCAGCCTGACAACTTTCCGGGCCTCGTAGCTGAAGCAGGCTGGTAACTCCGTGTAAGTGTTTAAGCCAACTTGCGGTCGAGGATGGACTTATGAGCTCAAAGTACAGCAGCATCATTGATGTAAAGACCTCCTGATCATCAGGTATGTAGGGAGAACTAGGAGAATTCAGATAAGGGGTAAGTCTAGAGCGTTGGCTTCGTAGAGCCGCAACGTAGCAATGCTCGGCTGCGCGTAAAGCAGCTGCATTTTGGGCTACTCTGCCATGGTACGCCGTTGCCGCGGCTCGTATTGATTGTCTGATTGGAGCGTCTCCGCTATTCAGAAATTCATGTAGGTGATTCATCCATGACTGGTGAGGACCAGAGCCAGCGCTAGGTTTGGCAAACGAATCGATAAAAGTTGACAGAAATAACTGGTCGAATGCCGGAGCAACTGAGGGCTGATATATAGTTGGAGACTCGCCCGCAGTTCTTCGGGCACATTCGAATTGTCTAATTGCCGCACTGGTTATCGGGACTTGTTGATACGTAGGTGCAACTTGTACCTGCAGCTTCTTTTCGGCCTTTGGGCCGCGTTCCGTTTGCACCGCATGGACAAAGATTGTGCCCGTCTGTGGCCCCGGACAAGGCCGTCGCATACGTTGGCACTGGGAGCACTGAGGCAGTTTCTCATCACACTTGCGACGGCGTCAATAAGTTAACCAATGAGTTGCAAACAAAAGCTCGATGCGTCGGGACGGTTCCACCTTGACTTTTCGTTGCAAGCAACGAGCACAGCCCTTGCTGCGGCTCACTGAGCGAACCATCCTAGAAATTACTGAATCAACGAGTCAGTTGGAAAGCTGCCTGTCGAAGAGAAACGACGGCCGCAGCTGGAGTTGCTATGATCCCAGATGGGCAATTTTTGCGAAGCGCTGCTCGTGCCCTTAATGAGTGGGCAAGACTTTGATCTTTAAATTGGAGACGCTGGGCCGAGTACCGAGTAAGTAAGTATACCGACAAGATAGAGATGCAAATGTTCACGAGCTACGGCTTTCGTGCTTACTAAAAGGAAAGCAAGATAATTGACGATGCTCACTCTCTAGCTTATAGTAGACTCAAGGCTCCTGTCTGAAGCATCCCATGCTTACTGTGGCGCAAGTGTATAGTAAGCCTTTAATTCATCCAAAGGGGTGAGGTTTCTTCTCATCGTTTGTTCCAAGCGAAGAGAAGTCACGGGTCGGGGATAATTAGAAGTTTTCGGAGTAAGGTGGAGGTGAGACGACCTGGAGCTAGCGGAATACGACCAGTCAGGACCAGCGCCGGCTTCAATCCCGGTTAGTGATTCCGAAGTTACAAACTCTCAACTCATCAAGACTAATAGACAAAATCGAGAATAAGGAGAGGCTGAGGTTACAAACATTGCGTCTTTGAGAACTAACAGAAAAGATATTTTCATTCTACCAAAGAGAAACCAGCAAAGAGAAAAGACTCAATTCTACGCGGTGTTGAAAGTACGGCTAACCCTTCGGAATCTCATTGATTCCACTCTGTAAGCTCTAAGATCTACCTCAACCTTTCAATCGCTAACTGCTAAACGCATCATACCATCGATACGTTAACCTTGAATCGAGAAACCTCAAGAAGAGCTCGAAATAATAGCCATAATTAGAAGTTGTAACTGGTGCTTGATGCGCAAAGACTTTTTCGATCGAATCCGAATCCGGATACTGTTCAGATAGCCTCGGCCACACTATTCAGAGTCTAAAACGACAGGGCTATGTCATAATGGTCAGAATTTTCTCAAATGACATGCTTCATTAGAAATGCAATTCATTTTGAATTATCAAGCAATTCGTATAGCGCTTACTCGTGAGACATTTTGCATTCAGTTGTTTTATCGTGTTTTCAAGATTTGCCAGCAAAATGTTATGCGTATTGAGTATGTATTTGGTGTTGCAGTCACAGTTCAGAGGTTGTACTAACACTGAGGCTTACAAATGGCACTTTCGAGCGAATCCTATTAAATACATGTAGAGAGGATCACGTATTAGTAGTTTGACCCCGCGTTCACAGGAGGATAGCAAAGTATTTCCTTTTTACGGCAAAACACCCCGTGTGGTCATTCTAATCAGCAATATTCAGTCGTCTCCTCTATTTGACCGTCACCCCGCGGCAGCTTCATCGACTTATTCCAAGTAATCTTCACTATTAGATGCTGTTTGTTTGTTTGTTCTCTGAGTTTAACTAATTGCCAAAAATAGCCAACAAGATGAATGCCCTCGTTCTCACTTCCGCAACCAAGGACGTCTCTGTTCAAGAGCTTCCCATTCCCGAACCTCGGAATGGTGAAGTCCTCATTCGCGTCCATGCTGTTGCTCTCAACCCAGTAGATGCCATCTATGCCGTGCATCCTATCGCAGAACAAGAGCAACGTATCATTGGAACCGATTTTGCGGGTGTCATTACTGCCGTTGGGCCTGATCTTGGATCCTCGTCCGATCTCCGTGCCAAAGTCGGTGCCCGTATTGCAGGATTCCACCAGGGCGGTAAGTCACTACTCATATTAGACCATGCATGCTGTTTCAAATGATGCAGTGAGATGTGTATTTGTATGCTAACGATCTTCGACTTAAAGCTTGCTCTACAAATGATCGCCCAGGAGCGTTTGCCGAGTACATCACCGCTCCGTATGACCTGCTATGGTCGGTGCCGGACAGCATGTCGCTCGAGGCTGCTTCTGCCATTAGCATGTGTGGATTGACAGCTGCTCAAGGAGTCTTTACTCGTCTCGGTCTCCCATGTCCATTTGACGGTCAAGTCAATTCTTCAACGAGTAGTGCAAGTGATATTACCAATGTGCTCATCTATAGCGCATCTACCTCTCTCGGCTTATACGCCGCCCAGTTGGTTCAGCTTGCAGCTCGCGCTTCCGGCCGCAAAATCCGTCTTATCGGAACAGCGAGCGCTTCCAAGCATGATTTCCTTCGCCAAGCGCCGTATAATTATGATGTCTTGGTTGACTACCGTGACCCCAATTGGGTTGAGAAAGTGAAAGAAGCCACCGAGGGCAAGGGCATCGACCGAGCTGTGGACAGCATTTCGGAGGGAGAATCCGTGTACAGTGTCCACAGCACCTTAAATGACAATGCAAAGATGGCTGTGTTTCGCGGGCCCAAGGGCGGCCAATATGACCCATCAGAGTTGCGCGTGAAGCCCATTTACGGCGCCGTGTGGGAAGGATTGGGCCATGAGATTGGGTATAACGGTATGTCAAGACGAAATCTAGCATCTCTGTTCACATGACATCACCATTTCATGTCGCTAACACGTATCATAGGGGCGATTATTGCCGCTAACCCCGAGGCTCGCGTATTTGCTACAAAGTTTTTCAACTTCTTGAGCACGGCAGCGGCGGATGGTGAAGTGAAACTGGAGCCCAACCCTGTGCGACTTATGCCTGGAGGACTAGAGAGAATTGTTCCTGATGGCTTTGTGCTCTTGGGCAGCGGGATGGTGTCACAGAGATCAAGCGCAAGCCGTAACGAGGACTATATGCGACCTATCAGCGGAGAGAAGATGGTGTACAAAATCCTTGACGAATAAGCGGTCCCTTTCAGCATCGGTATGCGATAGGCTAGAAGTTCCAAGACGATATCCTCAGTTTAACCTTATTAGCAATTGTGGTCCTACGTAGAATATCACTTGTGTTGTGGCGTGTCATGATGCTGATTCCCCGTTCCATGTACCGTTGTCGTCTCACTCGCTCAGTCATTCAGCCTTTTCTGCGGGCCCGTTAGGAGAGGGAGCTGCCGGGCCTAGGAATATTATAGAACGTGAAGACAAATGAATAGAGTAGCAAATATTGAAAAGGTTGCCAAGAAGAGAGTAGCTCAAGAGCGAATAGCCAAGGTCGCCATGTGTCTATTGCGCCATTCGACCTGCCTCTCTAATAGCCCTATCTCGGCCATACCTCATAAGTCTCTCACAATCCCCGCATATTCCATGTAAGACATACGCTTCTATCGTTGTATTCGCCCTCTGGATAGGCTTAGCAACGAAAGCGGGCCTCTACTCTCGGCCTTGTGCGTGTCGTGTCTCTTTGGCGTCTTCCATATACGGTAGTTGCTCGAACTGGTCGGATGCTGATCGATCATCCAGGGGACGGGACAGCCAACCACTAAGAAGCACGGCTCAGGCACATGAGCAATCAAGGTACCGATCGGGCCTACGAAATGCTCCATATTGTCAAGTATATCACGGTATATATTTTGCCGCTCAAAGCGTTAGGTGCCTTACATTAATGATGTAACTAAAGTTCTTAGAGGTTCATGCGCATGGGTACATGAGTCGCCAATAGTTTGCGGCTATCCCATCACCAAAACACCAACCCAGACGCTCCGTGATCACGGCCGCCCTTCTGATGCCGCCGATCAACTCGTTACAACGGCTCATCAGAGCTCACCTGAGTCTCAACCTCTCCATCCACCTCATTTCTTGCTTTCTTACTGCTCATTTTCATCCTCCAAATAGCAGCTTAGCATCGGCAAGCTTCCAGAACAGGGCAAATTAGGCTTTAGCGCCTGACCACACAATACAATATCCACCTGCCTGATTGGGCGGCGTATCGGCACATCTTTCGGTCAAAATGCATATTATACGCATCCTGCGCGAACCTGCTTGGAGCAGGAGATAAACCTGGGGTATGAGCAGTCGAATGAGGTGCTCTGACGGAAAGCTTGGCTCGGAGGCACTTTGTTGGATATATAGGAGGCGAGGCGTCACTCCCCAGACTCGTCCTGGATCTGCCCCGGATTTTGCATTGCACTCGCCCTTGAACTGAACTTCTACACACCAAAGGCTACTAAACCAAACCCTTTCAACTTCAACTCTTCACCCAAAAGTCATCATGAAGACCGCCGCTTTCATCGCCGTCGCCCTCTCCGGCCTTGCCCTCGCTGCCCCCAGCATGAAGCGCGCTGGCACCGAGTGGAAGGACCTGACCGACCTCAAGTACGCCAACTCGGTCCCCGTCTCTATTGCAAAGGGCGACCGTACCGCCGTCAAAACCGCCGCCAAGCGCGCCGCTGATGTCGCTGCCGCCGTCCCCGTCAAGGACCTCCGCAACCTCAAGTACTCCCACGACATGCCCATTGCGAAGAAGCCCGCCTCCGCATAAGCGAGCCTCAACCTCTTGCGATGTGAGGAGCTTCCTTCTTGTATATAAACTTTTTTGATGGTTTGTGGCAAGCCCTCCTTGACGATGTTGTTGTTGTGGTTGGACTAACATGAGACTTATAGACGCAACCACATTCTTACGCCTGCGTATCGGGCTGTTGAAATACTTTGTCGCCGCCAGTTGTACATATTGTTGTTGGCGATGATGTCGATGCGCTAGATGTGGATGTATATATGACTCGCTATGTATATATGAAATGCACGATTTACTCTGCCAGAGTGCTTATATGCGCCCCTCTATGTTGACTCTCTGTGACTTGATGCACTGTGCACATCCGTTGAATGAAACAGATGTTATTTAGTCCCATCTCGTAGCAGCCATTTCCTGGAAATGCCCGCTGATTAAGACAGTAGGGTCGGTCTGAGAATACATATCCGGAACGTGATCCGACATTTGGTTGGACCGGCGCCCCAAGCAATGTGGGCATTGTTTTGTTTTGTAAAGGGGTTAATGCCTCACAACAGCCAATGAAGTTGTTACTCTAAAAGCCAAACTGAAACTACTACGGCATTGCCGCTGTATTACGGCACAGATTTGCAAAGTCTTGTACAGTGACTGACTCTGTAGATTCTCATCGAGTCCGGTTTGCTGATGGGGCGCATTACTCTAGTAAGTCGGGGAGCATGTCACTAATATGCAACCAACAATAGGATCTTTGAAGCTTAAACAAAGAAAAGGCCCATAATCACAGTAAGAAGACAATGAGAAATATTCAGCAACATATGTATAACCATTAAAAATCCACACTATTCCGCAAACGCTGTCATAAAGCTATGTACAATTGACGGCTAATAGAACCGCCTATATACAAAATATATAAAGTAAACATCATTCGTGCCTTGAACAAATGCATCGTACTCATAACAGGCAGTGTCATTGTCGATGAAGAGCCAGCCTCAGCCCATCAGACGCTGAAACACCAGCTCCACAGACACCACCTCTTAATCTCCATGCCAGTGCCGCGGAATTAATTGTTCGGGTCAACGGCGCACACCTTTTCAATGCAAGCCAACTCATCAGAACAATCATCATCACTACTGCAAGAGGCACCAGCGCAGTGGCCGGCCCACGAACAGGAAGGGGGAGGAGGAGGAGGAGGAGAAGAAGACCCACTAGTGCCACACTTGCCGCTGTTGCAAGTCAAGTCATCAGAGCAATCATCATCACTGCCGCAAGAGGCACCGGCACAGTGGCCGGACCAAGAGCAGGTAGGCTGAGAGCCGGAGGGCTTGGTGGAGGAGGCGGGAGGAGGAGGAGTAGAGCCACCAGTGCTGCCAATACGGGCAACGAGCTGGTCACCAAGAGAGCCCAGAGAGGACTCAAAGGCACTGAAGGAGCTGGCAGCCCAGTTGGCACCGTTGGCACCGGGAACGGCATCATTGCCGGTGAAGGCAATGTACAGAACGTCGTTCGGGTCGTGGGCAGCGTTGCCGTTGACAGCGTTGCCGTAACAGGCACGGCCGAGAGCGTCGGAGACCTCACCGACCAGGGGAGGACCGTCATCACCGTTGGTGTCACCCCAGACGCCGTAGAACTGATGGCAGTGTTAGTCTTGACTTGCTTTTGACGTATTAGACTTGAATTCTTGAGATGCTCACCATCTGGTTACCGCAAACAACAGCAACAATGGACAGAGGCTGGACGTTAACAGACGTAGGGTCGAAGGTGACGTAGCCGCTCTTGCTGCCTTCGTTACCGAGAACGACGAAAGAGTGAACATAGGCGTTGAGGTCCTTGATACCCTTCTTATAACTGACGACGGTGTCCTTGAATGAGGTCTCCCCCTGAGTATCCTCTGAGCTGTCGCAGCTGCCGTCACCAGTGCCGAGAGCACCGTCGCAGTCAATGTCCATGTTGACCAAGTTGCCGCCGGTGCCCTGGAGGTACATGATGCGGTAATCGCTCAAGTGGTCACCGCAGTAGGAGAAGTCTGAGACTCATGTTAGTTACCTCTTGAACAAAGCATCATTCGTCTTTCTTTCTCCTTCACTACTTACTCTTGGAGTCGCCCTCCTGGCTGTAGAAGCCACCCTTGAGGATGTTCTTGCACTGGCCCTGAGCACGGATCGAGTTGTACAGACTCTGGACATTGGCGGGAATCTGGCGAGCCAGAGCGGGCGAAGCCGCAAGGGCAGCGAGCAAGAGAGCGTCGAAGCTGCGCATTGTGATCGAGAAGTTGTCGTATGCGGTTGAGGCTGGAAGACTGGGCGGTGATGAAGAATTTCTCTTGGCTTCAGCGAGGGAACCACAGACGCTTTATATAAACACAACCTTCCATAGAAGCATTAGTTGTTTGTTTGTATAGAGAGTACTTCGGAACTCCGTAGGATGTTGTTTTAGAGCCAATTGACCTTGCGATGTTCCGTATACGAGGTACACGACCCCCCGTTCAAGGGAATACTCCGAACCCAGTTCCATTGCAGGTCCAGGCATTTTCCATGCTAGTGAGCTCCTCCTCGCCCCTGCGCTAAACCATCCAGAACGTCGGCTTCCGCGGCGGGTTGCGCAGCCTGAGTCTCTTGTTGATGAGTTTCTGTGTGTCTGACCCCATGCTAGTTGTAACGTTAATGAAAGGCTTACATCCATCGAACTGCCTCTTTCGTCAACCAAGGCGAAACCCTGCCGTACGAGGAATGACATGCTCGAAATGCTTCGCGTTAGAACTCTCTCAGGAGACTTGCAAATCGTATGAGATAATCAGCTTATGGGGTAGTCATGGATCGTAACTGGTGGGCAGATAATATTAAACCGCGATGAATAAGCATAACTTCTAGCCTACACAAGGCAGCTGTACAGGCAACTCAAGCTCGGCGTCTATCAAAGGAAGGTTAAAGCAACCAGGATTGCCTCTGCTTTCTGATCCACAAGAGACTGACTAAACTCAAATGTTAACGGCATTTGTCTGGCTGATCTGACCGTCTGACCCTCAAGATACAGGGGCCGCTAGCATTTCCAAAAAGCTTAGCCAAAGAAAATGCCCGCCCTTTATTTTTTCCAACGTTACGTTCAATAGGAGGGCTGCGAACCAATGCCCAAATCGCCAAGTTTGGGGCACGTTTTCCGCCCCGACTGTGCCCGGTCCCATCCGATGTGCGGCACGATTTGTTCGCAGGGTGGTGCAGATCTACTGCCCCCCCTGAGAGGCCCAATCAAAGCCAGCTGGCGGTCCAAAAACCAACCCTTCTCATTTCAAGGCCGTATCAGATTGTGTGGAGAAGCTGAGCTGCAGGAATTTGTCTTGGCTAGATGCAGTCTAGCAAAATGGCTAGGGGAGCCCTGGACAGAACACGGCCTACACCGATTTACTCCAGCTAGGCACAGAATCTCGTACTCTGCCTCGGCGATTCCACCAATGGCACTATGCATAAACGCAGAACCAAAACAAGAATTTAGACTTATCAATGACTCTGTTGAGTTGGTTTTGCGATGGCGCAGGGATTTTGACATGTGGCCCTGGCCTGAACTCGGCACAGTAGCCGGTGGAGTAAACGTGCACTATGTATCATTGTCAGTCGTGTTAAAGTTCATGTTCATGTAATGATGTTGGTTCATGTTAACAGAAATAACTATGTTTACCTCTACTTGGTATCTGCTTTGTACAGATACTTGTATCTTGGCCGCTCGTGGCCATCATATCGCCAAGACGTGGCCCTATCTATCATCCATTTTGGGAGATCAATTGGACAAAGAAGGATTCCAAAGGTGCGCCGAAACGGACAGTGCTGCATATGGACTATCCAGAGATGGAAAGAGGCAACAGGATACGAGCTTGCCAGCCTAGGCAAAATATCAGGAGCTCCATCTCGCACAACATATTGCCTGTCTCCCCACTTGATGATATCACAACCATATTCCCATATTAGGAACCGATGAGCTTATGTGTTCTCAATGTGGACATGTACGCAAGTAGACTGGCTCCCCGCTCACACATGGCAAACGTATCATCTGAGGCAGAGGCTGATTCCGTTGGCAAATATTGAGACTCAAGCTTCTTTTTAGCTCTCCCCCATATAGAGCAACGTTATCTGCATAGTGCACTTCTCCAGGTTCTACTAGTCCGTTTAGCGGCGGCTTTCGTTGGACCCCCAACTGGCACCGCATTCTTGGTGCATAGAAGTTGGCAAATGTTACAGCAATCCAGGTCTACAATACCGAGGAAGGAAGAAGGTGGATCAATCATCAATTCCGTTGCATTCCAAGTTTACATGAAGAGAGTAATTGAACTAGACAATAGCTTCGATTGGAGGACGCATTGATGCTATTCCCACGGAAATCCAATATCCACCAATTACACATGTCGAGGTCAAGTGATGAGGAAGGTCTCGAAAGCCGAGGCGGCGGCGAAAGCCGTAAATCCACCAGTAGCTTCTTGGCCGATCTTCTTTATTTCCCAAAACAACTGCCGTTATCTGGAATGAATCCTTTTTAAAGACAGCTCCCTGTTTTGCACGGCCCAAAGTAGTATAGGCAATCGTTTACAAAGGTTCAATACCACCTTAAATTCCCTCGGGCGACACACACCCTCCAAGATGGAGCGCGATCGATGATACGGCCGGGCTGATGAGATACTATGAATCATGAGTAACCTGCATTAGGTAGTCTTACTGGTATGGTGCTTTGCAGCATCTTACACTAGGGGGTCATGGTTATAACAAGGAAGTGACCCGGCTTATACGGTTCGATCCGATGACTAGTAATCTTGGCATAATCATAATTGAATGACCGTATAGATATACGACAGCTACCTTAGCCAATGTTACATTGAATCCTCCGCCACCTCAGTATCAGTAATCTCCTGCCTCTCGCCCCATACAGCAGTCCTACATCTATTCCAAATATTTCCTTGCTATGACTCTCACCGCGTTCTTTTAGGAGTGCACGACGGCAATGGACTGGATGTGCACTTCAGAAGTAACAGCCGTCTTGCCCTGGTTGTAGTTGCCACTCTTAAAGTAACAGTTGGGAGAATCCCAATCATAGGTGCTGAGAGTAGTCTTCTTTCCATTGATGGAGATGCTCAGAACGTTCTTGGAATACGACATCACATAAGTGAAGTACGTTCCCACAGGCACGTTACCAAGCTTGGTGACAATCTGGTTGTCATCTGGGCTCTCCTTGACACCAACGACAATGTCACCTTTGGTGCTGTAGTACATCTCTGCAAGCGGCTTGCTGGCTGCGGACGCAAAGACTTGGCCAATGGCAGTGCCGTGAGAGCCATCATCTGCCTTGACGACTTTCATGCTGACGGTAAGCGTGTTGGTTCCCGTAGGAGCCCAATCCGTGTTTTTGCCACTTTTGGGATCGACCTCGCGCAGCTCAGTACGACAGTGGTCGCTGCCAGAGGTTTTGGCACAGCCGGTGATGTCTGGGTTGCCAGGTGCCGTCAGAATGAGCTCGCCATTGGATTTATCTGTGAAGAACGTGGGGCCGGTATAGCCACTGCAACCCTGGAGATCTTTGCTCTTGATTGTGTCGACACTGCCATCACTTCCAGTTGGCAGCTGAAGGCTCCAGACGCTGAGGTCGAAGTTGCCTCCGGGAGCACAGCTGGGGTTCAGGGCTAGGACAGCCGTGACGGGGAGGAGAGAAAAGAGGCTGATGATGGACTTGGGCGTCATTGTAGAGGATATCTCGACGATATTTTTTTGCTAATGAGTTATATGTGAGAATCTCTGTATGAAGCTTGCTTTGTTGAGGCTGATTACTTCCCTTTGTCCAGATGCCATCGTCTCTCTTATATACTTTATCACGAGAGACTCCGTGTTTTACATCCTGCTGCCAAGTGCTGCCAAGATACTCCTTCTCTACTATCTCTTGACTATCAGTTCACAATCCTATCCTTCAAAGTCTATGCTTTTTTTCCACCAATTACTTTTATTCCTGGTGATTCCCATGGAATATTCCGCATCTGTCAACCCGAAACGCGTCCTGCTTCATGAAGGAAACATTATGGAACACACATGCTCATCGCCTCTCATCGCCAAGACTATCGTCAATCCCTTCCACAAGCAGCCCCAAGTACCCTAGCTCAGTGCGGAAAGCCGACTGACAAATTCTGCATCCAAGCATGCACTCTAGGTCATGTCAAGCTTTTTTCCCCGCATTATGAGTGAGCCGGACCTCCTGTCAGATCGATGCGACTTGCCCATTTGCCGTGACGGTTAAATTGGCCATTGGTGGGATTTCTTGAAGATGCCTCCATGAACGCTCTGTGTACCGGCTAACGGCAGATGTGCCATGCAGAAGAAATGGCGAATTTACATTTCCCCAGACCCAATGCTAACCACTAACAGACGATCCCTATGGCTAGATTCAGTATTGCCTTTTTAGGTAATCCCATCTTCAAGCCCGAGGGCGAGGAGAAGCTCAGCCGGAATACGCGCGGGAAAATGAAGCGAAGAGTCTGCTCACTTCATCACCTTTCACACACAATCAGTGAGTTTTCTGATCCTATGCCAATTCCATCAAGACCTTTGGGGTTGGTGCTACCAATTCAACATCATCTTGTACTGATGCTTCGATTCTGCTATTCTTCACTCTTATTGTATATTGATCTATTTCACAATCTCCCTCTGTAGTCGGTTCCGACTTCAAATAGTGGTGAATCATGGCCCGATGGCCAGTCTAAGAAACTGAGGATATCCTTTCCGTGGTAAGTTGTTTTAAGCTCGTGTCTTTTCTTATCATTTCTTGAGAACTAGCAGAACCCTGATATTAGGTAGTCCAACAGAACACTGAGATGCTTTACCCAATCCTCACACCCAACAGTCGAGACGTCTTGACCTTCATATCTAATGGCACCCAGATATTTGTTGCAAGTGATGGTCTTGTGCATCATGAATAAAGTTTGCACTATTCGACTCCGAGTACCCTGGTCTTCCAATACGCACGGAGAAATTAAAGACAAAGTCATTGAGGAATCTGCCGCCTCATGTGAAAGAGAGATCCGTGGCAATATCTCGGTGAGCAAATCCAATATATAAATCTGTCTTATCAACTACGTTGATATGTTGATGGATCTATTTCCATACGGATATGCAGCCTTTGTTCTCTCTCCTCTTCCCCTGCGAAATAGGCTGATATAAACCCAATGAAACACCCTTCGAGTCTATCCGCGAGTATACTACCAAAAGAGGCAACGCTGGAAACTTACGCAGAAATACCTCTAAACCTCCCCATATCCCTCAAGCCGTATAAATCTTGAAAATTCAAGCATAACATTCCTAAGCGTTGAATCATTATTGATGGAGGGATAGCCAGCACAGTGTGTCTTCCCATCTTTAGGGTACATGTTTGTAGATGCTGATAATAAGCCGCCACCAGGAGAGGTTTGAATTGCATAGATATCAGGTGCAAGATTGTCAATCAATGAGTTAACGAGCTGTTTGAAGGGACGATCTCCGACCCAAGCTTCTCATTCAGGGGAACTGAAATGTGACGTCGCTAGACTTAGTAGTCAATATGCTAAGCGGTTGGAACTCCAGGATAAATGTGGTCCCTAAGGGTAAATAACATGAAATCAAGATATCCTAGATTGGTCTTGGAAATGGCTGGCGGACATGGACTACACACGCATGCTATAATGCGAGAGAGCTGGTTGAGACCTCAGAAGGGGGTAAGATATTCCTAGAGAAGTTGAATGCGACTAAGAAGTAACAAATGACTTGAAGCCAGCGAAAAAAAAAATTAACTGAAGGTCAAGATCATAACCATTGCTTCCATTTTAAAAATAGACTACCTGATAATGAATCGATTAAATGCAACAATATGATGCTCGAACACCATAGCTACATGCAGATACTTGCGAGTGTGTGTTTGAGCCGCCTTCTGCAAATCGTTGTGTGCATGCGTTCTCAGGGGCTCATGTCATGCTATCCAGTTTTATTTCAGTTTATTTGTCAATTAACTTATTCCATTTAAAAGAATGCAATTAATTTTGTTGCATTTTTTGGCGGCAGTTTATTGTCAGGATTTACAAAGAGTTGCAACCTCCTGATGATCAGTTGTCCTACCCTGCATTGGCAGTGGCTGGTTCAATCTGGGGGCCAAATTCCGTGCGACACCGTTAGTAATGTTTGTGGTACTACTCAGTACACATGTGCCTTGGATCATCATGTCCCTGCATTTAACGATGAAGGTTTTGATGTCGCTAAGGGTAAGCGAAATACGGCCGTCGCTATTAAGCTTCAAACAAGGGGGCGCCTAGTCTTGTGCTTTTATATCTGTGCTTGGTGTTTAAACGACGACCTCGGTTACACTCGAGTTTTATACTCTGCAAAGCAGGGAGTGATTTTGCATCAAATTGTATGAATTTGCTCGGTAATGATGCTTCCAGTGCATTTCCATGGTCTGTGTCCTCCCGGGTGTGTTTGAGAAGATGAAAGCATGGAGCGTCAAAGACGTCAATGCTTAGATACCTAACTACTATGCATCTCAGTAATACAAGATACAGGTAGATATTGATCAAGTTCTAGTTACATAAGGCGGGAAGGGGTACGGAGTTAGGATTTACTCGTTACTGGACCCCTAATGTCTCCTTGCGGAGCAACATGAAGCAAGAGAGCGTGTGAGAAAGTGGCCCTGAAATAATGGAATTGCGGCTTGTCAAATTGAGACTAGCGCGCATGATCCCGCTGACTAAGAATGTGTCAAGGGCACGTGCGTGACAGTACTTTGATGTGATGAGATTGATGCTTGCGGACATTGAAGACGATTATAAACATGAGAGTCCTGCATAGGTATGTTGAGTTGCAAATGTGTTAGTAGTATTTATACCTTCCCTGCTGCATCTATTCAGACAACTCAACTGATTGCAAATGATATGGACGTCACACAATCTGCCTCGGGGATGCATTAGACATACTTCGGCTGTCAGGTAACCTTGAATTATGACTAAGCAGCCATCCATGCTGCTCATTTGATTAAGGGCTGGCTGGGCTCATCTCAAGTTGCTCGTACGCGACGCCGTATCAAACCAGCCAGCTTCACACGGTATCTCCAGGTACTCACTCAACTGCACTGGACCATCCAGTTGCAAAAAGATGGAGTGCAGTTACGCCGCTGTTGCTCGGCGCTTATGCCTGGCCCGCGGTCTATTGAACCTTATTCGTGGCAGTGCGGGTTTGAGGCTGATGGTGACTGGCTGCCCCTCATTACGCGGACATAGTGTAGCCGCCGACTAAGAAGTTTAGGTTGATGGATTGATGGAATCCAGCCGCTGTGCCTGAACTCTGTCAGCGTGGCAGCGCTGTTGGGACATATAATATGGAGTAATGGCGGGCGGAGTGAAGGTGTAAATGTTGAAATGTTGAATGTCAGTGTAAGCCACCTTTCTTTTCTGTTGGCTGTGCATCTCCAGTTGTAAGAATGAAAGCAGATGGAGATCAATTCTTCTGAGTATTGACCCTTGTCTGGCACTGTAAAGAGAAATTAACAGCAGCCGGAGCGGGAAAAAACAGGGACTAAGAGGCACCGCTAAGCCCGCTCAAGGCATAGCCGCCCGTTATTTTACTAGAGCCGATTGCCCTTCTGCAGAAAAAACCGGGCTTCTATAAACAAGATTCAACCCAGGTGGATTTTTTACCCACTCAGGTCCCACGCCGCTCTCATTTGCACCCAATAATCCGGAGCTGCTTGCTTGCATGACTTGTAACTTTGTGCCTCGTCTCTCGTTCTCCTTCTGGTGCTGCTCCTGATTCCGCTTTTGCATCTGCTCTGCCTCTGCCTCTGCCTCTGCCTCATTGCCTCGTCCAGCGTCAGCCCTCGATACCCAAAAGGCAGCGCCACTCCCTCGACGCGTCACCTCGAATCTACGCGATACTCGCCGTCAGCACGAAAAGCGACTGTATTTCTACCTGCGCAATCGACCGATTCAGCGTCCATCCTCGACCCATCTCCAGCATCCCTCACAATGCCTCTCTGCGGCGGATCCAAGACGGTGCAGCGCAAGCTGGTTCTTCTGTGCGTCGACAACTCGAGCAATCTTGTCGCCCATCCATCGGCGGAATCAATGAATGCTAACCGCCTTGTTTGCGAATTGATAGGGGCGATGGTGCCAGCGGAAAGACGTCGCTGCTCAACGTCTTCACAAGAGGGTTTGTCGCCCACTCGCGCCCAACTTTGCTTTTGCCCTTGCCTCCGCCTCCGCCCTTGACCTCTTCAACCACACCCGCTTTCGTCTCCGCCTTGCCATCAATCGAATCTATAACGCCTTTCAAATTCTAACAATTTTTTTATGACAGTTACTTCCCGACCGTCTACGAACCCACCGTCTTCGAAAACTACGTTCACGGTACGCTGCGACTCCTCATTTTCGCCCATGACAGGCACTAACCACCATTTGGCGCAGACATCTTCGTTGACAACGTCCACATCGAGCTCTCGCTCTGGGATACGGCTGGACAGGAGGAATTCGACCGTCTACGATCTCTCTCTTACGGTATTATAGACAATCACCCCCGCATTCCCTCCACTGCGTATGCTGACGTTGCATACATCAGATGACACCGATTTGATCGTGCTCTGCTACTCGGTCGATAGCAAAGACTCGCTAGAAAACGTCGAATCCAAATGGGTCGGTGAGATTGCCGACAACTGCCCCGGCGTCAAGCTGGTCCTGGTCGCCCTGAAATGCGATCTGCGCCAGCAGGAGGAGGAAGAGCCCGAAGAAGGCGCAGCAGCCGACGGCAACCCTCCGCGCGAGAAGCCCCCCACCATTTCCTACGACGAGGGCCTCGAAGTCGCCAAGCGAATAGGCGCATCCCGATACCTCGAGTGCTCGGCCATGAAGAACCGCGGAGTCAACGAGGCCTTCACAGAGGCCGCCCGTGTGGCGCTGAGCGTCAAGAAGGAGAGGGAAGACAACAAATGCACAATCATGTAAAGATGATGCAGCTTTTACCCCGTTTATGTCGGGGTTCTCTTCTTGATACCCCCCCCGATGTGCCTTGCAGACAGGCTGCAATGAGGCCGCGTAAAGCAAGAGGCAACTTTCCATGCAACGACGCATTCTTTTTTTTTTTTTTTGTCATTTGAATCTGCTTCTGTCCCATTTTGTTTGTTTGTTGGTTTTCCCCCCAAAGCTACATCAATCTACCATGGACCTTCACCGTACATATTCGACTGCGGAATGACCGATTTGCGGTTTCTATTTTTGTTGTAATTTTTTCCTGGAATGGAGTGCAGGAGCTGAGATTGGCGGGAAAAATGTTCGATACACAGCGCGCTCATGTAGCGTATTTCCGACGCAGTCTAGATTTGTCGTCACAATTTCTCTTTTCTTTTTTTTTTACTACCATCTTCTTGATTTTTCTATTGTTTTCTCTACAGCTCTATACACTAAAGAAGGGGGCTCTGCTTGTGTCTTAGACCAGGATCGACTGAATGTTAACGTTTCGTTTGTCTAACTGGTGTGTGACGTCTTGGGCTCAGCTACAAGTCATCGACATGTTTCGGCTGATAACGTGAATGAAGTACAATGCACCAAGTGACAGGTTGGGTAGTACAATAAGCATCGGAACAAGATGGTCGCTATTATTAGTAGCATCTCGATGGCCTTTTCAGCTATGCGCACTGATTGTGTCCAGCAAGCTTGGTCGTCTGCTCATCAGGTCTTCATCGCATAAGGCATGATGACATCTAGTCCCAAGGCCGATGCGCCAACGCACGCAAGGCACGTAGCTAACGTCTGCATAAATTGCTTCTTTCATCACCTCTGCACCTGTATCGTCATGCTCAGGGCGTGATTGGTTCTCGTCCAAGGCAAGCATTTGTTTGTTGCGGCTAGCTACACCAAGATTTGACGTCACAGCGGCGATCGTGCGATCATCGCTCTAGGGATCAAACAGGTTTGCCCCAAAATGGCCGGACGAGCACCACAACATCATCATCGGCGTGGACAAGAAAGATGATGGAGGGGGGCCAAGAAAAAAAATAAAAGACCCTGAAGATACGACCCTTTTCATTTTCTTATTCTGAGTTTTTCATTACACAAACACTTACACACTTGCACAACGCTTTATATATCGCATTATTTGCCACCACTTGGACACACACTCACCCCAAGGATCTACAACACATCAGTAGTACATACCATACACTACCACAACCAAAATGCCCTTCTTCAGCCGCAGTGAGCCATCGCCAGAGCCCGTCTACCAGCCGGAGCCCGTGGCCGAGCCCCCCAGCCGCAAGCACAGCCTGTTCCATCGCAACCGCGATGTCTCTCCCACCTCGTCCCACCGCACAGGCTCCGTGGCCTCTTCCAACAACGGCGGCCCGGGAGGCTACAACGCCGCCGGCAGCAACTCGGGCGGCGGGCTCTTCCGGCACAGCACCGACAGTTCGGCGGGCAGCAGGCGCCGAGGCCTGTTCCACCGTGACGGCGGCGGCATGCAGGCGCTGGACCCGAGCATCTTGCAGGCCAGGGAGCATGTGATGCACGCTGAGGCGGCTGAGGTCGAAGCTGATCGAGCGCTGGGAGAGGCGAGGATGAGAGTGAGGGCTGCGAAGGACCATGTTTGGAGACTGGAGGAGGAGGCGAAGGAGGAGGCGAGGAGGGCTAAGATTAAGCAGGAGCAGGCTCGTGAGGTGTCTAAGAGAGGACAGGGACTTGGACGTAAGTTTTGAATCATGATATGGTGCCTGATTGTGTTACGTTTGCTGACTATGTGGTGTTACAGGTCACGGCTTGTAAGGAGTGACGATTACTGGTCAATACTAATGAGCAATACCCGATTACTTTTGGTGGTGTAAGATTGATGTTAGCACGGAGCACTGTGTTAGGTGTACGATTACAGCGGAGCTTGGTTTAATGTCTCAATATTTCCTTGCGTTTGGAATTCATGTTCAAAAAATTGCGCTACTACCCGAAATCTCTAGTTATAGCCTTTCTAAGCTCCTATATGAATAAAAGACCCCCATAGCAATATGTCCTCTCTTACTCCAGCCTTCTTTCTAAAATTGCAAACTGCACGGTGCAGAACCTGGGCAACTTGATGTTCGTCTTGATCCTCTTCATCGCCCCCAAGGAGTTGCGTGTAAAATTGCCTTGCTACCACGCCAGCAGCATGGTCATCAGCGCTCCACATTGTTCCAACTACGTGCTTAAACCCGAGCATCTGAAAGCTGTTCGATATATGAATAGCCTCGTCTAGGAGTTCTCCTACGGAGAGCTCAGCGGTAGAGCATGCGGAAAGATATGCAATTTCGGCGTTCTGCATGTTAATTCGGTCGAGCTCACCGATTGTCAGAAGAGCTGGCGCGTCTTCCTCGAGTAAGACCAGGCCGCTCTCCGAAGGATCATGAGGATCCGAGGTTCCGTGACAGGCAAAATGCACAAACTTGCTGTTGCTTAGATTAGCTATGACGTCTGACTTGCTGCAGCTCTTCAAGTGAGTGACTCGATGACCAAATTGACTAGTGATAACCGCAACCTCATGTGTGGTGTTTAGGTCATCATAGCCAGGCGTTTCGGGCATATCAATGAGAAGCATCCGCCCAGTAGATGCTTTGGATCCAGGCATTTCCATGGAATACTTGAGTGCTTTCAAGGTCGACGTATACGAAGAAACAACTCGAGAGATGGTGTTTGAGTTTGAGTTTCGTGAGTGATCACCAGCTGCGTGAAACGGCAACCGTCCGGCGCTCCCGCCGGCACTCCACCACACTCGCTTCGGCTTCAAGTCGTCGACTTCATCTAATACCGGACAGACACAACACTTCCAAAGCCATAGAAGATCTTCTTGTAGACGTTCTTTTTCAGATATCCATGTCGTATCACCAGTCGACATCACTGCTGTATCACGAAAAGACCTTGGTCGGGCGCCTAAGAAGACAGCACTTATTTTGTCTACCCTGTCTTGATGTAGACCTGGGAGATGAATTGGCCATATATCAGTTGAAGTTACAATGATGGCATCACTACGTATTTTAGATACGTTAAGTGTGATGATTGGGCCTCGTTTCGCTAGATCCATCATTTCCTGAGAGGACAATGGTAACTGAAAGCGCTGTAGTCCCGGAATTTGACGTATTCTCTTCTCGATGTCACCGAGTTCTTTCAGTTTTTCAGGGAGAGATACTGAGTCTTGCGAATTCATTTTATTCAAGCCATCGGGGATGGCCTCTTGGTATCTTTCCCAGCGCGAGATGACATCGCGGCAGCTCTCATATTTGTTGCAGAGGTCTTGATCCTTGGCTCTTAGCTCGGTGACATCAGTCCGGGAATTTATGGCAAAGCCTGCTATAACACAGCGACTGGCTTCGAGAAACTGAAGCGCTTCCGAAGCCGGACGCTTCACTTGGAGGATGCAGGACGCTGCGTTGGATGAGAGTCCGGACAAGTTGCCGAGGATCCACTGCTGGTCCGTACGGGGAAGAGCTCGCAGATGTAGCGTTTGAAGCACTTGGAATGCAATATTGTACGTGTCTAATGCTTCGACCCATCTTGATTTGTCTATCATTGCTGCACCCAGGCTGCGAGCCGCCATGATCCTTTCGATAGGAAGTCCGGCATTCATGGTCACTGCTTCGGTGAGGTTGCTCACAGCGCTCTCGAGATCTTCTTCCTGTCCGGTCTTCTGATATTTGATAAGATACTTGGCGCCCAAGTTCTTCAATATTCCACTACGATCCGGGCTGTCTTTCGGGAATCTGTCGCACGCGATGCCGATATATTGTATCGCGTCATGTAGGTCTTCGACTGACTGGGTTCTCTCATACAATTCAGCCAGCCGCATGCCCAAATTATTAGCCCATATGGCGTAATCCGAATGATCTTGTGGCGTTCCTTCCATAGCTTTCTTATGATACCTGATTGTTTCCTCCAGGATACCAAAGTTTCTTGTTTTGTCATATTTCGTGCCGAGATGAAGGGCTAAGTTATTCAAGCAGGCTGCTGTGTCTGGATGATCGGATTTCTCCTCCACGGCCTGTAGGCTACGCGATATAGCATCTTCCAGATCCTGTGGCACTTCGGTTCTTTTATATCTGGCGCCGAGCATTATACCAAGATGGGTCAGTACTTTAGCCCGTACCTTTGCACCGTCTGGTGTGACATCCACAGCCTTTTGGCAACAATCAATAGCTTGATCAAGATGATCCATCTCTTGTGTTGTGTTGTACTTGTGATATAACAAAAGGCCCAGGTTGGTGTAAAGACCGGCCCGATCGAGATCTTTTGATGGTGGGGTACATGTAGAGGTAGCGTCGCGAAGATGGCGAATAGCCTCGTTCAGGTCATCCTGGTGTCCTGCTTGACGGTATCTCTCACTGAGGCGAATACCCAGATTGCTCAAAACTTCTGCTCGAAGAGAAGATTGAAGCGGAGTCGTATCTACAGCTTGTTGACTGAGAATAATGGCTTCTTCCAAGTCCTTTGGCTTGCTTGTCAACGAGTATTTCTCGCTCAGCCACACGCCCAAATTGCTTAGTCTTCTTGGTCGGTCACTATGCGCCATTGGCGTTGCTTCAACCGCGTCTCTGAAGCCTTTTATAGCCCCATCAAGATCGTCGATCGTCCTTGTCTTCTTGTATTCATCAAGAAGTAAATTGCCAAGCATGTCTAGCAGCTCAGAACGTTCATCATCTTGTGGAGTTGCTTCGATGGCTGTCTGTAAATGGGAAACAGCGCACATCAAATGAGTTGGCGTTTGTGTCTGGATGTATCGGTCCTTTAAGCAGCTCGCTAAGGTTATATGTACCTGTAAAGCTGTCTGACTAGAGCTTTGCATAAGGAAAGACTCGGAAACATCTCGAAAGCTACATATAGCCCTCTCGAGAACTTCCAACTCCAGAGTCAAATTATACAAACATCTTAAAGAAGTTCCGTAATTGTGGACGCGACCCGGACGATCATGGTGGTTTGCGGGTGTAGCGTCGACCGCTTCTTGGAGCTTTTGAACGGCTTTTCTTAAGTCATGAGGCGAATCAGACGCCCTCCCACGTTGAAGCAGTACAAGGCCCAAATTGTTTAGCATTACCGCTCGATCAGGGTCTTGTGGCAATGTAGCGTCCACAGCTGCTTGCAAAGCAGAGATCGCTGCGACTTCTTCTTCAGTCGTTGGGATGGTTGTTTTATAGTAGATATCGAACCGTTGCATCGCCAGATTGCATAATCTTCTTTTGCGATCCGGATGACTGACGGGCATTGACTCCACGGCTTCTTGGAAATAGCTCGTGGCGGTTTTGAAGTCTTCGAACGAACCAGTCAACCTGGACCTGTCGCGAAGGACAACGCCGAGTTTGTGAAGGATATTAGAGCGATCGCCGGAGTCGTTTGGGATTTCTTTTAATTCTTTCTGCAGCGTGCTCGCCATCATCTCCAATTGTTGAAGGAGAGAGTCTCTGTCCATAGCTGACATCTTGGTACTGTCACTCAAAGACACGCAAAGAAAGAAAGGGTGCGGCTATCGATACCGAATATTCACCACACAGATGTCTTATTCTCCACTTGTCTTGTAAACTGAGAGAAAAGGATGTGGATAGTAGTTGGGTAATTTGGATGCTGGGAGAGTCAAAAGATACGAGGTAAAGACGAAATAAGGCGATGGCACATATTAAGCCTACTCTTGCTAATACAGATACTACATCCACACCCTTCAAGTAGTGACTTGTGAATAAATTAACCTACATGACCTTTGATCATATGTGGATGCACTTTTGCAAGTGCATAAGCCACCATGCGTGTGTTGTAATATAAGGCAGCAATACATGATACTTGATCGCGCCAATGAATGCCTTGGTACTCGTAATAGGGCTTGATAAGAGAATTTGGCATCTTTTCTAGTTATCCTAGTTGGGTATCTAAAGCGTACATATATCGGTTAGCCCCAGAATCTCATGAATCACCTACCTCCTATAAACCTATCTTCCTATCTTCATCCTCAGTCTCACTGACTCTTGCTCTCTCTGTACTTCTTTTTTTTTTTTTTTAACAACCATGACCACTTCCAACCAATGCAAATGGGCAATACTTGTTGGTATCAACTATTATGGGTACCCAAAAGATGAGCAATTGGACGGTAGCATCAACGACATACGTAAGATGTCGACATTTCTGCAGGAGTTTATCCAAATTCCAGCAGCGAACATATCTATGTACCATGATTTCAACGAAGATGGTGCAATTGATAAAGACGTTAAGTTGAAGCGGTTACCCACTGGAGCCAATGTTCTACAGGCACTCCGAAGAGTCTCCCAAAATGCAGCCAAAGGCGACTTTGTCTACTTTCATTACTCCGGCCATGGTGACCGAAAAGAAACTCAATATAGTCCCCTGAAAGGTAACACAACAACTTTTGACGAAGTTCTTTGTACCTTAGATGAGGAGATTAGAGACGTGGAGTTTGGTAAGATCCTGGATGACATGGTTGACAAGGAACTTGTTGTGCTTGTCGTTCTTGACTGTTGCTACTCTGGAGGCGCAACCCGGGCAGGGTTCAAAGACCAGGACGGTAATTCGATAAAATTACGTCAACCACCCAATCGCAAAAGATCGTCGAACGATGATATGAGCAAGACAAACCTCGATCCTGCTAAGCTAGACACTGGCAGCAGTTGGCTCTACCGAGATCGTGGCTACAATATGTTAGCAGCTTGCCAGCCCCATCAAAAAGCTGGCGAATATCACGGAAGCGAGGGGATCCTCACACATTTCTTCCGTGAAACTGCGGAGAGCCTCTACGCTGGGGGCTCCCAGGTCACATATGGCATGCTACAGAGCATGTTAAACACCAAAGTTGAACGCTATTTTAATTTACAGCAGCCAATGCATCTCGGAGAATCAGATAAGATTCTTTTTAGCAGCGAAATCGCTTCCAGTTCTTCTACAGATTGGGTCAACGTCAAAAAAAAATATTCTCTCGTTGGAAAATTGACGCTGAACCAAGGCGAGGTGCAAGGCGTTGCTGTTGGCGATAGATACGGAATCTTCCGTCCCGGACGACCATTCCTAGGTCTCGATGACAAGGAAGAAAATCTTCTCATCTATGTTAGAGTTGTCCTTGTCAAGGACATGGAATCCGAGGCAAGATTTGTCAATGACGATAAAGGCACTACTTCTTACGGCAGAAGTGGCGCCTGGAAAGCTGTCAAGTCTGGCTATTTTGCAAAGCTCATAAGCCGCCAAAAGAAGGCAACGGTCATCATTTTGCCAGATGAAGTGCACAGCAACATCATTGACCTGATGAGACAGCAATGGAAATCGCACTCTAATTTCGCTGCACAGATTAGCCTTGACTTTGAAAGCGTTGAGGTGACAAAGGCAGACTATTTTGTCGAAATAGACAAAGATTCTCGGACCCTCGACATCAGAGATTCAAATCAACAGGCACTGGAGGATTTACCCGCTATTAGTATCGATAGTCTTGATATGACCGAGAAATTGATGCAACTGCTCGCACATCTGCATTCATTCCGGCTAGTAGCAGATCTGCAGCACCCATCGGACTCCGTCGTACCAAAGTATGAGTTCAGTCTGACTAGAACAGTTGTCCCCAAAGATAGAGAAGATCTTGTGGCACGATGGAACCTGCGCTTTACCAACAAGCACACCGAAATCCTCTACGTGACAATCTTCAATCTAACTGAGGGGTATGCAGTCAATAAGGTGCATCCAAGGCAGGGGGCGGCGAGTGTGGCAGTTGATCCTGAGTGTGATATTGCACTGGATCTCGGCACGAAAGTGCCAGACCTACTCATAGAAAAGGCCTGTCGTGGAGCATTTGAAATGCAGGAGAGATTCAAAGTGGTTATTACGACGAGCCAAACCAATCTCAGCCATTACTGTCTCCCAGATTTAAGGAACTTGAAGATCAGAAAGCTTCGAGATACAGATATCATGGCACCACGCGAATGCAATTGGTTCATTGTTGAGGAAAGTGTGGTAATAGAAGTTCCACATACATACAGCACACAAGCGGAGCTTCAAAAGCAGATATGGGAAAGAAAAGAGAAGAAGGACAGAGAGGACGAGGGCGATGAGGAGGACGAGGGAGACGAAGAAGACGAGGAAAATGAGGAAGATGAAGAAGATGAGAGATACGAGGAAGACGAAGAAGATGAGAGAGACGTGGAAGAGGGGAAAGTGACAGAAGAGAAAATAGAGGAGGCAAAAAAAAGAAAGAATACACTAGACTAGCCTACACTGATGTTGGTGCTTTTAGTATGGCCATCACTCGGGTCTTTTCTTTCCACCGCCTGGGAGGCTGAAGTAAAGCGAGAAAAAACAGTCGCAGAGTAGAGGGGGTGTGATTGGGCGCGAATGAAGGCCGATATAATTGCTGTGTGTGAGTGTGAAGGAGTGGATCTACAGACGAAGTGGATGGGCGGAAACAAATAGTGAATTGCGTAAGGAATATATTATATTACCCAGCCCTTTCACACGAATCATTCTTCCTACCCAATGTTAAGATGTATGATTTATTCTCCCTAACCAGTATGATACAGTATCTCCTCCCCATCTACCTCAATACTATCGTAGCCCTCCTTGAGATCTTCCAATCGCAACGATTCATCAGGCGTGGCTTCGATTCCATCCGTAGCATTTTCATCCATCTGTTGTCCTTCCCTACTCCGCGTGTTGATGTATGATTTCCAGCGGTTGCCCTTCTCCAGATATGCCGTGTCGACCCGCTTGGTCGAAAATAGAGCAAAACGAATCTTTCTATACTGTACTGCGAATACCTGTTCCCCAGTCGCGGTATATCCAAGGTTCTCATAGGATTTTCGGTTCAAGGAAACTCCAGCAGCAACATCCAATCCAGAATCGAGCGGAATTGGTAGCGGGACGCCAGCCGCACCAGCAATCACAGCGGCGGGTACCGATGATGAGAAGTCTAGAACATTATCTTTGTAATGTACAAGCTCAACTCGGGCATCCGTGAGTGTCTTGAAGCCGCAGATAAGGTAGGCGGTACTCATGGGACGCTTGGCTTGCCTCTCCAACCAGTCACGTACGGCTCTGTCCTCACATGCGGCATCAAAGTAAGCGGTTGAGTTCCGCAGCTGGTGTATGATGCAGAGCGATGATGATACTTTAAGCGAGACACGGTCCGGGTTAGACGCTCCAATAGAGAGAAGCTTGAGCAAACTCAGTTCCAGTTTCGTGCCTCGCGTTTGCTCCAATACATCCTGAAAGTTCTCTATGCGCTGTAGCGTTGCAGCGTGATTCGTGGATGACCCATCTTCAACCCCCTCTTCTGAGAATTCAGGCAGACAATAGTCTTGGTCAGGCTGTACGGGATCGGCAACAAGATGGCCCAACTCGATAGCGTCTCGGGGAATAGGTCGATTAAGAAGCAAGGTAGACAGCGACATATTTGCTGGGTGGATGGAGGTTTTTGTTAAAAAGAGATTGTAGACTGAGGCAAAAAAAGGAAAGAAAAATTTATACACAAAATCAGCTAATACGCCCAAGTATCCCTGTACGCATATATCCCAGAGCTTGGTATGTACCTCTCCTACAAATTCGCGTAATACTTAATAGCTACCTGATAATATCCATACATAATTATTTACATGTAGTTTTCTAACATGTTCTAGTTAAGAAACCGATATTTTTTTGTTTCGTTAATAGTGTTCACTTGAGGTTCACTTAGAGGAACGTTCATGTACATACATTTCCTTCTAGCATCAAGGGCATGTGCCATTCCTGCCACACCACTTTCTACATTATAGCCACTCAGAAATTGCCATGTGTGTGTTGTCAAAGGATTCAGACACCTGCATTTGCATATACGGGGCTTCATTCAATATTGGGATGCATATGCGCTGGGCTCGTTCGGTATAATAATATGTGGAGCTGCTTTGTTGCAGTCAAATAACAACCCGTGTTTGATGCGAGGATCAGGCTGTGCCCTTATCGATGCATTTCAATAAACACCGCGTTGGGTAGCAATGTCAACTCATTCAGCCACTCCCATAATACTGTCGTCAAAAGAAAGTACATTAGAGACTTTATCATCCATATATCCTGTCATATGGCGTACATAAGTGGAGATATTCGCGACGATATCATCCATTCATGACAGCGTGTGGAGTCAAATAGAGAAGCTCAGAAGCGCTTCCCTATTCTTCAAATCCAAGTCAATCGGACCTGTTTGAGAATTGCTTTTGATCTCATTTATTTTCTTTTCTGAAATAAAAAGTAGTTTCTTTTTTTACAGTCCTATACCTTTACAGTTTCTCACTATGGCGGCCGTCAACCTGGAGAACTCGCCCGAGCCCAGTATCTGGGAGACCACTGTGGAGCAGCGTCTCAAACTCATGAACGAAGCGCTTAAAGAAAACGAGGAAATCAATAGCCAACTTCCTGGCCTTCGCCAGGTTCTGACAGACTCTATAAAGTCTGATCAAAATGAAGAATTCTTCCGTAATTTCATTAAACTTTTTGACCAACCGGAATTAGGGACTTACGAAACGGTCATGGAGAAATTCCCTGAACCTGAGCAAAAGATCGTCTTAGACTTTGTCGAGGGTACTGCACTTGCAGATCTTCCGGAAATCGACAGGGTCGTTGGTGTAATCGACTTAGACTCTGCCTCGGAAGACAACGGTGATATTGATTCCCATCGTACAAGATCCTGGTTATCAGAGCCTTTTCGCGACGATCCATTTGTCAAAGATCTTCGCCAATTTCTCACCCAGAGCGGAGGGAATAATGAAGAGGTTCAGGTATGCCAAAGCCTTGTGATTCAGCTATCTGTATTAGGCTGAGAACTAAGTCACTTATTGGGCTATATCCTGATTACGCTTGACAGATACACAAGAATGAAACGTTTAAGAACTGGGGAAATATGAGGAACGTGGAGTATACACCGAGCTACACATGCGTCCCTTCCACTCTTCGTGGAGTGCAAGCCATCGTAAAAGCAGCAAAAGGCCAAAATTGGGGAGTTCGTTGTGCCGGGTATCGTGAGTACAACTAGTGGCAAATCTTTCGTTTGTTGAAAGACGGATACTGTAGTGTTCAGGTTCCTACCCAGTGGCTAACTCGGTATTTGTCTCTTAGGCCATTCATGGGCCCCCATTTTCGGTCGTAGTGAAACAGCAGGCCAAGTGTTGGTATCTCTTCTGCCTATCAAGCATGTCACCAGCAAGGTCGACTTAACTTCTTTAGGAATCTGTTTGCCACCAACGAATGAGTTACGAAAAATCGAGGTGAAGGGAGAAGTTGGTGAGCTGGATAACGGTAACACGCTGGTACGTGTAGGTGCAGGTGTTACCAACGAGGAGCTTCGACGCTGGTGTCTGCAAAACGGGCGAGTTACGCTTCCTTTGAACGTCATCATGGTGGAGATAACAGTTGGTGGTGCAAATGCGCCAATTTGCCATGGGGCTGGGATTGAAAATAAGACACTGAGTGACTTGGTTCGCAAGATCGAATACGTTGATTGCCACGGCCAGCCGCGAACTGTGAATGATGAAGAGGAGTTGAGAGCTGCAGCTGGGTGTTTTGGGCTTATTGGGGTTGTGACACACCTCACACTTGAGTTCAAGCCCATGAGCATTGCCAGGATGCAGCCCGAAAAACTACCCGTTATCCGTGCGGTGCCACCGCCTGATGGCTGGCTCGAGGAAGATATTCCGATAGCATTGCGGTTACCTGTGACAGCAGAGCAACGCGAAGCAGACATACGACAATTTGAGAGCCACTGCGAAAACGATTACTACGCGGAATGGTTCTGGTTCCCCTATCACGATCAGGTATGGGTTAATTGCTGGAACACAATACCACAGGTTGCAAACGTCCAGTCATTCCCCGGTCCCTACAAAGCAGCCAAGCAAATAGTTACGCAATCCCTCCTCAACATGTTACAGTCAACACCAGCGCTAAAGGAGCTCTTCCGGTTACCCAAAGTCACTGGCGGCCTCATTACCCTGCTTTCCAAGGTGGCCATGGATAGTCTACCAAACGAGCCGATTGAAACTTATTTACCAGAAGCACTCCATTTCCAACGAGGTATTCAGAACCTCCGAGTTCTGGATCTTGAGGTTGAAATACCCATCCCTGGGAAGAAGGACAAGCCTACGGCCCGAGACCTAAACGTGGTGCGAAAAGCGTGGTGGGATGCCATCCGTGAGTGTTATCAGGCGACTGAGAACACTCCGCAGCAAATGCCGTTGGAGATGCGGATTATGGGTGACAGCGACGTCATCATGGCTCCCCAGCGAGGCAATAAGCTAGGCACTTGCTCCATCGAAATCCTCACCTTGGATGCGGCCAGGGGAACCTGGAACCCGTATGCGCAACGAGTTCTGAACAGATGGATGAGCTACACGGATTCCAACGGCGATTTACTAGCCACACGACCGCACTGGGCGAAACAATGGACCGAATTTACCGTCCGCGGCGAACTGTGGAGAAAGAAGTTGCGACGGGATTACGAGACGCAGATCCGCGAGTTTAGGGGCCTACTCAGACAAATTGGCAAACGAGACCAGTGGACGTTGGCCGATTTGGAACAACGCTTCTCCAATGACCTCCTTGATCACTTGTTCTTTACTGGTAGAACGGAAGAAGAATAGAACTTTTGCGGTGTCTATGGAAATGAGTGGTCATATGGGCAGAGTAATATCATTACTCTCATGTACTCCGTCTTGTGCATACAACTGAGTCTAAGCCATGTTCAGGACAATATTAGGTACTTTTTCTGGATGCCACTGGAAAGTGATAGATGTAGTAATGGCGGAGCAGTAGCAGACGATGGTTGTGATTGAGAAGTTGGATGGATGTTTAATGAGGAGCAGGCGCTTGCAATCGTTCGCTTCGCCGCTTCGCCAAGTATGTAAAATATAAATTCAAATGATCATTTAGGTACTTTAATATATTGAAAATGTAAGAAACTTTTTTTTATTTAATTTATCAATTCCCAATTCTAATTGGATTTTTAATTTAATTTATTGAATCGCATCTATATGCATGCTAGGATGATGATGAATTACAATCAATGCCCAATTAAAGTGCCTGCTTAGCACAGGCGCCTCATCGTATCGGCTGTGGCAGATCAGTGGGCACTGTGACGCAATGTGCACTGATTTGATTGCCTTGTCATCAGGCATTGATTGATCTTGATCTGATGCCCATTCTTACCTCTTCCAATTCCCTCTAACATTCTCTCTAGCTAAATTGATCGCCTGTAAATCCATGGCCATTCCCGTCGCTGCACCAGTCCATCTGCTGCTTCTTCACTAATGGCGCCAGCCCGAGATCCCGCCAAGGAGGGTCTCCTGCGAGAGCATGAATCCTTGCGACGCACCTCAACTGAATCTGACGATGACCTGGACCTGGACGAGCTGACCAAGGATGGCGATGTCATCACTTCATCCGTAAGGGACTCATCGCATTTGACAGACTCCAAGCAGCGCATCCCCGGCCGCCTGTCATGGATGCTGCCCCGACGCATGCGCAAGAGCCGGTGCTGCATCGCCGTCCTTGCCGTTGTGGCCATCATCATCATGCTGCTCGCTGCTGGCGGCGCCTTCGGATACAAGAAGCTCAAGATTAGACCGCTCGATGGGAAATCTCCGCCCTGGTATCCCACTCCAAGGGGCGGTTCCGTGCATCAATGGGCTGATAGCTACAAAAAGGCGGCTGAAATGGTGGCCAACATGACGCTGGCAGAGAAAGTTAACATAACCACCGGAACCGGATGGAGCATGGGACTTGCAGTTGGAAATACGGCACCAGCGGTTCATGTCGGATTCCCTGCATTAGCTCTCCAGGATGGGCCGCTGGGCATTCGCTTTTCGGACAATATCACGGCTTTCCCGGCGGGAGTGACTGTTGGAGCGACGTGGAATAGGGAGCTCATGTATGAGCGAGGCAAAGCTCACTCACTTGAGGCTCGGGGCAAGGGCATCAACGTCCTCCTGGGACCTGTTGTTGGCCCATTGGGCAGAATGCCTGCTGGCGGGCGAAACTGGGAGGGCTTCGGGGCCGATCCATACCTCTCGGGTGTGGCGGGCTACGAGACCATCAAGGGCATTCAGGACCAGGGCGTCATGGCTACCATTAAGCATTTCGTCGCCAACGAGCAGGAGCATTTCCGCCAGGCCTGGGAATGGGTGCTGCCAAACGCTCTCTCGTCCAATATTGACGACCGCACTATGCATGAGGTGTATGCCTGGCCGTTTGGCGATGCTGTCAAGGCCGGAGTTGCTAGCGTCATGTGTTCCTACAACATGGTCAATAATTCATACGCCTGCGGAAACTCCAAGCTACTGAATGGCATTTTGAAAGATGAACTAGGATTCCAGGGCTTCGTCATGTCCGACTGGCTGGCGCAGCGATCCGGCGTGGGCAGTGCCCTGGCTGGCCTCGATATGAGCATGCCGGGAGATGGCCTGCGTTGGCAGGACGGCAACTCCCTTTGGGGGCCCAACCTCTCTCGCGCTGTCTTGAACGGCTCATTACCCCTTGAAAGACTCAACGACATGGTTATTCGCATCGTAGCCTCGTGGTATCAGCTGGGTCAGGACGATAAGAAGCTGTTTGACAGGAAAGGGCCCAACTTTTCTTCATGGACTAATGACAAAATGGGCGTCACGGCACCTGCTAGTTCGTCGCCTCAGGACAAGGTCGAGGTCAACAAATTTGTCAACGTGCAGGCTAATCACTCAATACTGGCTCGACAGGTAGCCGCGGAGGGAACCGTTTTGCTCATGAACGAAGGGGCCCTTCCTCTCAGCGTTGATGGTCGTTTAAGTGGTGATGATTCAACCCAAACCAAGAGAGACGGCCAAGTAAGGATAGGAATCTTTGGAGAAGATGCTGGACCGGGCAAGGGGCCCAATTATTGTGAGGATCAGGCGTGCAATGACGGTACCCTGGGCTCGGGCTGGGGAAGCGGTGCTGTTGTGTTTCCCTACTTGGTCTCTCCAATTGAAGCTCTCCGCAAAAAGTTCAACAAGGAAAAGGTCAAGCTTACCGAGCATCTGACGAATGATAAGCCGGCAAAGGACATTGTCCAGAACCAGGACATATGCCTGGTCTTCATCAACTCTGATTCTGGAGAAGGTTATCGTACGTGGGACAGCGTCCATGCTGACCGCCCTGACCTCAAGGCGCAAAAGGGTGGTGAAGTGCTCGTCACTGAGGTCGCAAAGAATTGCGGTGGCGGTTCAGGGACGACAATTGTCATTATTCACGCCGTCGGACCCGTGACGGTGGACCCATGGATCGATCTTCCCACCATCAAAGCACTCGTCGCTGCCAATCTACCTGGACAAGAGAGTGGAAATGCCATTGCGAGCATCCTCTTTGGAGAAGAAAATCCAAGCGGCAAGCTGCCGTACACCATTGGCAAGTCCCTCGGTGATTACGGACAAGGCGGTCAAGTCATGTATCTGCCAAATGGAGTCGTCCCGCAACAAGACTTCAGCGAGGGTCTCTTCATTGACTACAGGCACTTTGACAAGTATAACATTGAGCCCCGATACGAATTTGGATTCGGGCTCTCATATACAACTTTCGAATACAAAAACCTCAAGATTACGGAGACCAAGCCAAGATCGCCTCTACCTGATGAGCGCCCGGCAGCTCCAGAGGTTGAGCCTCCGAAATTTGATACTGCCATCCCGAAAACTGAAGAGGCATTGTTCCCATCGGGTATTCGCAAGCTCAAGAATTACATATATCCATACATTGACTCCGTGGGTGACATCAAGAAAGGCAAGTATCCTTACCCTGAAGGCTACGACGTACAGCAGCCCCTATCTGGTGCCGGCGGCGGCGAAGGCGGCAACCCATCACTATGGGAATCTCACGTAACCGTATCAGTCGAATTGACCAACACGGGCAAGGTTGGTGGTAAAGCTGTGCCCCAACTATATCTCTCATACCCAGCCTCAGATACAGTTGAGTTCCCAGTTAGAGTTCTTCGTGGGTTTGACAAGATTTTTATCGAAAAGGGGGAGACGAAGACGGTCGAGTTTAACGTGACGAGGAGAGATTTGAGTTACTGGGATGTAGAAAAGCAGAACTGGGTTATTCCAGACGGAGAGTTTACATTTTCTGTTGGGGAGAGCTCGAGAGATCTAAAAGTCACGGGGACGTGGTGATATTTCATGAGACGACATATAAAAATGCGGTGATGATATTGGAGTGCTCACTGGATGAAGCACTATAGATGGCTATCAAACTATTTGGATATTTCATTCTTTACATAAACAAGGAAAAACTAAGAAACAAGAGATATAAGACGTACCGAGGCTTTGTTAAATAGACGAATATGCGTTCAAAGCCATCTGTCCTCCAAGATGAGCGTACAAAACATTCCCGCTGGCAATCTCACCATTCTTGATGAGCGCCATCATGCCCGCCAAACTCTTCCCCTCATAGACCGGATCCGTAATGAAGGCCTCAGTGCTCGCTCCAAACTTGATGGCCTCAATCGTCGTCTCATCCGGAATACCATAGATCTTGGCATTGAACCTGTCGTCCAACACGATATCCGCTTCAGTCACATCGTCTTCCGAGAGACCAATCTTGGCAGCAGTGAATTTAGCAATGCGCAACACCTGGTCAAACGTCTCCTTCGGTTTCCCCGAAGCATCAATCCCAATAACCTTACGCTTCGGCGAACCCAGCTTCACCTGCGCAAGCTTAAAGCCCGCCACAATGCCCGCCATAGTCGACCCCGTCACGGCACAAACAACAATCGTATCGAAAAACACCCCCATCTCCTTCTCCTGCGCTTCCACCTCCAACGCCCACCTCGCAAACCCCAGCCCCCCCAGCGGATGATCCGACGCTCCCGCAGGAATATAATACGGCTTCTTACCGGCGCTCTCCAGCTCCGCCTTGAGGTTCGCCAGCGTGGGCTTGTGCTCGATGCCAAACAGCGACGGGTCGAGTCTTACGTCGCCGCCCATGAGGCGTGAGAGCTGGATGTTGCCGACTTTCTCGTAGCCTGGGTCGTGCCAGTCTACCCAGTGCTCTTGGACGGTGGCGGCGGCGAGGCCGAGTTTCGCGGCGACGGCCGTGACGGCGCGGGTGTGGTTGGATTGGACGCCGCCGATGGAGACGAGGGTGTCACTTCCTTGGGAGAGAGCCTCAGCGGCGAGATACCTGTGTGTTCAATGTTAGAATAGATGGTGGGAGAAGATGAGGGAGATTTAAAAGGGGGGTTTACTCTAGCTTGCGGACTTTGTTGCCTCCGTAGGCGAGGCCAGAGTTGCAGTCTTCGCGTTTGGCGTAGACGTTGACTTTGCCGCCGAGGGCAGCGGATATGCGAGGGAGTTGTTGGATGGGAGAGGGCCCGAAGAGGAAGGATTCACGGGGGATGCTGGCGAATGGTTCTGGGAGAGTGAGGGCTGCCATTGAGATGGTATTAACTGGTAGATGGATCTTAAGTGTGAGGTATCTTTGGTGTAAGTCAGTAGATGTGATGGAGCAAGATGAGGAAGATGAGGATGATGCTGTATTCGATGGAAGCAGTGATGGCTCGATATATACCATCGAGACTTGGCAATCTATAATTCCATATCCTCGGTTATCTCTCTCTCAAATCACCGATCTCGGATAATGATGTTTATCAGCATTCATGATATATCATGTATCCATCTCGCGCTAATGTGAGACAGAAGATGCGGAGTAAAAATAGTATTAAAATCGCCAGCCACCCAAAATGCAACCTCATGCTAATCGCCGTCCCCGCGCCCATGATTGGCACGCCTGGATCTTCTAGAAAGCTTGTAAATCTCCTTGAAGGCGGGTCTGCGTATCTTTTTGGGCTGACTTTCGGGCATATTCTGGGGATAGTGGATGTGATGTGTGTTTAGAGGGCGCGGGGAGGTTGTCGAGAGGGCGTGGGCGGATAGTGGCGGCTTGGGGGTCTTTGGGGGGACGATGGGATGATGTGAGGGCGAGATGGATGAGGGAGGTGATGCGGGATCGGGCATGTTTGATGATGAGTCGATGGGATGATGATAGATTTGTGTTGATGTTGGTGTTGGTGATGATGGAGAGGGATGCTATTGGTGGATAATGTGAGGATTGGGGTATGCGTATATGCAAAGCAAGACTAGGAGTGATGGGTGTTATACTATTATATTATGTATGAAGTAGGACAACAGTCGAGAAATCTACTAGTATAGGCAATGGATAAGAATTGGGAACTTTTATGCGTTGTTCTGAGTCTTCAATCCGATAGTATATATCCTGTTAATCTGCTAGGCTTTAGATAGCTGCACTGTAGAGGAGCTATGACGTAATGTGACCATGCCTTGTATTAGCCAACCTCATGAGATATTCTCTTGTAGATTCAATAATATGCAAATAAAGAATTTAGCAACTCTCTTCGAAAGCCCATCAAAATTGTTGTCGAATTTTTCGCGGTGTGCTTACACAAGGGCCTTCGCTTTCGATACAGGGAATATGCTGGTCTTATCACACTCATATATCCTCATTATTATATATCGAGATCTTTAGATCAAAATACTCCGCTACCGAGTCAAGCAAATTATGTAATGATAGACGTCTTAATGCAGGCACTGAGATGACTCCATACATGTACATATAGAGCAGCTCCTGTTAGGTGAACTACTAAGTGCACGAACGTCAAGTCATCCGCAACAATAACCCAACTCAATGATCTAATAAATGTGGTAAATAGGTCGTTTAAAAAGACATAGACTATTAAGTCGCCGCTGTTTATCTGCATGTTTGTGACGCATTGTCTTAGACAGCCTCCAGGGACCATCGAAATCCTACATTTCCACGGCATCTTCTTCAGCATCACGCCATTCTTATGCAACGTCTCAAGCTCCGTTGAATACTAACACTGTCCGAGACATGCTCTCAACAAATCCAGTACTACTACTAATACTGCTCTCTTCAACAATTAAACGCCCGGTCACCGGCTATTTTGGCTCCAGCCACTCACAGTGCCAGGTCCTCTTACACCGTTCAAAACAGCTGCAGACCGACCCGCTATTCGGTCCGTGCCGCCCACCAAAGGCGAAGCTCTCCAGCTTTGTGCATGAATAGAAGAATTCAATGATGATCAAATTGAAGCAATCTCGTCTCAGCTGATTAAAAGATCATGTATTTAATAAAAGAGATTAAACGAGGCTGATTAATGGCCATATCAAAGTCTCGTATCTGTACATCCCGGAGCACCGTTATCGCCCTTTATCTCACCACCTTTCAAAGGTCCCCACCTCAAAAAGCTTTCCATCGTTGCCAGCCCTGACGTCTTCCATTCTACATCCTCCGGATTCTTCCTCCACAGCGCCACAATCTGCCTTCAACCCACTCGCATCGTGCTGAAGACGTTGACACAGCATGATCTTGTGGCGGCAGATTGGTGCGCAGGTTCTGGCTCACACGCCCGCCGTCTGAACCACCTACAAGCAAACGAACTATCGGATCGGACCATCACGCGCAAAAGACGAGCAACAGACGAGCTGTAGAAAGCCGTTGAAGATCTGACATCTCGGAACTAAGAACAAAGAAACACGATAGAAAAGGCGCTCCGAGATTGTACGCCGGCGGCATCATGACGCGCCCTGCAAACGCCCGACCCGGACCGGGCGTCACGACTCGGTCAAGATCGTCCAGGTCCTCCGGCTCGTTCCACGCCGGCGCCCCCATTCCCATCATCGCATCCATGAGACGGCCCTCAATCCCGCGATATCAAACATTCCCGACGCCTCCTCCTAAACCGCCCTCCGATGCTTCCAGCGACCGCTTCGCCACGGCCGTCGAGTCCGACTCTTCGTCCACCTCGTCCTCCCGCGATCACGATGAGACACCTCTGCCCGTGCGCCAGCTCCTCCTCCTGGCCTTTCTATCGCTGGCAGAGCAGACGGCACTCAACTCGATAGGGCCATATCTGCCACAGATGGTGACGTCCATGCCGGGCATACCCAAGGAGGAGAGCGGTCTGTATGTCGGTCTGCTGGCCAGCGTCTTTGCACTGGCGCAGCTCTCCACCAACTTCGTCTGGGGCTACATGTCGGATGTCGTGGGCCGAAAGCCGGTGCTGTTGGCCGGGACCTTTTCGCTCATGTGCTGCTTTTGCGCTTTTGGCTTCTGTAAGCAGTACTGGCAAATGATTTTGGTTCACGCCGCCATGGGTCTCCTCAATGGCAATGCCGCCTGCGTGCCAACTGTTCTGGGCGAAGTAACGGATCGATCCAACCAGAGCAAGGCGTTTACATATCTTCCCGTTATTTATTCTCTGGGAGGACTTACGGGCCCTGCGCTGGGAGGAATCCTAGTTGGGCGCATGGGCAAAGAATTCCCTTACCTTGGGCCGAACGTCCTGAGCGCCGCTGTTCTTGCGGCAGCCGTCATTGTGGTGGGCATCTGGTTTGAAGAAACGCTGGAGGATATCGACGATGATCCGTGGAAACCAACATGGGCTACCCGGCTCTCCAATCGCATTTCAAACATCTTTAGTCGAACTCCACGACGAGAATCGTGGAGCTCGAGGTGGCCACGTCCTCAAGCAGCCTCTCAAACGCAGCCCTTGTTATCCCCGAGCTCTGAAGAGTCGGCTTCTGATGACAATGATGGTAGTCCCGATGATGACGAGGCACTTGAGACATCAAAGCCGGCGGCCGACAATCACAAGGAACACAAGCCATGGCGCGAGCTTCTCAATCGCACTACAATGACCCTCCTGGTTACATATCTAATATTCCAATTGGCCAATATTAGTTTCAACAGCTTGTATCCCATTTTCGCAGCCTCTCCGTCTCCAGCAGGCCGAGAACTCGATCCCGGCAAAATTGGTGTCAGCTTGAGTTTCGCGGGTCTGATTACCATTATCTTTCAAGCGTTTCTGTTCCAGCCACTCAAGAGCCGATTCGGAAACTTGGGCACGTATCGCTTCGCCCTGTTTGGTCTAGCCGTCAGCATGATTGCCATGCCGTGGGTTGGCTATGTTGATGACAAGCCCCTATTCGGTGTGGGAACTGGAATCATGTGGCTGTATATCGAGCTTGCCGTCGTACTGATTTTGAAGACGATCTGTGCTGTGGGGGGACTTTCATGTGTGATGCTGCTGGTAAGTCAAATCAAATTGCAAAACGCGATGTCCTCTGCTTTTAATTCTAACACCTGTCATCCAGATTACCAACTCGGCGCCTTCCCACAACAGTCTGGGAACCCTAAACGGAGTAGCCCAGACTTTGTCGGCTCTAGGTCGCAGCATTGGTCCTTTTGCTTCGGGTAGTTTGTTTACGCTGTCCATGGGGATTCAGCCCAAAGGCGAGGTTCTTGCGTGGAGTTTATTTGGCGGCCTGGCGCTTTTGGGCTGCATTGGGTCAATATTTATTCGAGGTGATGGGCTTGAGAGCGACGACTGGTACAACGGGGAGGATGAGGAGGATGAAAGGGGTGAGGATGACGAGCATGCTGACATTGAACAACAACGGGAATAAGCGCTGATTTGGATATATACTATTGGAAAGCTGTAATTAATAGATACCAGGGAGACAGGATAAATATCATCATTAACATAGTGCTCTGAAGACCTAATTTCACTTGAGAAGAGAGAAATTGTAACCCAATATGCACGAAGATTCCAATTCCTGTAGACATGGTCGTTGTTAAACCAAGTTGTATCTGCGATTTGAATTGTCTTTTGAAGTATAAGCCGTTCGTGACACCGGATCGGATGTCGGATAGGCTCAACTTATACTACTTCAACCAGCAGGGGTTCCAAGCCGCAACCGACGACCGGCAGCGCTTTCACAACTGTCGTAACTACGAGTCTTCTAAACATATTTAACATTACTCCCATGCAACGGAGGCCAGAATCTCCTCCGTGCCAAATCAACTGCCGGGCCCAATAAATGTCAACGACCGTAAAAATCCAAGCACCGCGACATGATTCGCCGCCCTGCTCGGGACATCGGCAGCCAAGGGCACATAGGCATACTCCGCAAAATCTGCTCACAGATCCAACGACAAGGCCTCAATCGAACGGGCTCTAGGCCACGGTAGGTAATTTTCCCTAGGAACGCCCCCTTTAGCTTATTTTTCTCGCCTTTTGAGTGACGGAGTGAGATTTTAGGGCCAGCGGTAAGGGGAGGGGACTGTGATGTGATGGGAAGTGGATGTTTTTTTGTTTTTTTTTTTGACGTTTGGGCGTTATGCCGATGGTCCGACGGGGCAAGAGTTTGCGGCAATAGGAGAGACGATAGAGCAGAGGAGAGAAGAGAGAGAGCGTTTTGTAAGAGCTGATTCGCGGATAATTCTGGGCAAGTATTAAAGAGTAATATGCTTGGGGCTAGTGAGATGTCAGAAGTTTTGAACGTATTGCCCTTTTTGAGTCAAGAGATATGCCAAGAGACCGACGAGCCGAGTCAAAGACAGGAATGTTACTCAAAGGTTAATAGGGCCAACATTTCGGACTTAATAACAATGTATTACACAGTTTGCTGATTGGACGAATCTATTTGAAAAATCATCTTATGTTGTTTCGTATCCTTGTAGTTATATAGATTATGGAGTTGAGCAAGTTTGTGATGGAACATGCAGTGAAGCTGCAGGTAGCCCTGAGATCGGCGTCCCGATGTGTATGTCGACAGACAGGATGTAACACAATAATATTCCGTGTAACAATATATAAATATTGCAACTCTTAAGTCTGTGGCTTGTCCCTTCGTTCGTTGACACAAGGCCAGAAAATCAACTTGCTGGCAACATCAACAGCACAGCAAGCTCAAAAGTGAAGACAAAGAAATGAAGAGCAAAATGCTGTCCCCTAGAACACTCACACTCCTTGCCTTGGGCTTTGGAGCTAGATTCGCTTCAGCATGGGACCAAGCTCCCGCCCTCGCCGGCAAAGGCGCACCCATCTCCGACTCGGACCGCCTCTACACGGGTGACCAGTCATCGAACACCATCACCGTCATCAAGCCAACCACAGGCGAGGTCCTGGGCACCATCAGCCTGGGTGACAGCCGGTTAACAAACGACTTGAACCCGCAGTACGTCAAGGCCGTCAACTCTCACGGACTCGGCTTCTCTCCCAATGGCAAGCTCATTGTGTCTCTGGCCATCACAAGCAATACCGTGACAGTATTCAGCACCGAGGACAATTCGGTTGTTTCGCAAACGTTTGTGGACCGCAGCTCCCATGAGGCCTTCTTCGAGAGGGACAACCGACATGTCTGGGTCGGCACGCGAGGCGTTGACCGTATCGACATCGTCGACGGACTCAAGGGCGGCGTAGTAGGCTATGTCGAATCCTACGGCGGCCCGAGCAAGGTCGTCTTCAGCCCGAAAGGCGACCTGGCGTATGCCAACCATGTGCGCTCACCATCACTGTCCGTCATCGACGTAGCCAAGCGCAAAGTCATCGCCAACATCACGGGTCTGGGCGACGTCTTCTCGTCCGACATGATGATCTCGCCAGATGGGAAAGGTCTATGGGTGCCGCACAAGATGGCCGGCAAGGTGTCCATCATCGATCTCGTCGCCCGCAAAGTCATTGGAGTCATCGAGACCGGGGCCGAGACCAACCACGCCAACTTTGCCGTCCTCAACGGCACTATGCACGCATTCATCACCGTGGCTTCGCTCAACGAGACGAGAATGTATTCGCAGCCGCGGTCTGACCAGATGCCCGTCTACTTGGGCGCCATCCAGGCCAGCGGCGTCGAGCCTCACGGCCTGTGGCCCAGCGCGGACAACACGCACTTGTACGTTGTCAACGAGCACACAGACACGGTGGACTTTATCGATTTGACCGTCTTTCCCCCGAAGATTGTCAAGACGATAAATGTCGCTCAGGAGGGCCAGTCTATCATTTACGTGTCGGGCGCCGTATCGTCCAAAAGTAAAGGCACGCAGAACTTGGGCAAGCAGGGCCTTTTCAACAAGCCCGCACTGAACAAGATCTTGACGGAATCTCAGCCCCAGTCATCTGGAAAGGTGTCACCTTCGTGTCTCGTTACGGTGAGACCGGAGATTGGACTGGACATGTTCCAGGTGATTGGACGGAACCTCGCATTTAACACGACTTACACCGTTTCGGCGACGGTTGGGGACAAGAAGATTCCGCTGGTGGATTTCAATGCGACGGCGCCGACGGGAGATGGATGCGGGACGGCGCCGCAGGTGTTGGCGTTTTTCAAGTTTATTGGCGTCTATGATATGGATGATTTGGTGATGACATCTAAATCAGATGCTTAGACGATGAGTTAATGGCCGGTGATGGGTGTTTGAGTGACAAGCGACGAGAAAGTTTTGCATTACCAGTGTATTAGTTTGAGCTGTAGATAGTAATGATTCGGATCTGTGTTTCCTAGGTGTACATGTATATCGATAATAGATACCTTATGTCTATTATAACAAAATTGATGTTGAGATGACGTTTCTTGAATTCAATACGAGGATGACTTGCATCAGAAGTTGGTATAGTAGAAGAGAGTGAAGAGAGATAAAAAAAAAAGGCTTAATATAACAAACAGCTGGTCTTTTAAAAAGCTGCGCCTATACTAACATATAGGAGCGAAAGGCGCAAATTAGTTATAGTAGATAAGGTAGATATTATGAAACGCAACTCTTTAAAGGCAAACACTACAAACACGTATCATACCCTGCTACAGGAGCTTGGAGGTAAAGAAACTGACAAGTGATAAAGCTTTGCCCTGAAGCTGCTGCGCGGTAGCCGATTGAAGCGCCGGATCTCCAGCAGCAAGCGCCTTGGTCGGATTAGTTGTGTGTGGAGGGTATATCAAAGTTCCGTTGATGTACGTTTTGATCTTCTTGGCTATTGCCCCAGAAAACACCACCTTGCGCTCCCAGCCTTGCGTGAGAACCGCTCCATACGGGCCGAGATCGAGACATGTGACATATGTTGGCTGGTAGTATGGCGCGGTTGGCAGATTGAGAAGATCTGCTGCAGCATTATAGCCCGCTGCTCGGCCCATTGGTATGGCGTGTTGACATGACATGAGGGCGTCGTGGCTGTGGTCACCCGTCGGGGCACAAGCTGAGTCGCCTGCGACGAAGATGTCCTTGTTGGACGGCAGGCGAAGATCTTGGTCGACGCGTAGGCGGCCCAGTGCGTCCTTGTCTCCCGGAATCTGTTTTGAGAGCTCTGTGGCTGCTACACCGGCCGTCCAGACGACGGTCATGGCTTCAATACGCTCCCCTGCTTCGGTCGTGACGCCAAGAGCGTCGATGGCGGTGACTGTTGTCCCAAGTTTCGTCTCTACTCCCAACTGGCGAAGAGCTCGGGAAATGACGTGGCGGGGTCCCGGTCCGAGGGTATCGCCAACCTCTTCCCCCCGCGAGACAAGCAAGACTTTGGCATCGGCATCCTTGCCTAAGATGGACCGAAGCCGCCCTGTCATCTCTGTTGCAAGTTCGATGCCCGTAAAGCCTGCGCCGCATACAATGACGGTATTTCGAGCCTTGTTCGGGGGTTTTGATTTGAGACTTTGCAGGTGGTTTTCCAACCTGACCGCGGAACTCAATGTGTCAACATTAAAGGCATGATCGTCCAGGCCGGGGATGGGAGCTCGGATCAAGCAGCTCCCAGCCGCGAATATCAAACGATCATAAGGCTGTATTGATGTAGAGCCAGAGGGGCTGGCAACCAGGACATGTTTCTCCTCGACACGGATAGCGTCGACTGTGCCTTGGATGAAGCGAATCCCCGTCGCGCTGAAGAGGTCGGTGAGTGGGAAAACGAGGTTTGCTGGGTTTGATTCGTAAAGCCTCGGCCGCAGGACTAGCTGTGGCTCAGGCGCAATGAGAAGGACTTGGATATCGGCTGCTGCTGGATCTTTGTTGAGGTGCAAGGAGATGAGCCGTCTGGCTGAAAGAGCGCTGAAGACGCCGGCGAACCCAGCGCCAATGATGACAATATTGAGTGGCATAGCAACAACCTTGGATAGGAAAATGCAAGAAACGCAGGAAAGGCAAATAGTATTAATAAATCGGGCTCAATTGTCAAAAGAGTGGTGGCACTTGCACTCAGGAATGCTTCTGCTGGCTTGTCTTGTCCAGAAGGCTCCCGTCTTTTATATGAAGAGAGATGTCAGACTTTGTATGTTGGCTGATTCACCCCAACTCTTGCTCTTGCTGGGCCTGGTCGCCGATCCTAGAGTACTATAATTATAATTGTCGGAAAACAGGTACGCAATGATTACGTGTATTATTACCCGGTTGATATGGATGATGGACGATGGATGATGGATATTCGGGTGATCCATTGGATATTCGGGTGATCCGTTGGATATTCGGGTAATGGATACCTCCGTGTCCGAGGAACGCCGTTAATAGTGGATCGCAGTGGCTCAATAGCGGCTAGCCCCCCCGCTGATGTCACCTGGGCCACCTTGATGGCCTAAACCAGGCACCTGAGCTCCCTTGTGACTCCAGCATCTAATCCTCCCATCTTCAATCCTAACCCATCCTCGCCATCGCCATCTCCATCGCCATTTTCATCGCCATCTTCATCGCCGAATCACCATCGCCATCACCATCACTGTCGTAATCCATGGAATCATAAACTCTTCTTTTCCCTCCATCATGCTTGAATCTCTCTTCCTCGGTGCGCTCATCGCCGCCGCCGCGGTTGAAGCCGCGCAGCCTGGCGCCGTCAAGCCGGTGGCGGCACCCATGCGAGACCTGACTTGGGGCCAGCTCAACTTTCTGCACACGACAGACACGCACGCCTGGCTCAGCGGGCATTTCCTCGAGTAAGTTGCTCAATTTAGCCTTGATCTCTTTGTTCAGACCGCCACGAGTTGAGCAGCTATGGGGGCCTGAAGCAGCAGTCGTAACAGTCGCGGAATTCAAGCTCACACCCCTTCTTTGATCTAGGCCCTCCTTCTCTGCCGATTGGGGCGATTACATCTCCTTCTCCCAGCACATGCGCAAGCTGGCCGACGACAAAGGTGCCGATCTCCTCCTTATCGATACCGGCGACCGCATCGAGGGCAGCGGCATCTACGACAGCTCCATCCCAAAGGGCCTGTACCAATATGACATATACGCCCAGCAGAAGATTGACCTCATCACCACCGGCAACCATGAGCTGTACAAGGCTTACTCGATCGACATGGAACACAATACTACCATTCCCAACTTCAAGGAGAACTACATCACATCCAATCTGGACTACATTGATCCCAAGACGGGCAAGCGCGTGCCCCAGGCCCAGCGATACCGCAAGTTCAAGACCAAGAACCTAGGCATCAACATTGTGTCCTTTGGCTTCCTCTTCGACTTTACAGGCAATGCCAATAACAGCATCGTTCAGCCCGTGGCCGATACAGTCAAGGAGGATTGGTTCCAAGAGGCGATCAAGGAGAAGCCCGACCTCTTTGTAGTCATTGGCCACGTTGGTGTGCGCATGGAAGAATTTAGAACTGTCTTCAAGGCTATCCGCAAGGAGGACTGGGACACGCCCATTGCATTCTTCGGCGGCCACCTACACATAAGAGACGCCGTGAGCTATGACTCTAAGTCACTAGCCATCGCCTCCGGTCGCTACCTCGAAACCATCGGCTGGATGTCCATTGATGGCATCGTTAAGAAGCAGCCCAAAGACGACGAGAATGAAGAAGTTGAGATTAAGAAGGGTCCCACCTTCACACGCAAGTATATTGACAACAATCTGTACGGAATGTATTATCACACCGGCTTAAACGAGACAACCTTCCCCACCAAAGAGGGACAGAAAACAAGCAAGATGATTGAGAATGCTCGTAAAACTCTGAATCTTGGCCATCGCTACGGCTGTGCACCCCGAGACTTGTGGATGACCAGGGCTCCGTATCCCGGCAAAGACAGCATCTACACTTGGCTTGAAGAGGAAGTGCTCCCCGACGTGGTTGTCAACAAGGACCGGAAGGACAAGCCTCGGCTGGCCATAGCCAACACGGGGGGCATTCGCTTCGATGTCTTCAAGGGCCCGTTTACACGAGATGATACGTTTACCGTGAGCCCCTTTACCAGTGGCTTCCGCTATGTGCCCGATGTGCCGTACGAAATTGCTGCCAAGGTTATCGGACTTCTCAACAGCCAGTCGAGGATATTTGTTGCTGGGCTTCCAGACACCCGACAGTTGACCATTCCGCAGCTGATGTATCCACGCCCGAAATATCTTGATGAGACTGAAGCTGAGACTGAAGTTGACACTGAAGTTGGCACTGTTGAACAAGTCGAAGATGAAACAGAGGCTCGCCTCGAGCTGCGTGGAATGGATGCCTCAGGGGACAATGATGGAATCTTTGGTGGCTATACGACAAAGGACGATATTAGCAAGGACGGAGATGACACCGTCCACAAGCCCATTGATTTCTACTCAGTACCCAACTGTATCCAGGCCGAGATTGGTTTCCCAGAAGAAGGAAAGCCCAAGACGGTAGACCTCGTCTTTCTCGACTTTCTGCAGCCATGGATGATTCCCGCCCTCAAGTTCAGCGGCGGTGATTACAGTGCCAAAGATATCGAGCCGTATATGGAGGGGACGTTGACGGACAAGTTGGCTAACTGGATTGGCGACAACTGGAAGGATGAATGCAAATAGATGGTTTTTGTCCAGTTGTCAAGTTTTGCATAGGCCTGTTTTTGGAAGGAGTTTTGTTTCTCATAATTTGGAATGTGATAATGCGATTTAACATGATAGATTGCTATACGAATGATACAACTTTGAATCGTCTACGCGCTTTGATGCTGCGTTTTCATAAGTGACTCCATGGTTTGGCATTCTTTTATCAACTCCCAAAGATGGTCAAGGAATATGTAATGACAACGTTAGGCAGAGACCCAGACCCCCCAAAACGGTAGCAAAAAGAGAACAACCAACGCGTTTTATCCAGCATGCATATAGTACATACATGGATGGTCCAACAACAAATTGATTGGACAGCAAATGCTTCATTCTGCCTGCCTAACTATTGGGCCGACATATGCTGCGGGGTCTGCTGACAGCGCCCTGCGGCTCTGCGAATAATCCTCTCTTCCGATAAATTTCTCTCACACCAGATTTTGCTCATTAGTCTTTATGGCAAACAGGAAATCATGACAAAGACAAGCATCAGAAAGAAGTTCAAGGAGTGGAAGAATTCCCTTAAGGCTTCTGGGCGCACTCCTGATAAAAGCCCTCTGTCAAGTCCAAACCAATCTCACGCATCGTTACGAAGCAGCCTTGACAAGCCAAATCCACAGCAGCCGCCCGATTTACTATCTTCATCGCCTAACTCTTCTCATTTAAAGGCACCTCATCCGCTGATTAAGATATCGCCTTCTGCCGCGGCTATAGCATCACGAACTACGACAGCTCCTCCAGCTGCTGAAGTATCAGTACCTCAGATTACAATTGAACAAGCAACTCCCTCGAATCTTTGGAACGAAGCCTTCCGCCAAGCTAATGGCGAAACTCAACAATGGATTCAAAACAATGGGCTCGATTCACTGGAGAAGGCCAAGTCAGAAGATCTCATTAATTTGATCAAGAACAAAAGCCAATTACTCTCCGAAGAGAAAGGCGCGCCTTCGAAGATTGAAATTGGGAGTCAAAAGCTGGTATTCCGCGAATATATCTCTGATATTGTCACATTTCTTACCACGGTCGGCGACATCGCGATCAATTTAGCACCCCCACAAGCCGGTGTGCCATGGGCCGCAGCAAAAGCACTGCTGAGGGTAAGAGAGCCAAATTTCCAGGAATCTACTACTATTCTAATTTACTGATTGAACTAGATTCCGATTAAACAAATTGAGCAAATGGCAGCACTTGCTGGAACAGTTCGATTATTTATACGCATTGTCCAGAGGGGTCAGGTATACGAGCATTTATACAACGCAACAACGGCAGATGAAGAAGCTGTATCAAATCTACGCGACGCGTTGCGAGATTTATACGTGACTGCAATAGAGCTACTGGCTCGGACTGATGTCTTGATTAAAGGCGGATTGGTCAAACAAACGTTAAACGCCATTCTTCGACCTGAGCAGACTTCAGACCTTGTTTCTGACTTGTTGATGAAAGAGCAAAAGGTTTCACTGGAAGCTCAAGTCTGCGAGGCTTCTCGCAGTGCTAAGACTGGTTTAAAAACGGATGACAGAATAAAGGCCCTGTTGACTAATCTAGATAAACTGTCGACGCCCATTAGTCGAATTGACAAGGGAGTCGATAATCTGCTAGAGGAGGTTGAAAAGGACCGATTAGAGAGACTTATGGACTTTATTAGCTCAGAAAAGTTTGGTAGGGGCCACGTTACTATTAAAGAATCGAGGATAGAAGGGACTGGAGACTGGTTGATTAACCACGAGGGACTTCGCGATTGGGAAGCGATATCCTCCTCTTCAACGCTCTTATGTCTCAAGGGAACTGGTAAGCTCCTCCAAGAATACTTAATCAGTTCATGCATTTCTCCGTCTAACACGGGTTAGTCGGTACTGGTAAGACGTACCTTACCTCTCGAGTGATCGATCATATAAAGCAAACCTTGGAAACATCGGCTCATGATGAAGGATTTGCATTTTTTTATTGCAATCGATCTGGTCCCTCAATGTTGGATCCCTTGGTCGTTCTCAGGAGCTTCGTTCGCCAATTATCTTACAAAGCATACCGCTACAATCACATCCAAACCAGCGTTATCCAGAAATGCCAATTAGCAAAGCAAGAAGGGAGAGACCTAAGTTTTGGAGATTGCAAAGAGCTTATCCTGGGTTCTCTAAACCTCTATCCAAAAACTACCTTAATTCTCGATGCCTTGGATGAATCTGAAATTTCAACATATAATCTAGCAGAGATTCTTGTCGACTTAATGGAAAGAGCCACAAAACCGGTCAAAGTCTTTATTTCGAGTCGCCCTGGTCGAGAATATTTAAAGGCTTTTGAAGACAAGTGTATAATTACAATCAATAGCAACAACCAAAAAGACGACATTGAAAAGTTCCTTCGCAAAACCTTATACTCCCAACCATTTTTCAACAGGCGCAAAGCGGAAATTCAGGAAATAATTAAAGAGACATTTAGATCTCGAAATGGCGGGATGTAAGCTAAATCTCTACCTGTCTACTATTCTTAGACTTCTAATCAGGAAAATCTATTTGATTCTAGGTTCCGATGGGTCTATTTACAAGTCAAAAGTCTGCTGAAATGCATCTCAGATGATGCCGTCAAGGCGTGGGCCAGAACGATACCTCGTGATCTGATGGCTGCATATGATCAGTTGTGGGAGAACATACGAGCGCAGCATAATGAAGACGACGTGGCATTAGCTGAGCGTGCTGTCAAGTGGGTGTTGTGTGCATTTGAGCCACCTACATCCAATATTCTGCTAGAAGCCGTCCGGTATTCTCTAGAAAAAGGTGTACTGGTACAGAAGGAAGAGCGCTCTGAAGAAGAAGTCCTATCGCTATGCCAGGATCTTCTGACGATTGATACGGCGAGACGGATATGGAGGCTACCACATGCTTCAGTGGCTGAATATTTCCAGTCTAGAAATATGGCTTTAGGAACATGTGATGTGTTTGCTTCTATTACATCGCTCAACTTCCTGATGAGACCTGAATTGCAGCCCGCTCGTTATGAACGGAAAGATAACAAGTTTCATACTTTTGAAGGGTATATTTCACACACATGGTTCCTACACGTTCAGCGATATGACAGATGGCTGGGATCCATGGACAACCCAGATCCGGACCAAACTCTCGTTACCACTCTCAAACGCTTCTTCGAGTCTGTAGAAGGGAGTGGCTGCCACTATCGGGAGTGGCTAAACAAAATTGGTGGATCGCACAAACACCCGATACTGAGGCCTGAAAGCATGGCTTTGTTTGTCATGTGCCGCTTCGGATTTTACTACGTTTTGCGTGACTGGTGGGAAGAGGACAAAATAAATGAGGAAATGGCGCTCAAAGATTCCGGACCACTTGATAATTCGCTTACACTTGCAGCTCAAGGTGGAAGCCTACCGATTTGCAAATATTTGGTGGGAGTCATTGGTCGGGATAACGCTCTTGCTAAAAGATATTACTGGGCCATCCAAAATGCGATTAATGGACGGAACAAGGGTATCGTCTCATTTTTGGTGGAAGAAGCAAACCTCGATGTCAACCTCTGTTACCGCAGAACAACGGTTGTGCAATACACGGCAATGTTTCCGCAGCACGCTGAGATGCTGCAGTGGTTTGTGGACCAAGGTTGGGTCGACGTAAACAGGGAGGGTGGCAAATGGTTTGGCAATGCCCTCATTGCGGCAGCAGCTTATTATAGTGTAAAATCGGCTGAGATTCTGCTCAAAGCTGGAGCCGACGTGAATGCTGCTGTGGAGTGTGGCTACTATGGCAGTGCCCTTGTCGCTGCAGCAAGTTCAATAGTGCGCTGGGATTACGTGAAAAAGATGCAATTGCTTCTCAGTCATGGTGCAGATCCAAACCAGCTCTTGAGAGGTGGCAAGTACGGCAGTGCACTGGAAGCGGTAATTCTCAGTCGTTTCTGGTTGCAAGCTGAAGACAGATATCGATTGGCTGAGGATATGCCGGTGATGAAGCTTTTGCTAAAAGCTGGCGCTGATCCCGCAATCATAACTGACCGGGGAGATCATGGGAGTGCACTTGCCGCCGCCGCATGTTGTGGATTTAAAGACTTCCTGAAGATGATGGTTGATGCTATTGGGAGAGAACGGGCAATCGAGTGCCTTGGCCAGAGCAGATGCCCCAAGAAGCTATACCTGAGGACTACAGATAGCAAGAGATGGTTGCAAGCCAAATCAGACATAATTACTTATCTTACCAACCAAGTCGGGGTAGAGAAAGAGACTCTTTATAGAATTGGGCTGCAGGATGTCGAGCTCAAACAGTCAGACTCCGGCCCAGGATTTGTTATCAGATACTATTAATCTCAAGCTATTACTATTTACTGTATCAAGATAGCTGGTGCAGAGAGAGACTGATAGTGGGTTAAACCTTTCCGTTTACGGAAGTTATTAGCGATGAACATGAAAGAAGAATTCGATATTCGTCCGTGGTTTACCTCGTTGCCCTTCGTAGATCATTGGCACAACACTCATATGATACCACCAATTTGCAAACATGCACAGTGGAAACGGAATCCTAGTAAGATGTTGGTCAACTCTACTCAGTTTCCGATGTCTTCATTTCAGATACCTATAAAAACATGATCCGCATGATTTTGCGTTGACATACACGAAGGACTTGAGCTTCTAATAAAATTCACTTACAATAAACAATAGCAAACAGTTGACAGTTCTCAGTTGAAACTTTTCCTGCAGTAACCCATACAGAATTTCCATTATTTGAATCACTCCGCAGCTGCCCAGCCATTCCACGACTACCGCAGGCCATCTGAACGACGAGATGCCCGTTACAACGCCAGATGCAACTGTCATACAAGCAGACCTTCTTATACCAGGTCGCAGTGAGCCTCTCAGGCCGGGGACCGTAGTCATAGCCGAATCCAAGATCAAGTTCGTTGGCAGCCCTGACAAAGTTCCTGCCGAGTACCGCTCAATCACTCCACTCCATGTTCCCGCCCTAATGCCCGGTCTCTGGGACTGTCATGTCCACTACTTTGGAATGGAGATGGATACCAGCGTTTTTGGTAGCATGGCCAAATATCTTCCCGGATACAAAGCATTGGCTGGCGCAATCACAGTGGCAGACCTTGAAGCTACGTTGATGGCCGGCTTCACTTCCGTCAGAGAGCTACAAGGTTACGGCGGCGACCTTTGGCCAGGAATTGAGAGCGGCTTCCTTGTCGGACCCAACGTCTATTCCTCCATTGCAGCCATGTCGGTGACTGGTGGTCACGGCGACTCTCACAGCATTCCCCTTGATACGGTACTGCAGTATGTAAGCTGCGGCGGTCCGTGTTCTATCGTGGATGGGCCGGATGAGTGTCAGAAGGAGGTGAGAAAGCTGATACGTCGAGGAGCTCAGGTGATCAAAATTTGTTCCAGTGGTGGAGTATTAAGTCTGAAAGACGACCCGGAGGACAGACAGTTCTCTAATGCTGAATTGAGAGCTATCGTAGAGGAAGCTGGCCTTTCCCGTCGCGTGGTGGCGGCCCACGCTATCGGGAAGGCTAGTATCGTGGCCAGTCTTCGTGCTGGCGTGAAGACGATTGAACACGGGTTTTACCTGGATGAGGAGGTTGCGGACGAAATGATTAAGCAGAAGGCCATTCTTGTACCGACTCACCACATTATAGAGACTATCGGTGCTCACCCGGATGAACTGCCACCGGCATCCAAAACGAAGGCATTGAAGTTAGTTGGAACAGCAAGGGAATCCTACAAATTGGCTATCCAAAAAGGAGTGAAAATTGCCCTCGGAACCGACGCTATGAGCAGCGACCGCAAGAAACCCCAGTCGCACGGCAACAATGCCCGAGAACTCTACTGGGCGGTAAAGAGGGGTATGACACCGCTCCAAGCGATCGAGGCATGCACAGCAAATGGCCCCGAGACCCTTGGTGGCATGGCACCGCTTAGCGGACAGATCAAAGAGGGATATGATGCGGATCTGATAGCAGTTGCAAGCAGCCCTCTGGATGACATTGAGGTTCTGACTGTGAAGGAGAACATTACACATGTTTGGAAAGGTGGTAAACTCTTTAAAGGCGAGACGACCCGTAGATAGTTACCCGGGAAAGGGGTAATCATATAGTAGAATAACTAAAACAACTACTGCCTTAGCTGCTTGATGGTATCCTACACAATGAAGAGGTCAATGTGCGATCAGCGAGGGTACTAATAATCTAAAACGACTAGTAGCTCATCATCTTGTCTTTGTTCCTTTCACCATTTGTGAGCTTTACGGTGTATTATGCTCATGGCTCGCCCAGCATTTCCAAATACACCATCATACGAAGATGATAGATTGAATACTAAAGCAACTTATATCTATTACTCAGGCTCGTCAGTCTCCCAAGGCCCTGGTCATCCTACCAAGAAAAGTTCTGCTCTACAAATCAAGACTGCTGGATCCATTCGTGTACTAGATATGCCACGGATTCTTTATGGTCGCCTGGGCTCATGTGACCAGCGTTATCCACACCAGCAACTTGCACCTGTTGGCCTCGGCCCTTCAACTGGCCTCCCTTTTGGAGCGCTCCTTTGCTATCCCTAAAGTACCAGTCTCTCTTGGGGTCCAAGCGGAATTGGATATTCCCATGCCACGGGAGGTCGGCCCATTCACGGAAAATGCCGGGGGAGTTTCTATGAAACGAACAGAAAAGTCAGAAGTTAGCAATGACGTTCGTCCCCCATGGAGAAAGACGCTCAAAGTTTTCCTTACATAATGACATCGTAGTTTCCGTTCAATACCAGGAAGCGGACTTTGGCCACGTCGACGAGATACGAGACTTCGCGAGTAGTGGGCAACATAATCTCAGGTCGGGTCGACCAATTGGCGTTGAGGTTAAAGTTGATGGAGACATATTTTTGGTATTCGCCAATGCCGAGAAGGGATTGAATATCAGGCTTGTTGAAGTAGTCCCCAGTGGAGTACTCACTTTTGGGGATACAAGTTGGAGGAACATCGCAACCTAGTCGAACTGAGGGCTGGTTAGTTAGGAGAGACATCAGGTGTCCAAGGCGTCTTACGGTCATAGGGGCTGTGCTTCAGTGCATCTACTTGTGCTTGGAAGTACTTGTACAAGTTTCTCTGACCAAACTCGATGGCTGCTTGGCACAGACTTGCGTCGTAGGTCGCCTGGCACACGCGCTGGAGACGCTCTGCCTCGGGCATTGCGGCGGCGATGGCATCACAGGCCGTGGCGTTGAAACGCAGCAAGTCAGCTGTTGGGCTGTCAGTGCAGAATAGCTCATAATGGCCCAGTGGAGAGTACGTGCCGTCAACCAGCGCGTTGGCCAACACGATGCCGCGGACTTGCACGGGAAAAGCAACAGGAGCTCCGGCCAGCTGGCGGCGCACGAGGTCCGCCGTAAAGCGCGGCACATAGCGCCCTCCAAAGGACTCGCCAGCTATGTAGAAGCCGTGTTGGAAGTATTGCGGAAACTGTTTGACGAAGCGCGTCAAGAAGGCCGCAAAATCGTCACTGGCCTCGGCGAGCGTGACTGGGAAGAACCATCGTCGGCCGCAGTTGAGAATCCAACTCCGGCAGGTTGACTAGACAAGACGACACGGTGAGCCAATATCAGAGAGAAAAGTAGAATTAGAAGTGTGTGTGGAAGCTGGCTTACTCAAGAAACAAGAGATTGGCAAAGTTGGCCCAGCTGTAGGGGTTCGCCGTCGTATTCAGCCCAGATGTAAGCTCACAAGGACCAATTTCCTCAAAGAGACCGGGTAGGGAACTTGCACCAGGACCACTGGACGAAGATTAATTAAGATGGCTGCCGTTGTTCTCAGAAAATAATGAATTCGGTCGTAGAGCTCACTTCCTCTACTCTGGAATATCAAGACATCACGCGTTTAGGCCTATCGCAGCTCCTGCCGTTGAGCAATATTGTGATTCAACAAATTCTCTGGTGATTATGCGCCTACTTCCATCTCCCATCTTCTCCTTTTGTTCTTTAGCGTTTCAACTCGGCTAACTCTTTTACTCAACGCTACGAAGGGTGGTACAAGCTGCTGCATCGCTCACTCTATTGCTCATTAGCTTCATACAACTCTATAATCGATATCGATTCACTGGCAAAAATGAACCTCCATCTACGTTGAATATTGCTACTACAACTTTCTTGGTTTGCCTTCCTCGCCCCTCGAACCGTGCCCCAAACCAGCGCTGACAATTGCGTCTCTTTTCCCCCCCCTGGCCGCCGTCGACAGCCAGGTGCACCGCCATTTGGTCGACCATGTCATTGGGCCTCAGGGGATACTCAAAGACAAGACCAGGCTGGTTGTCACAAACTCCGCGGTGGTTTGCTCATATGCCGATCAAGTGCTACAGGTTACAGATGGTCAGCTTCAAGATATCAAGGCTTGTAGTCCACAGCTATTGAGGGGGTTGCCAGACAGTGTACCTATGGTCGACAAGCCGGATCTCTCAGTCAAGGTGGCCAGCCTTAGCATCAGTGCTTCATCTACTGACGAAGAAGCAAATAACCTGAGTGACTCAGTCCAAGAGAACCAAAACCTGGAGAATTCGTCTGTGGACAACAACCAGGAGTCCTCGCTGGGCGACTCAGCTCGGGTGTCCTTTGCAGACTATAAAAGGTGGTTGGGAATCGCCCATATCTGGCGCTGGAGTCTGATGGCATTTTTCACCGGCCTCACATTTGCCTCCAACATTATGTCGACTTACATGCTCAAGGTGTTTGCCGATAGGCTCGGCAACGGCTTGGTTATGCGGGCCTTGGAGATTTACGCCGCTGCAGGCGTTGTACAGACATTCATGTCGTGCCTCTCCTTGCTCTTGGGCTGGTACCTTTGCCTAAAGCCAACATCACACAAGATCCACGGTATGCTAGTTGCGGGCGTTCTGCAAGCCCCCTTATCCTTTCTCCAGCGTACCCCGACGGGCGAGATTATGAACCGCTTCGCCAATGATCTCGCACGGCACGATGGTCCGCTTTTCACTTGCATATTCGGCTTCTTGAACTCGTTGCTACGCGTCGTCGCCTCCCTCGGTACTCTCCTAGCTTTTGCACCGTCGTCAGCTGTTGCAGTCGTAGCACTTGGGGCCTTGGGATGGTGGTTGCAGCGCCGTTGTCTCGGCGTCTTGGTCGAGACAAGACGGCTTGAAACCAGCTCACGAAGTCCCCTAATCACAAACCCGCAGGAAACTCTGGCCGGGTCCGACATTATTCGCATCTTTGGTCGCCAGACCTACTTTGAGACTAGAAATTTTACAAGTCTGCGACGTAACTTGACTGCTTATATGGCGTTCGTCTCCGTAGAGCTGTGGCTGATCCTCCGGCTGTCTCTTATTTGCTCGTAAGTATACCGCCTTTCAAGTTCAATCCTAAATGAGAGTTTTCCAACACTTACATTATCAATTTCTAGGTTGTTGCAAGGCCTGGCTGCGGCATTTTTGCTTGTAGGCGGCGTGGATGCGAGTGCTACTGGTTTCGTCATGTCATACATGCTTCAGTTAGCCACGTCCTTCACTCAGACGGTTCTTCTTCGTACTCAAATGGAATGCGAAATGGTTTCTACACAGCGCATATTTTCCTTGATAGACACAAAGGCGGAGAAGATGAGCACAAACGAGGTAGAAGTCCTAGATCGGACCCAAAACGTGGATGCCTCCTGGCCCTCCCGTGGCACTGTGACGTTCTGCGACTTCAGCGCCAGCTACAGCCACAATTACCACGACGACGAGAATGATTCCAGCGTTGTACTTCGCGACATCAACCTTGACTTCGCACCAGGCCAATCAACTGCCATTGTAGGCCGCACCGGCGCCGGAAAGTCATCATTGGCTCTGGCAATGCTGCGCGTGCTCCAACCCGCCCGTGGCCGTATCGAGATTGACGGCACCGATATCACGCAAGTTGACTTGGATGTGCTACGGTCACGCGTAGCCATCATCCCTCAGAACTGCGGCGCATTTGCCGGTACGGTGCGCACCAACCTCGATTCCAACGGCATCCACGACGAGTCAGACCTATTGCGTGTCGTTCGTGACAAGTCTCTTTGCAAGGGGCTTCAAGACGCCACAGGCTGCGCTCGATTCTCCGGTGTTACAAGGAGGGTAAGAGTTACTTGGAATGCTCGGCAGTGGAAGGGCTAAGAGGAAGAAGAAACTGACTGGGAATTATTTTGACAGGTCTAACCTTTCCGCCGGTCAACTACAGCTTCTGGCTGTTGCCAGATGTCTCCTTGTTGGGTCCAGCATTGTGATCTTAGACGAGGGTGAGAGCTTGACGCCAGACGAAGCTTTTAATCGTTCTCGTTTTAGAAGCTAACATCTTTTGCCGTTCCTAGTTACCTCGGCCATGGACAAAGCCAACCAACAACTCATCCATGAGGCCTTGAAGACTCAGCTGCGAAACAAGACCGTCATCACCATATCCCATCATCTCTGAAGCGCAGTGAGCGAGAATGCCTAGCCTAGAGCGACACTCTTTTCAGATGCTAACTCTTCTGCTAGATTGAGAACGACCGAATTATCGTCATGGACAACGGTGCGGTCGCCGAGATTGGTTCTCCTAAGCAACTCTTTGAGAAGAACGGCATATTTAGGAGCATGGTTGTTGCTGCTGGGTTGGAGAATGAGCTCCGTAGTGTGGAATTGTTGGAAGCGGTGGAAAGTGGGTAGCAAGGCATTATAAGAGCAAGAAATGAGGCCAATAATAGAATGGACATACACATCGTAATAATATTAAGTTGAGGTTGCAGCCGTTGAGATGAATTAATAGCCATGTAGGCATCACAATGGTAGTGAACTAAAGTCGCAAGGAAGTGCACGCTGTCGGCATCATGCTTGTATGAACTCATCAATTTATCTTACCAGAAGTCACTACACACTAACAGTCGGCCGTCAAAACATTTTTAGAACTTAGCTTAAGACTTACTTGAACGTATTTATGTAAATAGATCGCTAGATATTGAGCGAGAAATCAAATTGGGAGATGTTTACCATGCCGCTGTCTACCCTATAAAATTGACCGATTGCTCTGATCCGACCAACTCACAACCATAAACCATAAACTGAAGGCATTCCTTAGCATCTTATCACTAATATTCTATATGCACCTAGTTTGTCAATTATTCCTAGATTTCTATAACAACCGACTTATATGGTATTTCAACATCCTAGCTTGGGTATTAGCTGTAACTAACACCAAGTCTCTAAGCCCACATCCTGTGATGAAGCTTCTTCTCATCCCATCATTCAGGCTGCGAACATTTCTCACTCTCATCCATAGAAACCACAAGCCTTAGTCCCACTTGTCTGGACCAAAAGTCTCTCTCTTAGCAAGTTTCATGTACCTGCAGTCATGAAAATCGCAAGTCGTGGTGTGGTATTTAGTACCCCACCAAGCCGGAAACTATCAAAAAAGCATCAGTCTACCGTTGGAGAGAGACGGGGATGAAAGCAAGGCAGGGAGACAGAGAGAGAAGTGGGCTTACCGAAACCCCGGCGTTGGAAATGGCAAAGAACTGCACCAATGCTGACAAGACAATGCCCGCCGTCAACGCGCTCGACAGCACCAAGGCGTACTTTGCCCACCAACCGGGCCAGCGGTCCTTGATAAAAACGCCAAAGATGTATGAGAAGAAAAGCGTGCCCCAAAACATGGACAGGTTCGACGGTGCCCATACCACACCACCCAGCACTGTTTTGTATTCAGCATCACAAGTCAGGAACAGTTACAAAGACGCAAAGAAGGGGGAGGGCTACTTACTCATGACAATGGGATGGGCATAGCGCAGAATGCTGTTGGGCCAAGCTCGCTTACCAAGATACCACAAGACGGGCCATAAGAGGCCGGCCAGGAGCCCGAGCATGATCTTCCAGTATAGCGCGTCGACGTGCTAGGTAAAGTGACTATTAGTTATCCGCTCTCTCTCTAGATATCTTACATGGAAACACGAAAGAAAGGTTGGTGATTGAGAGGGTAGCCATTAGAGACTGCAAGTAGAAACGAGTGTTGGGCATACCGTGAACATCCTGCTTGGACCAAGCAGGCCCCAGGTCAGAGACGATGAGAATCCTGTCTGGGCCGTACCGCAGACCCAGTGCACATTGACTTGAGGGTTACACATGCCCTTGACGCTGAACTGGAAGTTGACAACAGCTAAGACCACAAAGGTTGACACCAGGCTCGAGATGATCTGCGAGGCGAACATTTGGCGCGGGGGAATCTTGACATAGTGAGCCAATTTCATGTCCTTTGCAAAAATAGAGCCTGCTCAAGAATTCCCAAGCCATATGCGCGGAACAGCAAATAGGCGGCAGGTCGATTGTGCACGGCATAGCCGGCAATCTACAACACTACATTAGTTTCAATACTATGATTATAATAAGGGACACACTTACAATGTCAAAGAGAAGCTCTAGGGACGATTGGTAGCCACTAATGGCATAAACGACGCCAATAGGGATGAGGAAGAAAATGGACAAGATGATGGTGACAGGAACGGTCCCTAGTAATGTAAGCAGTCGGCTATTGAATCAGTTACTAGATGAATGGGGGTCCGTTGCTTACAACCAGGCGCTCCAGTAGGCCAGCCGTATACTGTTGCAAAGCCAAACGCTGCCCCAATGGCACCCACAGCCAGGTACCATGTCTAAACGATGAGGCCGTTTTCATATTAGCAGCTTGTTTCCCTCTGGTGCGGGTCGATCTGGTGATAATTACCTCGGGGACCTCGTGATACCGCGACATAAACCGAGAATGGACGTCATTAGAGGCGTGATGGACTGATATGCGTCGGATGGCTTGCTTGATGACTTGCCCAAAAGCCTTTCCGTACCAGAGCCAGGTAAAAGTACAGACAGCCGGGATAACCTTTTTCGAGCGGTGGTAACAGAAATTGTCAGCAGCTGCGTAGTCTTGACTAGACAAGGGGGAGGGCGGAGCAAGGTCAACATACAGCTAACAAGACAGCATATCGCAGGACAAAGGTTGCGGGCAAGAAGAGCGGCGAGTATTCCCGGTACGCGGTCTCGTTCAAGGTGCTACCGGGGCCTACGACCCGCGAGAAGTTGTACTGGTTGCCAGTGTTGTCGTATGCGTACCACGAGTTGATGGGCAAGTAGGCTGTGTACCACGTATTTGTGAAGAAGACGGGGATGACAACCAACACAGCCCAAACCAGAGCCGAGCCGACAATCTGGACGACGACGAAGAAGGGGTAAATGATAGGGTCGACAACGCCGCTGAACCAGTTCCAGTCAAACGTGGTGAGCAGCGGATTGAGCCCCAGATTGAAGTAGTAGCTGCCCGTCAGAATGGACAGCGTTGCGCTGGTGGGTGCGATCCACGTTGTCCAGTTGAAAAAGGTCAAGATGGGCATGATGGTGCCCGGCAGCCAGTAATACAGGAACATGAGCCCACACACGACAAAGAAGAAGTTGAAGCGGGAGATTTTCCAGCCGTGCACGTGTGAGTTGCTTTGGTTGTGCAGCGCGTTGTTGAGCGCGGCCTGGCTGAGAGTGAAGAACCAGATCATCTGGGGAGGATAGATGAGAAACCGACGGATCATGCCAGCCAGCCCAAATCCGGTGATCTGAAGAGCTAGCATGGCACAGATTTGATAGGGCTTGTCGCGCGGCGTAAGCTGAGTACATCTACACGCCTTACATGAGATGGGAAGAAAGGGAAGATACCTACCCAGGTGCCTGCCCAGCTCTGCCCTAAGAACATGGGCAAATACTGATCAAAGAATAACGGTGTAATATAAGTAACGCCTGTTTATACTTGGTAAGTCCATCATCTTTGACCCTAATCCACGGAGAGAAGAGAGGAGACGTACTGCCGCTACTTGCGTTGGCCATTATAGTCTGATATCTAGTCAGCCAGGTACAGAGGTTGAAGGTTAGGCAGATCAAAAAGTATGCAAAGGTCAAGAAATTAAGTAATTGGAAGGAAAGCTGCTTGGGTTACTTACAATAAGCATATGCTCTTTGATGAAAAACGGTCCCGGATTGAGGCTGAATTCGAAACGGGAACCTCTTAGGAAGGCTGTTGTCGGTAGAATGGCGGCACAGAAGCGTCCCATTGGGAAAGAGAACAGCTGAGTAATGTAAACGGAGACGGTCAGTGTTGGGTTCCGCGGCGCAAAGAACTGGTTGAGGCCAGCCAGTCCGGCAGCCCAGATCAAGCCAATGACCCAGGCGCGGACGGTCCCGCAAGGCATGTCGGGGTCGTCGACGTTGGAGAAGATTGCACGAATCTCACGGTAGACGGAGTTGCCACGGAAGGCAGCGGCGACAAGCCGGGCCTCTACCTCGACGGCTTGCTCTATCTTGTCTTCGGATACGCTGAGATGCGCAACTAGCTCTTTGACGCTGTCGGTAAACGACTGTAGGATCAGCATGTCATCACTGGTGGAGAACAGTCAGCATTCTGCATCACACAAGTCTTATTCAACATCTTTCTAGAGCTAATATTCAGCTATACTCACCCATGTTCAGTTAAATAGTCAGCAAGAATTGCTCGCGCATTGTCGAGTGTGAGCGAAGACGCTTCCTCGGCGGCTCTATCAATGTCATCTTGCGAGATGCCATACTTCTTATAGTCAACCTCAGATTGACTTCGGAAAGAGTCTTCAACTATGTCCTGCTGGCTCCAAAAGCTCCAGTTAGAAAGCTGACAGTAAATAAGATCAATTGCAACAGCCTCAACCAGATGATGCTAAGGGGAAGCTGACTATGACTGTGCCGACCTGCTCGCTAGCAGGACGTTTGTCTTCCATGGCCTTGAATTGGGCCCCTGAACAAATCAAGTAACAAAAACCCCAGGTCAAACGACGGAGATTCAGAGTCTGATACTGCTGGAGCCGTTCCAAGCGTACACTGTGATGGAGATCTGGAGACTCTTGTTGTGGGTCATGCCGGATTATACCAAGGATATATAATGCAATGCAAGCCCGCCGGGAAGATAGAAAAGGGGAATACCAACGTGCATCTGCAATGAGTTTATCTTTTGTCCCAGAGATTCGGCTAGTCGTGTGAGCTTTCACTTATCGCAAACTCGATACGGCTTTCCACAGACAAACTAGGGTCATTCCTTTCCCCACGGGGTTGGAGTCTGGCTTACATGTAATTGGTTGACCCGACTATCTAGAGTCCCAAACGCTCGTTAGCGGAAGACTAAGACAAAAAAGGTTGTCGGGAACGACGAACAACGTGGGGAACAGGCGGGACTTTATCTATGCACATTTAACCAACGACTATTGATACTCGGATAAGACGCTCATCCCCAGCATGGTGGGATTGCATAGCTATCAGAGTTTCTCTATCGGAGTATCAATCAGGCTTTGCAATGGAAAACGCTATCAAGCCGTCTAAGAGGGCTCTGGCCAACCTCGAGTTGGAGTCTCCCGCCGACTTGGAAGACAAGATCTCCCACCTTCCCTCTTACGATCCAGAAATATGCCCTGATGGTCTCATAGACCTATCTGGCGCCACAAACATGCTCGTCAGCGACCTGATGGGGGCGCATATCGGCAAGTTTGTGAAATACTATCCTGTCGAAAATGGTTTGCCAACCCTGCAACTCGGACAGAATTCCACACGTGCAGATGCTAACCGACTCTCAACAGCTCTTCTATACGGGCCAGTGAACGGCCCCAAGGGTAAGGGGTTCCCAGTACACAGGGATGGTTTCATACATGTGCCCAAGCAACCAACAGAGCTGAAGAGGAGTTGCTGATGGCTTGCCTACAGAACTCTCGCTGGCTGTGGCCCAGTTCATCAACCGCCGCTTTACACCGGCCACAGCCGTCCAGGCAGAGGACATTCTAACGACCAACGGCGTCTCTACGCTCATTGATATGATGTCGTTCAACTTTTGTGAGCCAGGTGAAGCCGTCATGGTCCTCACCCCGACTTACCTCATGTTTCCCCATGACCTCTGCGCTCGCACGGGAGTCCAAATGATTCCCGTGTCGACAGAGAGCGTCCCCGATCAATACAGCTCCAAGTATGCGTCCAAAATGATTCATAAACTTGAACAGGCGTATCTCGTCTCTCAGGGTTGTGGGGTGAACACACGCGCTCTCCTCATCTGCAACCCTTGTAATCCGACGGGACGCAACTACTCCAAGGCATCGTTGCTCGAGATGGCTCGTTTCTGTGGCAGGCACAAGATGCATCTGTTGTCGGATGAAATCTATGCCATGTCGAGCTTTGAGCCCTTGGAGCCCGGACTAGACATGTTTTCATCCGTGCTAAGCATCGAGGATAGTCCCCACGACGGCGTCTTCAAAGAGAACATCCACTGCCTGTACGGTGCCAGCAAAGACTTCGCAGCCGGAGGTATCCGTCTGGGTTTCCTGGTGACACGCAATGAGCTGCTCTGGAAAACATGCCGCCGTCTGGCCTTGTTTACCTGGGTCAGCTCCTTCTCGACTGCCTTTTTCACCCATTTCCTGTCGGACGCAGAGGCTGTGGACGAATATCTCGCTGTCTACCAGAGTCGTTTGCGGACAAGCTACGTTGCGGCGAGCGAGTCCTTTTACAAACATGGCATCCCATTCCAACCCGCCAATAGCGGCATGTTTGTCTTTGTTGAGCTGACCGAGTGGCTCAAGTACTTTGACGCTCCGGATGTCAAGGGTCAAGAAGTCCAACTGTACCACTATCTTGCCTTCCAAGCAGGTGTCCACCTTAACATGGGCCAGGTGAGTTGAGCTTTTTCCAACTGGCCTTTTTAAACCATAGCTCACATCGAATCTCAGATGTCGTTGTCTTCTATACCTGGATGTTTCAGGTTTGTCCATGCAGCTGGGAATACGAAAACAGTAGCACTGGCCATAGCGCGCATTAGGGATGCGTTGTCAAAGCTAGAAGCAAAAGGTTCTGTTTTGGATCGACGTCTTATATCCGTCAGTAGCACGAGCGCGACAGAGTCAGTCAGTGATGAGAAGCACAAGGAGCCAGCCGCAGAGCGTAAACTGGGCCTAAGAGGTTCAATAATTCGTCTCCTTTCTTGCACTACGCACGGCGTATAAGAATGAAGAGTTCGCATTTAGAAAACGGTCGTGTTGATTCTACGGATATAATATCCATAGCTAAACGTGTAGAGATGATAATCCATGTACTCTGTAATACCCGGTGAGAGCATGAAGGACATGTTGTTTTGGTAGTTAAGTACGAAGAGAGAAAATGATAACCCATATACATGCTTGTATGTTTCAAATTCAATACTACAACATACATACTTACATAAATAAATTATTTATTTCTTATTCTTACCTTCTATGTCAGCATTCTTCATAACTCCTCATTCTGAACCACTTCGTACTGATACGCCTCGACTTTATCCTGTGACCTAGGCCAAAACTCGACTACAAACGGCGCGTTGCCCTCTCGAAATACCCTGAGCTTCAATGTCGCGCTGAATTGCGATCGAACTGTCAAATGTGTTGATCCACACTCCAGCTCAATACGGTCTCCGTCCTGTATCCCGGCCAGTTGTGCTCGGGAGCCTTGAATCAAACCCTTCACGATGCGTGGTCCTTGGAGCAACGAGCTTTCATCAAATCCAAGCTCGAATTTTTCCAATTTTCGTTGAACAAGTCTAACTTGCCAGGGGAGCTGTTCTAGGCTGTGAACTCCCGGAACCACCAACGTACCCTCTTTCATCTCCGTCACGAGCGAATCTGCTCTAGTTTCGTCGCCGCCAAGCAACTGTGAGAGACGTTGCAGGTAGTCCTCCACTCCAACACTCTCTCCGCCTTGCAGTCTGTCTGCAAGAGGCCCGACCAGATCGTCGATGGAATGTCCAGCAGTGCGAAGGACGTCATTGACCTGGAGCGCAAAAGCGAACCCCCGCATATACGGCATGCGCTGTGCATCCGTCATGTTCCAGGTCACCTTCTGGACTCGCTCTAGCGACCAGGTAGCCAAAGGGTTCGTATAATAGGCAACCAGCTTCTCGTTGACCTGTTGCAAGTACTCCCGTGCCGACAGGAGGCCAAAGCGGAAGCGGAGGAGAACTTGATAGTACTCGGCAAGCCCTTCATGATACCAATTATCGGCCACGCTCTCCCGGGTGAGCAGCACCCAGTTGTGAACCATCTCGTGTGCCAGCACAGCCTCGCGATCCTGCAGGCTCGGAGGACAGTCTCGCTCCGATTCATCGTAGCCGTACATGAAGGATCGTCGGAGTGCAGTCCCAGTCAATGAGCCCCGGAATGGGTTATGCCGCAGGAAGATGCGATAGCTGTTCCCCTTGTCGCGGAAGAAGGCAGACATTTCTCGGAACAGTTTCTGAAGGCGCGTTCCCAGCGGTAAGGGGTCAAAGGTCGGAGTGCCAAACCAGTACATGTTGAAGACATTGGTCTCGTTTGTATGCATGTAGTTGTCGGGAGAAGTCATCCGATGCAAGGGTCCAACAGCAAAGTACGCCTCCTGCACGCCAGAAGCAATACCAAGAAGGCTCTTGGTCGCTATTTCGAAAGGGCCCTCGCCATCCCCCATCGGCCATGCGGCCAACGTTCCCTTGGGACTTTTAGACAGATCCCAGCGGAGAGTCGTGAGGGTTGTCACTTCTGGTTCCTTCGGAGGTGCTCCCAAGAAGGCCATGCCCGAGCCAATCAGCCCGCCTTGATCAACCCGGAGATCGAGAGCAGGACCGTTCTTTGTCTCTTTGGAGACGCGCCGTGGAAGGGCCGTGTAGACAACGCTGATATTTCCAACAGTCGGGCGGCCAGTTTTCCAGACCCGGGCTGTGACTGGGCCAGACGTCTTGATACGCTCTGTTACCTGGAGTTCACCCTCAGCGTCGGAGAACAAAACGCCGGCATCTGAGACATATCCGATATCGATGCTAACGGTGTTAATAAACAACTCAAAAATATCCTGGTCTTGTTGGAATGGTTGCCCCCAGATGACCTGATTCACATTGAGGGCTGAAGCGCTACCCTGAGGACCAGTGAACAACGGCGTTAAAGTTACGCCGATATTGATGGATGCTATAGCTGTCTGCTGAGCTATTGCTACGGCCGTCACAGAGAGAATCATAATTTGGCTAAGCAAAGCCCTTGAGATGGGCAAGAGAACACCTTGTCGCATCTTGAATGCTGCTGCTGAGTATAGTATACGCAGAGAACTCAAATCTGTTCATACGGAGAACTCTTTAGAAGATGATCAGGACGTAGATAAAAACATGTTAACCTGGATTCTATGGCAAGTTTCGTTTTAGAGATTCATGCCTTGTAGCTCGGCATTCGGGGCATCTCTAGTGGCCATAGTTAAAGCAGGGCACTTGGCCGTCGTTCTCCCTGATAGGACCCCTGCTGAAAGTTCAGACCCTTGCTTCTGGAAATAAGCCTCCATGCTTTCAAGTAGTACTAGCCCCTTTAAAAACAATGTAGGGGCTTTAGGGACGGTTTGAAGGCAAAGACTCTAAGCCGCTGTGGACACCAGACGTGGAAACAACGGGTACGTGGACTGAGACAATAGTAATACCCGTTGGTCGATCAATCATGGCATCTTACTACACACGTACGTACCATTACTCACGGTCATCCGCGGCCTTTCGAATAAGACGTTGGAGGAGCGCAAGAGCGGTGTGGCTACTCGACTGAATTTGTGTAATGTTCCAGTTCTGTTCGGCGTTCAGCTCGTATTCACTGTGCCTACACTATAAGTATGCCAGTTGGTCGCAATTGGCTATCATAGGTCGGACAACCAGCCCAATTGAGAAGAATTGAGGCTGATATTCCGTATCACCGCATCTATTGACAGCACGCTGGTAACACCTGTACCTATCCTGTTGAATCCTATACTGCTCTTTTAACCCGACGCTGCTCCAAGTCTCCCTTACATTACATGTAGTCAGCCGGATCTGTATCATTGTCTCGGATCTATCGCTCAGCCTCAGAATCAGTGGATCCTCTAGGTTATTATTTTGCATAACCCAAAGGGCGTTCAACCAGACCGCTTGTTTGTCTACTAGGTAGAAGACACCTTGCCGGAACATTGTACGGAATTGCCTTGAATTTCCCGAATTTCACCAGTGTTGAGACTGCGTCTCTCAGAAACAAACAACGCATTACTCATCTCAAGAATAGGTCACCTATCTTTACAAACTAGAATATTCATTGCGGGTCAAAAAAAAAAATCGTACTAGTTGCTCGCCATCACGATCGATACAACGAGTGATCCTCCCTCGTTTTTTGAGTGTATACATAACTAATCCAAACGTCACTGATCTTTTTTCCTCTTTTCCTTTTGGAGCAAGCGACTGTTTACTGTCTCGGAATTTTAACGCACAGCTTGTAATGGTTGCTGTTCTACTGTTTCGGAATGCCAACACCAAAACTGCTGGTTGAAAGTGAAGCTCATCACTATGAACGTATATCTGTGTAGATGGTGGCGATGAATTCGGCGTTTCGGTTTGGCTTGACAATGTTATATCAAAGGTTCACGCACTCAAAATGAAAGTAGGGAGTAGAAGGCACACATACAGAGAGAAAGGACGAGAGAGATGGCAGTTGAGGTGTGAATGGACATAAGCTATAGTCTACGATGATGCAATACGTGACTGGTATGTTGTGCAACCGTAAAATAGTGAGATTTGTTTCATCACCTACATAGGAGCAACTAATAGGATATTACTGTCTTGTTATTCTCTTATTAATACGCTGTTTCACGAACTCATGATCTCATTTCTGTCTTGGGTTCTCTGCTGTTTCACACACCAATGATATCACCGCTGTCTTGGAATATCTGAGGATCTGAGACATCTGGTATATACATTTAAACCGCTGTCGTAGTCCAGCTTTCAATCACTTTAATGTGATCTATCGACCACATCTTTCTCATATTACACTTGAACTTACTATTTCTCTTCACATCTGATTTCTACCACCGAAGGAGATACAACAATGACTATCAATGAAAGTGATAAGCTTGGTGGTCACAATGGTTTCCATGGCGCCGCCTTCGCCCGGCCCGATGGGGGCTTTCCTTCTCGCCCAGGGAATGCAGCCAACGAATGGTCGGAGAAAGAACCATTAACGCTGCATGAAGAGCAACGCCAGCTCAAACACTGGACGGACCAATTGCTTCTGAGTCGTCCTGCGAAATTCATTTGCGACATGCCACGCCCTGAGACTTTGTCTGGCCATGTTGATCAAGAAACCCTGCGGATCGAAGGCTCATTGTATAACAAAATGCAACAATACTGCGAGTCCCACCAAGTTTCTCCTTTAACAGTACTGCTGGCGGCTTTTAGGGCTGCTCACTATCGCTTGACGGGGATGGAAGACGCTACAATTGGCGTTCCCAAGGAGGGTCATCGAACTGAGGACTCGAGAAATGTGGCAGATGTTCTCCACAAGTTTCAATGTTTTCGTCTCATCATTGATGATGAAACATTTCAGGATCTGGTAGATCAAATTGGAACAACGGCGGCTAATATGAGAGCCAATCGAGATGTCTCTATTGAGAAGGTTGCCGCCCGCTTAGATGAAGAAAGAGATTTTCGCCGTCAGCCACTTCTACAGGTCGCCTTTTCATTCTATACTCAGGATGCTCCGCCACCGAAAACTTCTATGAGTTGTGATACGGACCTTAGCTTCCAAATATTTGATAGCCATAACAGCCTAGAATGTTATGCTGTATTTTCTGCGGATCTCTATGAAAAGGGGACAGTGAACAACATTCTTTCTATCTTCCAGAAGACACTTGAGGGTTGCCTGTATGCGCCAACAACACCTATCAAAGAAATAACTCTACTGGGGACTAAGGACTTTGAAACACTCGACCAAATGGGTTTCCTTCGAGCCGAGAGAACTGATTACCCCCGCGAACTTAGCGTGGTAGATGTCTTCCGGCAGCAGGTCTCGGGTAACCCTACTGGAGTGGCGATTAGAGATCGCTCTGGCTCAGTCACATATTTTGAGTTGGATGAAAGGTCAAACAAAATTGCCTCTTGGCTTTTGAAACAATGCTTAGCTCCGGAAACCCTCATTGGTGTTCTGTCATCAAGATGCTCTGAGACTATTATCGCTTTTATGGGAATCTTAAAGGCAAACCTGGCATATTTACCGCTGGATACGAAGACTCCAGATTATCGCATGAAATCCATTATTTCTTGTATGACAGGAAGAAAAATAATCTTCTTGGGCCCTGAAACGGAAGCTGCCAATGACCTGGGTGAGAACGAATATGTACGCATATCCCAAGTTCTTCATGATACCGATGAGAACAAAGACATCTCATGCGAACCAACTGGTTATATTTCACCCTCTGCTACAAGCCTTGCCCATGTCTTGTTTACTTCTGGCTCGACCGGCCAGCCAAAAGGCGTCATGATCAATCACCGCGGCATTGTACGGCTTGCCAAAAGTAACATCATGACGCACGTTCCATCGCACAGCATTACAGCACATATATCGAATGTAGCTTTTGATGCTGCTACTTGGGAGATTTATAGTGCCATTCTAAATGGTGGTACACTGGTCTGCATTGACGAAACGACAGTACTGGACTATGCTTCCATGAGTGAGACATGTCTTCGTGAGAATATTCAAACTGCTCTATTTACAACGGCACTTTTCAAGACGTACGCTCAAAATGCCCCGGAAGTCGTGACCCGTCTCAGCGTGGTTTTTATTGGTGGCGAACGGCTTGATACCAACGACCTTCCCACAGCATTGAAAGCAATGCCCGGAAAGATTGTAAATTTGTATGGACCAACGGAAAACACAACGGTCAGTACAATGTACTGCTTGCAGGAAACGAAACATTGCAGTAACGGTGTGCCTATCGGACGTGCAATCAGCAACTCTGGTGCAGTTGTCATGGATTCGAAGCAGTGTCCAGTTCCCTTGGGCGTCATAGGCGAGTTAGTCGTATTTGGCGATGGTCTTGCCAGAGGATATCTTGACCCTAAATTAGACGATGGACACTTTATGCAGATTCGAATTGGCAACGAGTCGGTCCGAGGCTATCGAACAGGCGACCATGTTCGCCAGCGTTTAGATGGGCAACTGGAATTCTTAGGGCGTATAGATGGACAAGTCAAGATCAGAGGGCAGCGTGTTGAGCTCAGGGAAGTCGAATGCGCCTTACGAGGCCACAAGCTCGTCCATGACGCGGTTGCTGTTCTTCTTCATGGCGCTACGAATGGGGACTCAGATAATGCTCACATTGCCGGATTTGTCACGATTGGCGCAGACCTTGAAGATGAAGCTCAGGATGGTGATGAACACCAGCTTGTTTCCACGTGGAAAGACCGATACGATGGCGACTCGTATACAGGATTCGATAACATTCAGATGGATGCTTACGGAAGAGATTTCACTGGCTGGACATCGATGTTTGACGGAAAGGACATCGACAAGGCCGAGATGAATGAGTGGCTTGATGATACAATAGCTACAATAGCCACAGTTCTCAACGGCGAGCCTCCAGGTCATGTGCTTGAAGTCGGTTCTGGATCTGGCATGATTCTTTTCAACATTCGTGATGGTCTGCAGAGCTATGTAGGACTTGATCCCTCCGAACGAGCCATCAATCTCATTGGAAAGATATCAAAATCATTTCCCGAGCTAAATAACAAGGTGACTATGTACAAGGCCGCTGCTGCAGATGTTCGCCGATTGGATATGGCTGCTACACCTCCTAACCTGGTTATTTTGAACTCAGTGGCTCAGCACTTCCCCAGTCAGGAATATCTATACCGATTTGTCGAGGATTTGCTTCAAATCGGTACGGACATGACCCTTTTCTTTGGCGACATTCGGTCTTATGCTCTCCATAAAGACTTTCTCGCTGCTCGCGTGCTAAGAACGGTTGGAGAAGAAGTCAAGTTGGATACAATCCGCCACATGGTGGCAGATATGGAGAAGGCCGAGTTGGAGCTTCTCGTTGACCCAGCTTTTTTCACCGGCCTGGCGCTGCGCCTACCAGATCGGATTGGGCATGTCGAGATCATACCAAAGAAGATGAGCGCCACGAACGAATTAAGCTGTTACAGGTATACCGCAGTTGTGCATGTGAAGGCTGGCAGCCACCAAGCTTCTGCAGCTGCATACAGGCAACATGTTCGACATATCCCTCAAAGCGACTGGATAGATTTCATGGAACAACGTCTAGATCGAGAATCGCTCTTACACTTGCTTCAAGCATCATTTGACTCTTCTGCCTCTACCCTAGCCATTGGCAACATCCCTCATACAAAGACCATACTTGAGAGGCATATGGTTGAGTCAATCAAGACTGATAAAAGCAATGATTTTGACGGGAATTGGATCACTTACATACGGCAAAGATCCGAGAGCTGCTCTCATCTTTCAGTCACTGATCTGCACGCTCTTGCGGAGGAAGTCGGATATTCCGTCGAGATTAGCTGGGCCAGGCAGTACTCCCAACGAGGCGGGCTCGATGCAGTCTTCTACAAATATGCGCCAGATAAGAGAGGGAAAAGAATTTTATTTAACTTTCCTACCGATCATCAGAGTCGTCCATACCAATCGCTCAGCAGTCACCCTCTGAAACATCAAATTCAACGAAAAACACAAGAGCAGCTCTACCAGCTGGTGAAGACACAGCTGCCTCAATACATGATACCTCAGACCATCACAGTTTTAGATCAAATACCCGTCAATGAAAACGGAAAAGTTGACCGCCGAGCTTTAGTAAACATTGTTCAGTCTCAGATAACGGAGCGTGCGTCGATACAACAACCTACATCCGAAGTCGGACGACAGATGCAGGTTATCTGGGCAAAGGTCCTTCATATGGAGCCACAAGCAATCGGCATCAATGACAACTTTTTCAATCTTGGAGGAAACTCGATTGCTGCAATGAAGGTTGCCGCGGCGGCTCGAGATATTGGTTGGAAGCTCTCAGTAGCTGATATCTTCTACAGCCCAACCCTATCTGATTTGTCAATGACGGCTTCCAAGTCTACCTCAATCATGACAAAGATCCCAGTAACTCCCAAAATAGGCTCTGTCGCGCAATCTCATGCGCAGGAACGCCTTTGGTTTCTGGAGCAGCTCTATCCTGGCTTGGAATGGCACTTGATTCCATGTGCAGTCCATTTTAGGGGGCCGCTTCAACTAGATGCTCTCTCTTCTGCGCTTCTTGCCCTTGAAAAGCGACACGAAACCTTGCGGACAACATTCGATACCATTGAGGGCGAGAATGTACAGAAAGTACATCTATTCCAGCCAAATAAACTCAGAGTTCATAATATTCAGGCCGATCGGCCGAACAGCCTCGTAGAAGCGCTGCATAAAGAGCAAACGACTCCGTTTGATCTGCGCAAAGATCCGGGTTGGCGGGTATCCGTGTTTAAATTGAGCAACGAACACCATGTATTATCTATTGTCATTCACCATATTATATGTGATGGGTGGTCTCTTGATGTTTTACGCAAAGAGTTGGCCACTCTATATAAGGCCGCCCTACACGAGAAGGACCCTCTCTCAGCTATTGAGCCACTAGCCGTGCAATATAGCGACTATGCTCTTTGGCAGAAACAACAAGACCAAATTGATGAGCATAACCGTCAGCTCGAGTATTGGACAACACAGCTTGAATCTGGTCGACCCGCAGAACTGCTCTGCGATAAGGTCAGGCCAGCTACGATATCGGGCAGGGCAGACCTCCAAGAATTCAAGATTGAAGGAGCAATCTATGAGAATCTCCAGAAATTCTGCAGAGATTACCAAGTAACGCCATTCATGGTCCTTTTCGCGGTTTTCCGAGCCGCTCATTACCGGCTCACGGGCGCTGAAGATGCTACAATCGGAACGGCCAACGCAGGTCGTGACCATGGGGAGCTCAATGCTTTGATTGGTCTCTTTGTGAACATGCAATGCATAAGGACTAAGGTCGAAAACACCACAACATTCGAGAATCTAGTTAGAGAGGTTCAGGCCATGACTATTGCGTCCTTTGCTCACCAGGATGTCCCATTCGAGAAAATTGTGTCGGCGTTAAGGAAAGAAAGAGACTTATCCCGCAGCCCACTCGTTCAGATTGTGTTTGCATTACATTCGCAGCTAAGGCTTGCGGAGTTTGCGTTAGAAGGCGTGGAAGCTGAACCGATCACACCGCCGATGACTTCAAGATTTGATCTCGAGTTTCACCTCTACCAAGAAAAAGACGCCTTGAAAGGACAAATAAGATTTGCAACTGATCTCTTCAACTTTAATACAATTGACAATCTGAAGTCGATCTTCCTTCGAATTCTAGAACAGGGACTCACCAGCCCAAATGTATCAATCGAATCGCTATCCTTAATGACGAAGGAAGAATACGCGAAGCTCGACTCTATGAGACTCTTGGAGATAGAATCAACCAATTACCCTCGTAATTGCAGTCTCGTCGAAGTCTTTCAGCAGCAAGCCGCTGCCAATCCGGATGAAGTGGCAGTGAGAGATGGCCCTATCAGTCTTACGTATTCCCAGCTGGATGAGAAGTCAAATCACCTGGCCCAATGGTTGCGCAGGCACTCATTTGCTCCGGAAACACTTGTTGGTGTTCTTGCTTCTAGATCTCATCTCACCATTATCACCTACCTGGGTGTACTCAAGGCCTGCTTAGCTTATCTTCCCCTGGACCCAACAAGCCCTCTCAGTCGAACCAAAGTCATTCTTTCGTCAGTCAAGGACTGTAGGCTAATTTTGGTTGGACCTGATGCTGAGGATTATGCGACGCAGCTGGACAATATTAATTCTGAGAGCATCACAAGCATCCTCGAGTGTCCCATCTACGCCAATGGGGACGTTCAAAAGCCACTCACCAACCTCTTTCCTGCATCAGATAATCTTGCATATATCATGTTTACCTCAGGTTCAACGGGTCAGCCCAAGGGTGTCATGATCCAACATGGCGGCATTCTTCGACTAATCGAAAACAAGAAGATGGTCCAAGATCTACCAGATGCCGTAAACACAGCCCATATAGGAAGTGTGACTTTCGATGCATCGACGTGGGAGATTTATCCCACGCTACTGAACGGTGGTACTCTAATATGCTTCAGTTCTATGGAATTGCTGGATTATAAAACACTACCAAAAGCATTTGCCGATGAGAACATACAGTCGATGTTCATTACGCCCGCTCTATTGAGACAGTATCTTGTTCACTGCCCCGATCTGTTTCGTGGAATACATACACTTCATATTGGCGGAGACCGACTTGACACGCAAGACGCATTTACTACGATGAGACTAATCACTGGCAAAGTCTTCAACTGCTATGGACCAACTGAAAACACCTGTATAAGTACATATTTCCACATTTCTAGTCCTACTCCAGAGAATTGCGTTAATGGGGTACCTATTGGCCGTGCATTCCCGAATTCTGGAGCTTTTGTAATGGACTCACACCAGCAACTTGTTCCTCTCGGTGTAGTTGGAGAACTTGTTGTCACTGGCGACGGTCTTGCGAGAGGATATATTAATCCAAATCACGATCTAGACCGTTTCATCTCAATCAAAATTGCGGGAAAAGAGATGAGAGCTTATAGGACCGGAGATTACGTACGATACCGGCGAGAGGACGCGCAACTGGAGTTCTTGGGCCGAATGGACAATCAGATCAAGATTCGGGGTCAGCGTCTTGAGCTTGGCGAAATTGAGCATGCCATGCTCAGCTATAAGGCTGTCAATGAAGCCGCTGCAGTGATTCGAAAGGTTCAAGATGATGAAGCGAGTCAAGAAGCAACAATTCATGGCTTTATTACTCTTACAGAAGACGATAGTGCTGCCCAAGACCAGGTTCTTGAAATGCTTCGTCAACAGTTGCCCTCTTATATGGTGCCACGGACAATCACTATTCTTGACAAAATGCCCATCAATAGCAGCGGCAAAATGGATCGACAAGCGCTTGCTAAGCAACGTGTCGATGGCAGATCGAAGAGACCAATGCAACAGCAGCCATCAACCGAGGCACAGCGACAACTTCAGTCAATATGGGCCAAAGTTCTGGCTATTGAGCCGTCAACCGTGGGATTGGATGACAACTTCTTCCTTTTAGGCGGAAGCTCAATTGCCGCGATGATAGTGGCCGCTGAGATTCGAAAAGCTGGCTACCATGTTACCGTCGCTGATATTTTCAACCATCCAGTCCTCCGTGATCTATCCAGTCAAGTTCAACCGATAGCGAGTCGTGTCACGGAAATATTTGCACCCTTCTCTCTCTTAGGTAGCGCATTTAACAAGATGGAATTCTTACAAGAGCTTTCGAGTCAATATAACATAGACCCCACGCTTGTTCGCGATGCATACCCTTCTACATATTTGCAAGAAGGTCTCTTGTCCCTCACCTCCAAGCAAGATACCGGCTATGTTATGCGGGCAGTTTTCAAACTATCGTCGTCAATCAAGGTGGAGAAATTACGAGACGCATGGCAAACTGTATTTCATGCCTTGCCCATCTTACGCACCAGGCTTATCCAGCATAGCACACATGGTACTGTACAAGTCGTCGTGGATGAAAAGATCCAATGGGCCACCGCATTTAACCTGGATAAATATCTAGAGGCAGATGCTAAACATCAAATGGGACCTGGAAAGCCGCTTACAAGATATGCCGTTGTTCAAGATACTTCAGGACTGGATAAGTGGCTTGTCTGGACGGTTCATCATGCTCTTTATGACGGATGGTCACTGCCACTTATCCTAGATTCAGTAAGGAAAGTCTACCAAGGCAGCAAACTGAATTCAGGACCACAATACCAGGCATTCATTAACTATATCACGCATCAAGACCATGCTCAGACCACCAGATACTGGAAGGAGATGTTGGATGGCAGTGGATGCGTCTCCTTCCCCACACTGCCTCCTTTTATAGACCAACCTGCAGCTGATAAATCTGTTGAGTACTCCATTTTACAACCACGGCAAAGACTCTCTGGTGTAACGACATCTAATATAGTCCGCGCCGCATGGGCTCTTGTGGTAGGAAGAACAACTGCTGTCGAAGAAGTTGTCTTTGGCGCGACAGTATCTGGGAGGAATGCACCAGTGGACGACATTGGCATGATGATTGCACCAACTTTTGCAACGGTCCCAATACGGATCAAGTTGACTCGCGCTCACAGCGTGGGCAAATACTTGACAATGGTGCAGGAACAGGCAACAGAGATGATTCCGTATGAGCAGACGGGCTTACAGAGAATTGCTGCCGTGTCTCCGGAGGCAAAGCATGCTTGTAGGTTCCAGACGCTCCTCGTCATTCAGTCACAGCACGCCAGTGAAACAGATGTGCAAGGCGGAATTGAGTTGGACAAAGACTACACACAAGGACGGCCAGCCGATACCTACGGATTGGTTCTCGAACTAAACATTATGGGGGACTCCATTCAAGTCTCAGCATCATTCGATTCCAGGATGATTGAATCCTGGATGGTAAAGAGCTTACTGGAACGGCTAGATAATGTCATGAATCAGCTGGACCAGGCAAGCCCAGAGCAACCATTATCTCAAGTTGCAATGATATCATCTCAAGACATTAAGCAAATTTGGGATTGGAATCGGGCTGTCCCTTTGGCGATACACCGATGCGCACATGAGCTCATTGAGGAGCGATCAAAAGCCTATCCTGCCTCGACTGCGGTTTGCGCTTGGGACGGAGAACTCACTTATGGGGAGCTCATGCGCCTTGCTGATAGTCTTGCACAGTACTTAACGTCACTGCAGCTAAATGATGTAACAATCATTCCGATTTGCTTTGAGAAATCTCTGTGGACGATAGTTGCGATATTTGGGGTTTTGAAGTCTGGTGCGGGCTTCGTCCTCCTTGACCCATCGCTCCCGGAACAGCGACGACAAGCAATCATTCAACAAGTTGAACCAAAATTTGTCTTGTGTTCAGCCTCGCAGGAAGCATCATGTGTAGGCCTGGCGCCTAAAGTCATCGCCATCACTCCACAATTCTTTGCAATGCACTCGCAGGTCCAGACGCAGGTCCATTCGCAACTCCGCCGCTGCAATCCGACTTCACCGATGTACATGGTATTCACATCAGGAAGTACTGGAACACCGAAAGGCGTTGTTGTTACCAATGAAAATTATGCAACGGCGCTCGAACATCAAAAATTGGACTATGGGCTCACCAAGGCCTCGAGGTTTTCTAGCATTGCATCCTATAGTTTTGATGCGTCGATTGAGGGCATTTTCCGCCCCTTATACGTTGGTGGGTGCTCATGCGTATTAAGTGAGCATGACATTAGAACCAATCTCGTCCGAAGCATGAACGTTCTAAAGATAAATTCTTTGATAACGATACCTTCGGTTCTTCGTTTGCTATCCCCGGATCAAGTACCTGGTCTGCGGATCATACTGATAGGAGGAGAAGCTGCCTGTCGCCAGGATGTCGAAGAATGGTGGGGCAAGGCAAAGATTATCAATCTATACGGACCCAGCGAATGCTCTCCTGTGACTACTATTAATAATTCGGCCACGAGCCCTGAAGCTGTTTGCAGTATCGGAAGAGGAGTTGGATTGGTGACCTGGGTCGTGGATCGAGATAACCACAACGTTCTAGTGGCTCCTGGGTGTGTAGGCGAGCTTGCTATCGAAGGCCCTTCAGTTGGCCCGGGATATCTCAACGATCCAGAGAAAACTACGGCAGCATTCATCGAAGACCCTCTGTGGCTCTTGAATGGTGCGCCGGGGCAGGCGGGAAGACATGGTCGAGTTTACAAGACAGGCGATTTGGTTCGCTACAACGCGGACGGCAGCCTGAGATACATCGGCCGAAAAGACTTTCAGAGAAAGATCCGTGGCCAGCGTATAGAGCTTGGTGAAGTGGAGCATCAGTTGGAAAGTCTATTGAATCACCCAGGCCAGATAATAGCCGATATCATCGAGCCACAAGGCGACACTTCGAGCTCAATGCTCGCAGTGTTTGTCCAAAAGACAGATACTCAGAATTTGATTCAGGAGAGCTCCAAGGACGAAGATGTGTCTGTATCAGCGATGCCATCTCATGTAACCCGCAGGCTATCTGAGAGATTGCCTCATTACATGGTGCCCACAATACTCTTCACTCTGAATAACATGCCCAAGAATGCATCAGGAAAAACTGATCGTCAAAAACTACGCCAAATAGGTGCCTCCTTTACAAACAAACAGCTAGCTGAAATGCAAACAGCCAGGGGCGAGCCAAAGCAGTCTCCGAGATCGCAAAAGGAGCGACAGATTCAAGAAATCTGGGCAAGGACACTGGGAATTGATGCAGAATCAATTGGGCTTGATGACAGTTTCGTTCATCTAGGAGGCAATTCCATCACCGCCATGAAAGTTTCTGGAGAGGCTCGCAAATATGGAATCGAACTTCGCATTACCGACATATTTGGCCATCAAACGTTGCGCGGCGTAGCAGAACAGGCTTCTGTATTAAAAGGCTGCGAGGATACGATTCCGCGTTTGCAGCAGTCTGGGCAGGTAGAACAATCGTTCGCTCAAGAACGCTTATGGTTCCTGGACCAACTTCACTCCAATCTGCAGTGGTATATGATGCCGTTGACGTTTCGTTTACGAGGACCACTCCAGTATAATGCTTTGGAAGCTGCTCTTCAGGCAATTGAGCGACGCCATGACACTCTGCGAACCACGTTCGAGTCAAACGATGGCATCAACATGCAGCAGGTGCACGCTTTCCAGCCCCGTAAGCTGAAAGTGACGGAGATACCCTCTTCGAATCAAGAGCATCTTGACAAGATGCTGGAGCTGGAACTTACAAGACCATTCGACCTTGGGATTGAGCCTGGCTGGAGGGTGACACTTTTCAAGTGCTCAGATGACGATCACGTCTTGTCAATTGTCATGCACCATATAATATCTGATGGCTGGTCAGTTGATGTTTTACAAAGAGACTTGGCAGTCTTCTATTCTGCAGCTCTTCGAGATGACCAAGATCCGACCTCTTCCGTTGATCCACTACCCATTCAATACACCGACTATTCAATTTGGCAGAAGCAACAAGACCAGGCTGAGAGTCATCAACATCAATTAAACTTTTGGGTTGAACACTTACAGTCAAGTATTCCCGCAGAGCTGCTTTGTGATAAGCCAAGGCCACAATCTCCTTCGGGCGCAGCAGATGTTCACAACATTAGAATCGACGGATCTCTGTATCGTGATTTACAGACTTTTTCCAAACTCCATGGCGTGACTCCGTTTGCCGTATTGTTGGCGGCATTCAGGATTAGCCAGTATCGCCTAACAGGTGCTACAGATGCTACTATTGGGATTCCCAACGCCAATCGAAACCGTTGGGAAGTAAAAGATCTCATCGGATTCTTTGTCAATATGCAATGTATTCGGACTGTTATAACCGGACAATCTTTTGAAACGCTTGTTGGCCAAGTCCGCGATGAGATGTTGTTATCTTTTGCGAATCAAGACGTGCCATTTGAAAAGGTCGTGGCAAGTCTAGAAAAAGATAGAGATTTATCCCGCCACCCCCTGCTGCAGATTGTCTTTGCCCTTCATTCACAGCGAGACCTCGGAAAACTCAAACTTGAATCTATCGATGCAGAGCTTATTGCTCCTGCAACTACCACTCGATTCGATCTCGAGTTCCATTTCTTTCAGGAAGACGAGGCTTTGCAGGGCCAGGTGATTTTCTCAACAGATCTGTACTACAGCGACACAATTAGCAATATGACAGCCATCTTCCGCACCGTTCTAGAACTTGGTATTGCTTCTCCTACCATGGCAGTCGACTCTCTGCCGCTGCTTAGAGACGACGGTTTACTCAAGATGAGACAATTAGGAATATCTCATATCATACAGACAGACTACCCGCGAGACTCCAGCATTGTTGATGTCTTCAGTCAGCAAGTAGTTAAGCAAGCCAACAAAGTGGCAGTAAAAGATTCGACTAGCCAATTGTCATATAGCGAATTGGATGAGAAATCTACGATGCTAGCAAGTTGGTTGGCACGTCGAGCGCTGTCTCCAGAGACATTGGTCGGAGTGCTCGCGAATCGATCATGCCTTACAATTGTCGCATTTTTAGGAATAATTAAAGCCAACCTCGCCTATCTGCCTCTGGATACAAGAACTCCGGCCGGCCGTATGGAGACAATCTTGTCCTCTATACCAGGTCGCAGGCTTGTCTTGCTCGGACCTGGGGTGGAACGCCCAACCTTATCCCTCCCCAGCACCGATTTCGAATTCGCTTCAGTTGAACAAATTATATACGAAATGACTCAAAAAGCGGTGCAACCCCTCGCATTAGCAAGGCAACCTTCTGCAACAAGCCTGGCATATGTCATGTTCACTTCTGGATCAACCGGTCTGCCGAAGGGAGTGATGATTGAGCATCGAAGCATCCTTCGAACTGCAGAAATAGTCACTGGAATGCAACACCTTTTGCCTGATTTAGTCATTGCGCACGCTTCAAACATCGCATTCGATGCCTCGACCTGGGAGATATATACTGCTTTGCTAAATGGCGGGACAGTGATCTGCCTTAGCCACACGACCTTGTTAGATTACCGGATGCTGAGAACAGTCATTGAAGAGGAACATATTCAAGCCTTGTGTATTACACCTGCTTTACTTAAACAACATCTTCTTCACCGCCCGCTTCCTATCAGTGGAGTAGAGGTACTATATGTCGTAGGAGATCGTCTTGATCCCCGCGATATTGCAACTGTGAAGAGCCTTAAACACACGAAAATTGTAAATGGCTACGGGCCAACCGAAAACACCACTTTCAGCACGCTATACGAGATCACAGATGATGAGCTTATGACCAACGGGGTCCCTATTGGTCGCCCATTGAGAAATTCTGGCGCTTACGTGGTTGATTCGCAGCTACAACTGGTGCCTCTCGGGGTTATTGGCGAGCTCTTAGTGACAGGTGATGGTCTCGCTAGAGGCTATTTGGATACACAACAAAATTCAGGCCGATTTGTCTCATTCAAAGTCAATGGGGAAACAACCAGGGCCTATCTCACAGGTGACTATGCGCGATATCGCAGTGACGGACAGCTAGAATATATTGGCAGGAAGGATGGTCAGATCAAAATTAGAGGCCAGCGTGTGGAATTAGGAGAAATTGAACACGCTATGAGAATTCACAGATCTGTTGACGACGCAGTTGCGGTCTTGACACAACTAGACGGTGGCGATACAAGTGAACCACAAATCGCGGGATATGTTACCCTCCGCGACGAGGATGACAGTGGATCAGTTGATGATACGCAGGAACATGAGCAAGTTAGGGAGTGGGAAGAGCGTTTTGACGTCGAAACGTATGAACCCCTAACTGATCTACACCCTGAACAACTCGGAAGAGACTTTGTTGGATGGACATCCATGTACGATGGCGAGAATATTGACAAGACTGAAATGAATGAGTGGTTAAATGACACGATGGATGCGATACTTGGGAGCAATCCCGCCGAGCATGTCTTGGAAATAGGTTCTGGTTCCGGAATGATTCTGTTCAATCTCACAGAAACGTTGAAGTCATACGTCGGCCTTGATCCATCGGAGCGCGCTGTCAACATGATATCCAGCCACCTCAAAAGCTTTCCAGCTCTGAAAGAGAAGACAAAGATATACAAGGCAACTGCCGCAGATTTGAATCGGCTGGAAGCATTCGCCACAACAGAATTCGCCGTCTTCAATTCCGTTGTGCAGTATTTCCCTAGCCAGGATTACTTATTTAAAGTCATTCAGAGTCTTGTTAGTCTCGACGGCATCAAGACAATCTTCCTCGGCGATATCCGCTCTTACGCACTTCACAAAGACTTTTTGGCTTCGAGAGCGTTACACTTGTTAGGTGGTCGTGCGACACCTGCAGAAGTGTCACGAATTATTTCCGACATGGAGCGAGCAGAGTCGGAGCTGCTTGTTGATCCTTCATTCTTCACTGCCTTGCCAAGCAGATTACAGGGCATAAAACATGTAGAGATTTTACCGAAGAGAATGCATGCAACTAATGAACTCAGTTGCTATCGCTATGCTGCTATTCTTCATCTGACTCTGGAAAGCGAGCGGGAAGTTGTTGAAATTGAAGGTGACAGATGGATAGATTTCGAAACGCAGGGCTTGAACGCTGAGGCATTGAAGAAACTGCTACAGAGCCCTTCGTCTCCATCCATTCTACCAGTAGCCAATATTCCCAACGGAAAGACAATTCTTGAGCGGCATATCGTCGCATCAATATCCGATCAGACCCGGAATGAGACAAGCTCGTGGCTCCCTTCAGTTTATAAAATGGCCGCAGCCCATTCCTCACTATCTGCGATCGAGTTGGCCTCCATTGCTCAAGACTCGGGATATCAAGTCGAACTCAGCTGGGCTCGTCAACATTCTCAACGCGGCGGACTCGATGCTGTGTTCTACCGTGATGAATCCAGAGAAAGCAAAACCAAAAGCCAAACGCGAAGACTCTTCCAATTCCCAACTGATCATCTTGACCGACCCTACCATTCCTTTACCAGCCGTCCCTTAAAACATTACCTTCGGCAAAAGATCCAAGACGAAATCAAAGACCTCGTACAGTCACAATTGCCACATTATATGGTACCTCACGTCATAACGGTGATAGACCAAATGCCCATAAATGAGAATGGCAAAGTAGACCGTCGATCCCTTGTCAAGAGCATGTCAACGCAAAGGGCACGAGCGATAGCACAGCCGACTTCAGACAACGAAAGGGAAATGCAACGAATATGGGCTGAAGTTTTAAATATAGCCCCCGAGAGCATTGGAACTAATGACAGCTTCTTCTTCCTTGGAGGAAGCTCAATAGCCGCCATGAAAGTCGTCGCCGCGGCCGGCAAAGCTGGATATGAGCTCTCCGTTGCAGACATCTTCCGTACCCCGAAGCTAGGAGAACTCGTCTCCTGCAGCTTTCAGCGAATCACAAAGGCCACTAAACTAGTCAAACCGTTTGAGTTGTTCAAGGATCTTGATATAATTTCCTTTAAAAGAGACGTATCTAAACAATATCAGCTACAGCCTGCCAAGATCGTTGATGCATACCCCTGCACCCCCTTACAGGAGGGTCTATTAGCCCTGACCTCAAAGAGACAAGGCGACTACGTGATGCAAGCAGTCTTTAGCATCCAGCCGGGGGTAGTAGTTGGGAAACTGCGTCAGGCATGGGAAACCGTCTACAAAGCGTTACCACTTTTGCGCACTCGAATTGTTGAGCACGTTGATCTCGGCATCGTACAGGTAGTAATCGATGAGTCGCTTCCCTGGGTTGAGGCAACATCCCTAGAGGATTATCTCGAGACTCTACGGGAGCTACCAATGGGCGTCGGCCAGCCACTATCCGCCTTTGCCGTGGTCAGTGATACTACAGGGACACCTAAATGGCTAGTATGCACTATGCACCACGCTTTATATGATGGGTGGTCTCTCTCTCTCATCATGGATGCTGTGGGCAAAGCTTACCGAGACAAGCAAATAGAACTAGGAAGCCAATTCCAAGCTTTCATAAAGTTCATCAAGGAGCAAGACGAGACCCAGACGATAAATTACTGGGAGACGTCTCTGAAAGGCTACGATACTCTACCATTTCCAGCTCTGCCATCATCGGTTACAGAGGCCAGGACGGACACATTCGTAGAACACACCATCCCTCTTCCGCAAACCCGATCAGACATCACCACGTCGAATCTGATCCGTGCCGCATGGGCTTTAGTGATTAGTCGGATGACCAACACAAAGGATGTGGTTTTCGGAGCCATTGTGTCTGGCAGAAATGCGCCTGTATCTGGCATAGACACACTGGCTGCTCCAACATTTGCAGCCGTGCCTGTCCGTATCAAGTTGTCCACAACTCAACATGTTTCGGCATATTTAAAGACTGTGCAGCAGCAAGCTACGGACATGATTCCATTTGAACAGTTTGGATTGTCTCGCATCTCTCATACATCTCTAGGTGCCAATGCAGCATGCAAGTTCCAAACGATACTCGTAATTCAACCCGAGGAAATGAGTGAAATCCCGGACATTTTAGGAAAGCTTCAGGACGATGATCACGATGCGCAGCGGCCAGACCACTACGGCATCTCACTTCAAGTGCAGCTTGGCCAGGAAAGAATCCCAGTTTCAGTAGGATACGATTCTCGAGTCGTTGAACCGTGGATGATTGACAGGCTGCTTGTTCAGCTTCAAAGTGCTATGCATCAATTAGACTGCGCGAGGCCCTCCCAGACACTATCAGAAGTTGATCTGGCCACACCTGAAGACCTTGAGCAGATCTGGAAATGGAATGCAACAGTTCCATCACCAGTAGAGCGATGTATTCATGATATTATCGAGGACAGGGCCATCCAATCGCCAACTGCAGAAGCCATTTGTGCCTGGGATGGCACCTTGACTTACGAAGAGCTATCCTGTCTCTCTACAAAATTAGCAGTACATCTATTAAGCCTCGACGTCGGGCCGAACATGACGATACCGCTCTTCTTTGAGAAATCCATGTGGACTACTGTCGCAATGCTCGGCGTGTTAAAGACTGGTGCAGCATTTGCTCTTTTTGATCATTCCATCCCAGATGGACGCCTTCGAGCAATGCTCAGTAAAATCACCACAAAGTTGATGCTGTCATCGAAAGCATTGGAGGGCTTAGGATCCAAATTATCCAGCAGAGTACTGGCAATTGACTCAGCGTTCATCGCCAACCTCCCCAAACGATCCCAAAATTTGCCATCCTGCCCACCCCTTTCATCTCCCATGTATACGGCTTTCACCTCGGGCAGCACCGGAACTCCAAAGGGCGTGGTAATATCCCACGGAGCATTTTCATCGGCTGTTCACTACCAGTCTGGTGCCACGGGCTATGACTCTTCTGTCAGAGCTTACGATTTTACCGGCTATTCGTTTGACGTCACAATTGGGACGGCATTCATGACTCTCGCATCTGGAGGGTGTTTGTGCGTGCCATCAGATGCAGACCGAAAGAATAATCTCACATCATCTGTGGTGGCGACCAAGGCCAACCACCTTAGTCTGACGCCCTCTGTGGCTCGCACGCTTCAGCGAGAGCGTCTCGTCGATCTCAAAGTCTTGGTTCTCGGCGGCGAGGTTGCCAGTCATGGTGATTTTCAAGGCTGGCCCAAAGGGGTCTCTATATTGAACCTATACGGCCCATGTGAATGCACACCCACGAGCACTATTCGGCGTTACCCCCAGGATAACACTAGCCCTTCAAACATTGGCTTCGGTATGGGAACAGTCACATGGATAACAGACCCGGATAATTCACAAAGACTGTCACCCATTGGGGCCATCGGTGAGCTTGTTCTCGAGGGCCCTCTGGTCGGCCTCGGTTATCTTGGAGAGCCGGAAAAGACTGAGTCGGTCTTCGTCAACGATCCTGCCTGGTTGCTCCATGGTACATCCGGAAATCTTGGACGGGAAGGTCGGCTGTATAAGACAGGTGACTTGGTTCGATATAGCTCGAACGGCAGCCTCGTATTCGTGGGGCGCAAAGATACACAAGTCAAGATTCGTGGTCAACGAGTTGAACTCGGCGAGATTGAAGAGCGTTTGAGGGACTCCGTTCCAAATCTGAAAGACGTCGCTGTCGAAGCAATTACGCGACATGATGGGGCTCCGAGTGATCGATTGGTAGCATTTATATCCTTCGATGAGCGATGTGAAGCAAGAGAAGATGGATATGGCAAAGGGGTCACAGAAAACTTCAAGACACCGCTCAATGCCCGTTTAATAGATTTGCCTCAGCAGGTGGAGGATTTGCTATCTGCGAGCCTACCTGGGTACATGATTCCAACGGCTTACTTTGCACTTGATCACATCCCAACCACGCATTCAGGCAAGACGGATCGTCGTCTCCTGCGCAAGATTGGATCTACCCTCACAGCAACGCCGACTGCCGAGTCATGCAGTGTCCCTTCAGATCTTAAGCGTGCTCCATCTACAAAGATGGAACGACTGTTACATACGACTTGGGCACAGTTTCTAGGCATTGAATCCCACACCATAGGAGTCGACGATAGCTTCTTTCGCCTTGGAGGAGACTCCATTTTGGCAATGAGAATTTCAGCAATAGCTCGCACTGAAGGAATTGACATCTCAGCCAGCGACATCTTTCAGGAAAAAACGATTGCGAAAATTGCAGCAGCCGCCCGTGTGCAAGAACTCAAACAAGGATCGTCATCATCATCACCGTTTTCGTCTCCGGAGGCCATTCTAAGCGTGTACAAACAACTTCCACCGCACATAGAGGTTCCCAGTGTCAATTCTATTGAAGATGTATTGCCATGTATCGCAATACAAGAGCGCATGCTTGAGGCGCGGGCAAGGAATCCACAAATCTATGTAACCGAACTTGGGTTGGAGATCAGCTCGCGAGACAACGACTCGGTCGAATTCCAACGGATTCAGCAAGCATGGCAAACTGTTGTACGACACCATAGTTTACTACGTGCCGTGTTTGTACGCAGATCTCCAGAGGAAGGTGGATCATACCAGATCGTTCTCAAGGATCCGATTCCAAGTATTTCCCTCTTGCGGCAAGAATTTAAACGCTCGGCACGAAACAAACAATTTACGGGGGCCTTGTTCTCTGATTCTAGTCTACAGCACCATTTATCTGTCTATCAGACGGATGAGACGCGCGCCTATCTCCATTTTAAGTTCAACCATGCCCTTGCAGATGGCCAATCTTTCGACATCCTTGTCCGAGATTTCCAGCTTGCATACGACAATCGTCTTGAATCTCATTGTCCACCATATTCGAGATTTCTCCAGTATGTTATGACACAGCCTCACGAACATGAACAGAGTCGTCACCACTGGGCGAATTATATGGATGGCATTGAGCCTTGCTTGCTGCCTGCCTCAACACAGCCTGCCATCGACGCGCGGGGCACCTTCAGTATTGATGTTACTGACCTAGACGCGAGGAAAATCACAAAATTCTGTGCAGAGCGAGAGGTCTCCCTAGCAAACATTCTGCAAGTTGCATGGGCCCTCGTACTAAAGCGCTGGACAGGATCGCGAGCTCCCTGCTTCGGTAACATTGTCTCGGCGCGAGATGTCCCAGTTGATGGAGTCGACGAGATGATGGGTCCTCTATTCTATCTAATGCCGAGCCACGTTCAGCTAAATGATGATTGCGCTGTTTTGGATATTTTGAGGAACACCCGTGAAGAGTTCGTGCAGAACGCGAAGCATCAAGCTTACTCTGTGGCCCAACTTTGGCGGGATCTGGGAGCCCGTGGCTCTGACAAGATGTTCAACACAGCCTTGTCTATTGCTAGACATACAAACGTGGCCCAAGAGACATGCGACGGACATACATTCGACGTTCGAGATGCTTTTGACCCAGTAGAGGTATTTGATACAACGCCCATATATGATAAGTGAATACAAGCTAACATGGATACAGTACGCCGTCTACATTAGAGGCGCACTCGGCGATGAGTGTGTGTACCTCTCATTGGAGTTCTGGGAAGAGCACACGTCCAGAGCAGATGGTAGAAAGATGGCAGCTGAATTGGGCAAGGCAACATCACTCATTGTATCGCACCCCCAGCGTGACATACTGAGTCTTGTTAACGATATTCAGTAAGAGCATGGAATTCACAGGCAGATACTTATATAGCATAAGATTAGATAGTGGCAAGTTAGTAATATGAATTAAAAAATCGCTCATGGCATCTAATTGACACAAAATGCAGCGCTCTAAACGCCATCAATCACTTTCTTGTTTAGAGTCCGAAGAGTCTACGCAGTCCATGTATCTTACCCGCATGTAACTCTTCTTGTAGCAATCTCCCCGGTTTATCACCACGACAATGGGTTCACAACATGCAGCTTTGAAGGTTCATGTCAAGCCATGTTAATTCATTACTGTACTGCTTCTATCCGGAATTATTGTCCATAGCTTCCGATTATGCCCCTCACGCTTGCCGCCCCTGATCGTCTCATCTACAAGGGCATTGAAACTCCCAGGCCATAGACCCGCCTCGAGCCGCTAAATACGCGTATTACTTATGTATTCCCCATAAAACACCCCGTAGTTCGATATCCTATACACGTATTTCGTATACAACTGAGGAGAAACTCGCAATCTCAAGTCCTCGCTGCCAGTCGTATTCGCATCTCCAACTTGTCGCTCCAAGTTGCAATCTGTATAAAATGCCTAATACGGTAATTTTCCCGCAAATGGCGGCCGCTTGAAGCGTCTCACCTAAAAGAGAGTACCCCAAGAACTCCACACAGTGACAATCCCTCTTAAAACTCCAGCTGCGGTGGAATAAAGAGAGTGAGCAGTTCAAAAACCAAGAGTAAAATATGCCTATGACTGGATTAAAAATAAGCCCTCACATGCGAAAATACTCCCAAACACAGCTAGATAAACAAATCGTAATCCCAGTTCTCAGCTGGCATCGCCCGCAGCAGTCGGACAATCCTCCCGATGCCGACTGCGGCTGAAGCCAATATTGGGGGTGGCTTCGTTGCGCTTGGCTCGACACCGTCTATACGCGTATTTGCTTTGCGGGCGATAAGTAAGGCGAGGCCTCACATGCGCGGCGGCAGAGGAGCAAGGCAGGGCGGGAGCCGGATTTTGCCTGTTTGATCCTCTTTCGACGAGGCTGGCAGGCAGAAACTGGGCTGGGCGGGAAACGGGGAGTTGGAGAACTGCGGACTGGGTTTGTGTATATGAAGGGGGGAACTGCCAGCATTGGTTTTGTGTGTAACCATTGATACACACCATATATGCCCTCTCTCAACCCTCCCATCCTCCCTCTGTATTCTGTCATTCTTGAACCATCTTCATCATAATACGCATCATGTCTCTCACCTCCAAAGTCATCCTCGTTACCGGCTCCGCCGCCGGTCTTGGCCGTACCATCGCCGAGACCCTCCTCTCCCGCGGCGCCAGCGTCACCATCTGCGACATCAACCCATCCCGCCTCGCCACCGCCTCATCCGAGCTCTCAGAAAAGTACTCCAAAGACCGCGTCCTCGCCCTCGAGGCCAACGTCGCCGACGAAGAGTCCGTCAAGGCCCTGATCGAAAAGTCCATAGCCCACTTCGGCCGCCTCGACATCGTCATCAACAACGCCGGCATCATGGACAAGTTCGACCCCGTCGGCGACTGCGACAAGAAGATGTGGGATGCCATCCTCGGCGTCAACCTTACCGGATCATTCCTCGTCACAAAGTACGCCCTGCCGCACCTGCAAGCCAGCGTAGAGGAAGCCGGCAAACCGGGCAGCCTCATCATCAACATCGGCTCCACGGCCTCCTTCTCGGGCCTCACCGCTGGAGCAGCTTACACTGCGTCCAAGCACGGGCTCATTGCGCTGACCAAGCACACGGCGGGTTTCTATGGCCCCAAGGGCATCTACTCGGTTGCGCTACAGCCGGGCGGCATGACCGAGACCAACATTAGCGATGCGTTCGCCGCGGGCATGAACGTCGAGGGCTTCAAGGCCGTCAAGGCGGCGCATCCCCAGATGAACAACGTGCCAGTCGACCATGTAGCAAGATACGTGGCGTTCCTGAGCGAGGATGGCATTGGCCAGAGTGCCAACGGGAGCTGTATCGCCTTCACTGGTAACTGGCCCGAGGCCTAGGCGTGGTAATGACATTAGTTAGAGCGAGCGATGAATAGACCAAAGCAAAAACAAATAGAGCTTCATTAAAAATTTGTCATCCAAATATTCCTTCCATTTCTTTCATTGTTCATATACATTAAAGCGCAGGCCCCCAAAGCAAATGCGCGCGCGCGCCACCTAATTATAAATCCAGCATGTGGTATCCGTGATTTATCCTCTCTATCACATCGTCGTGTTCCTTTCTTACAAAAATGCTTCCCACATCCGATTAATCTGCTTTCTCCGAACCTGCGTAACAAGTCAGTTATCGTCCCGAAGTCTTCGTTGCTTCGAAAAGGGTAGTACACATACCATAGGTGCCAACAGCACGACTCCCCAAGTGAGCGCCAATACGGTAGCAAGCAAAGTGACCTTGTTGAATCCCTTGTCCAGAATATCAAACTGGCCGCTCGGCGAAATCTGAGTTCCAAAGATGTCAATACCATATGCTACCAACAAGCTCGTGCTCTCAACCACGGCCGGCGTGGTCACGATGCCCCTAACACCAACAACATCCCGCTCGTGGCTAAGCAGATTCCGCCCATCAATAAAGATGGCAGGCGTATACCTGGCGAGGCCCTCAGCTTCAATCTCTGCTGCAGATGGGTCTCTGCCAACAGGTCGACGAGGGTCGATACCATGGCGAGTGATGCCGAGGATAGCGTGAGACTCGGGCAGGTAAGCCAAGAGCTGTCGGCTGCTGATACCTTGACGTGTCTGGGTAACGCTCAAGTTGTTCAGAGGCTCCGACAGGATCCATGTCTGGGAAACAACCCATGGAAGAGGCACGCCGGTTGGAGTATCAACGGGATCCAGGGGCGAAAATGTTTCTGTATCACCCAAAGGACCACGGTCGTTGGCTGCGGGCGACTCGTACAAGTCAGACACGACAACCTGGTATCCCTTGATGTCGCGGTCCGTGCCATCGTTTAGGGTATACTGTCCAAAGAAAGCACAGCTGTACCAGTTCTCCGACAGTGTACATGAGATATCCTTGTCGCCATCCACACCCTCGTGGACTTGGGATGCAAGCAGCTGGCCGGTAACCGTGTCTAAGAGATAGACAGAAAGGGCTGAAGCAGCGGTGTCGATGGCAGCAATGATGACGACATTGGGGTTCAGGTACTTGTAGTTGACGCTTCGGTCTCCCAACACACGGCCGATGGAGGCAATTGGGTCATGAGCAGGGGTCTTGGCAATGCTGGCAATCTTCTGGCCGGGGAGCAGCTGGAGCTGCCAAATCTCATTTTTGACAATTTCGCCATCTTGGCTGATGAACTTGACTCCCTTGATGGAATCGTCGTCCTCTCGGATAACAATGGTCTGGTCAAGAGTAAGATCCTTCAGGGCATCGCCCGTCGGCTTTCTGTCCTGTCCAAGGGGAAGCAGCCATTTGCTACCCTCGCTCTCAATTACGGCGGTAGCAGAGACGGCAGCCAAGTCGTTGCCGGATTGAGACTCGACAACTTGTCCATCGGCCACTTTGATAACAGCATACTCGCCATTGGCGCCGCGAACTGTGACTGTGCCTTCGGAATCATTGACCAAGATACCCTTCACATCCAGTGTAGAACCGGGAGCTTGAGGGAACACATCAGCGGACCAAACAATCTCGCCATGGTTTCCGGTGTCTAGGGCATAGAATCGACCACGGCGGGTGGCGACGATGATGATCTTGTTGAAGCCAAACGAGTCACGGTGAAGACCTGTAGTTTTGGACACTACAACAGCGCCACCAGTAACACTCTCAATGATTCGAGTTGGGATAGTAGCAAGGTATTCGGGAAGATACTGGAGATCGTTGATGTGGCGAGTAAGGCGGTGGATGTAGGCGTCCAACGGGTTGGTGTGTGCCTCCTCGGCCAGTACCTTGGCCAAGTTCTCGGCCTCAGGGATCTCAGCCCAGGCCGCGGCAACGGCGCCGCTGAGGCCCTCGGAGCGAGTCCAGTCGATTTGACCGTTTCGAATCAGCACCCAGTCCTGAGACTTGGTAACGGTGGCAGATCGGATAGCAAACTCCTTGCCACCGGCCTTCTTGATGACCTCGGAAACGGCGTGAACGGCCTCAACGCGGGCGTCGGACTTGAGAGGATCACGAGCCAAGACGCTGTGAGAGTCGGAGGAAACCACGAGGACTTCGTCGTTGGTAACGCGAGTAAAGTAGACATTGGCGCCTTCGGAGCTGGTAGAGAACGCGCCAAGTCCAGGGAGCAGGGGAAGCTCATAAGCCTTGGTGATCTGGCCAGACTTAATGTTGGTATGGAAGACCTCGCCCTTGTTGCCAGTGGTGGTACGGGTGTGAACCAAGAAGTGAGGCTGAGACTGGGTCAAGTGCGGGGCGTGAATCTCGACGGAGACGGTATCCGCGGGGAGCGCAAAGTCTTGCTTGGACTTTGTGCCCAGGATGTGCACATTGAGCTTGGCCAGATCGTTGCTGGCCCATGCCAGAATTGGAGCAGCCGAGTTTGCGCCGACAAACATGACATCCTGCGGTCCCTGGACATCGCCTTTGGTGCCAACCGTCAAGTGGTCAACTCGTCCTCCCGTGGCGGGCTCCAACGAGGTGACTTTCAAGCTGTAGGAAGAGGGGGATCCGTGAAGGCTGATGACATAGACATTAGAGAGGCTGGTGGACACCTGGAGAGGGATATCCTTGGAGACCTCGCGGAACTCCCAAACCACGGTTCCCAAAACGCCGTGCAGCCTGCGCAGAACCGTGACGCCATCCTCTTCGAACAAGACGAGGACGTCTTTTCTCGCGCTCTCAGTCAGCTCCATAACCTCTAGATCCTTGACCTGGCCATTGAATTCGGTCTGCCACAGGTTCCTGCCGCTCAGCGCAGCCCACGACTGGACCTGCTGGCCATGTGCAGCAATTATCCAGTTCTCGCCCTCGGGGGCCCTCAGGTGGCCGCCTCCATGGGAGATGCCCGGGAAAATCTGATGTCGCCAAACAAGAGCGCCCGAATTGGGGTTCACGGCGCCCAGGACTCCAACATCGCTGAGTGTATATAGAAGACTCGCTTTCTCGTCCTTCTTGGGCCGGTGGAAGAAGGTCGTCTCGCTCTGGGGCAGGCCGACGAGGGCGTGGTGGAAGTCGATTTGGCCAACCTCGTCCTTGTAGACAGCTGCCACGAGCGACGACAGGCCCAGCAGCAGGGCCGATTGCAGTGAGCGTCGCATATTGGCAGCTTATGTGGTGTTCATAGCTGGATGCCTCTTTGGAGCAGCTTGGTGGGCTGGATGTCGTCAACGGCCACCTTTCCCCGTTCCAAGATGACTAAGCAGAAGCTTTATCAGCTTATCGGTGGGCAAGCTTGACGCATTAGGCCTAGGATTTCAGAGAGCATCATTTGTTATGTCAGCAGTGCTGCCAGCGAAAAGAGTGTTTATCGATGCTGCATGTATCCTGTATTGACAAAAATAGTATTCCCCATGTGATTTGTTCTTTTTTGACTTTTCTTACGACTGAAAGATGCCAACTGGCACCAAGCAAAAGAGTTCTGACTGTGAGCTTACAAGCTCGAATCCGGGGTCTAACCGATCCTCCACACTCGATACTGCATGCTTGCATACCCTGCACTATCGCAAACCAGGATTTTAATTGATCACATCGAAAGCAATTCTTCAGCTAGGGCTCAAAGAGGCCCACTTGAAAGCTGATAACAACACAATAAGTTTATATAGCTTGCAGAGAGGCATAAAGTACGGGGTCAATCGCTCGCCCGGGCTAGACAGCCGTTGAATGGTGGGATAACGTCACTCCGAAGAAGTCCGGGTGAGCACCTGCATAAGTACCTAGTATTCTAGACAATTTACTATACCGATGCCAAATAGAGACAGTAGATAGTAACAAGCCGGCAGTTGAATATGTACAGGACATACAATCAACTGTCTAAAAAGAAAAGAAATACTGGAATCTAGAATGAATATAAAGCAATACTAAGAAAGGAAAGAAGAGACAGAAAGAGAAACCGAAAAGTACAGTGAAAGAATCCGTGTGCCCACTGCTAGCTGGCTGTGATCAAGCAATAACTAAACATCGACTCATCCGTCACATCACGTCAGAAAGACAAATCAAGATAACCTCAAACGTAAAAAAATGAAGAACAGTAGAAACCTCAGTCTCCGCGGATATGCTCCAAATCAAACTCCCAAGGCTATTTCTCACGCCTGACGAAAACTCGTATGATCGATGGGTTCCATGACTCTTTTTGCGTCTTATTCTTCTTTCTCTTTTGCCGCAAAACCGGATCGCACCACCGTGTTCTCCTTAGTTCAGCTCTCAACCGGGTACCTCCTGTACTCAACTAATCCTGTATAACAAAAAAAAAAAAAAAAAAAAAAGCATTCCGATTATTTCCATGTGCGCCGCTCCGTTCCGTCCTTACATCTTCCAAATATCAGCCCACCCAAGTCCGCAGTGGAGCCCGTCATGCGCAATGCAAAAAATCCAGGGACCAGGAGCGTGAAAAAAAAAAAAAAGGGTCCTCCGAAAGGTTTCTTATAAAGTAACCGGGCGCGGCGTGAATCCAGCGTCTCCGGATCTCCGGGCTGGTGTAATGGCGGCTATCGGATTGGTCTGCCCCCCAGCGCTTGCGTGTGTAAGCGCAAAAGAGGCTGCGCCTGCAGATGCGCGGAGACGTTCTGAACAGAATGGAGATGCAGCGTGGAAAAGACTAGAAGAGATTTTTTGTTCTTGGTTAGGATGGATATATAAGGGAATGACGCTGTCGTGATGATTTCTGGGTTTATTATTCGGATCATCAACACACGATAACAACAACATCAATTGTTCTTTTTTTTTTCCCCGTCTTTGTTATAGACTTGCGACCTCTATTAGACTCCGTATAGAACTATAGAGCCACACGGAACAAAACCAATAGGCTATTGCCAGCACACACACCCGAAAAAAAGGAAGGAAAAAAACAAACCTTGGAAATAATAATCAGGAACCCAAAAGTGAGACAACACGGCAGAGAAGGCAGACATCAATTCGCACCCATCCCGTGTCTCTCAAGTATAAAACAAAACTCCAGCAACTAATAGACCACACATCCACCGCAACACCAAAAAACCAAACATCACCATCACCATGGCCGCCCTCAGCCCAGAGCAGATCGCCATCATCAAGTCCACCGTGCCCATCATCCGCGAGCACGGCACCACCGTCACCACCACCTTCTACGCCAACATGCTCGCCGCCCACCCAGAGCTCAAGAACTACTTCTCCCTGCGCAACCAGCAGACCGGCGCCCAGCAAGCCGCCCTCGCCAACTCCGTCCTCGCCGCCGCCACCCACATCGACAACCTGGGCGTCATCGCGGGAGCCGTCGAGAAGATCGCCCACAAGCACGTCTCGCTCTTCATCCAGCCCGAGCACTACCCCATCGTCGGCAAGTACCTGATCGGCGCCTTCAAGCAGATCCTCGGCGACGCCTTCACCCCGGAGATCGAGCAGGCCTGGACCATTGCCTACGGCCTGCTGGCCGACATCTTCATCCAGCGCGAGAAGACGCTCTACAGCGAGGCTGGCTGGCAGGGCTGGCGCGACTTCACCATTGCCCGCCGCGAGGACGAGGCCGAGGGCATCACCAGCTTCTACCTCAAGCCCTCCGACGGTGGCCTGCTCCCTCAGTTCCTGCCCGGCCAGTACGTCAGCCTGCAGATCCCCATCCCGGAGCTCAACGGCCTGTTCCAGAGCCGCCAGTTCAGCCTCAGCCTGGCCCCCCACCAGAGCGCCGAGCAGTACCGCGTCACCGTCAAGAAGGAAAAGGACGTCGACTCGTACACCGTCGAGGAGCTCGCCGCCGGCAAGATCGCCGGCCTCGTCTCTCAGCGCCTGCACGAGCAGTACAAGGTCGGCGACAAGGTCCAGCTCAGCCCTCCCCACGGCGAGTTCACCTTCAGCGCCTCTGACACGCCCGTGACCGCCCCGATCGTGCTGCTCTCTGCCGGCGTTGGCGTTACCCCCTTACTATCCATCCTCGACACCATCCTTGACAACTCGTCTCAGGGTGCTCGCCCCGTGACTTGGATCCACGGTGCTCGACACTCTGGAGCCGTGACATACGGCAAGCACATCCGCGAGGCTGACGCCAAGCACAGCAACCTGTCCACCAAGATCTTCATCAAGAACGTCAGCGACGCCGACGTCAAGGGCCAGCAGTACGACTACGCCGGCCGCATTAGCCTGGACACCCTCGAGGCTGAGGGAGTGCTGCCTGTGAGCGATGCCTCTGCCGAGTACTACATCTGCGGTCCTGAGGAGTGGATGATCCAGACGCGAGCTGAGCTGCTCAAGAAGGGCGTCAGCCTTGAGAAGCAGCACCTGGAGCTGTTCCGCACCGGAACTGTCTAGATGAACAGCCAAATTGTATGTGTATGATGGAAGAAAAAGAATAAGAAGCACAGCTGTATAATCTCTACAGGTAGAGATTTCGTGGATGTGCGTGTCTCCTCTCTAAATTGGGCGTTGGATGTATGGATATGTATGGCAATAGCGTTGATTTTAGTTTAGTAAAAGTAGAAATAGATTTAGCATAGTATAATAGGGGAAAATGATAAGAAGCCTCATTTTTTATTTCAAACTCTGCTCGTTCGCATCTCCAAAACTGAGGTACTGATGCTGATCTACATCGAACGAGACGTACTAGGAGACAATGGTGAAAAAAGATTATTGTTTTAAAAAAAAATTATAGCCAAGCATTTATTGTCAAAAAACCAGTCTATCGTTGGTTTATTCTATTTCCCAAGAAACCCATCAACATCTATCTTCCTCAAAGTACGAACCCCTATTTACAAGAACATCTTCATGCTTAGAACAAGGCCAGGACACCGGCGATCAGGGCCACACCGGCAATGGCAGCGCCAGAGAATCGGGTCACGGCAGCAGCGCTGGTGGTGGTAGCAGCAGGGGCGCCTGATGTGGTGCTGGAAGAATCGCCGTTGCTAGACTTGGAACCTCCAGCGTTGTTGGAAGAGCTGTCGTCAGAGCCGCTCTTGACAGGAGAGGGAGTTCCGGTGGCGTGGACGAGAGTGGTGGCCGTGGAAGAAGACTTGCCGGTAGGCTTAGTGATGGCGCTGGAGGACTCCGAGGACTCGGGAGGGCAGGTCAGGTCGAATGAGGGAGTAGAGGACAGGCTCTGGCTGATACCGAACTTGACCTGGTTGGCAGGGTTGGAGTCACGCAGGTTGTACCAGAAGGTGGGCACCTTGTTGAACAGCCTCTGGCAGCCAATCTGGTCCCAGTACGACTTGGCGTTGGCGACGCTGGGCTTGGCCTCGTCCCAGTCGGGACCGGTCAGGGGCCAGCCAGTCTCGGTAACCCAGACGGGCTTGCCATTGGCAACGCCAAGGGTGGTCTGGTAAGCAGCGTCGAAGAGCTTGCCGGCGTTGCTAATGTCGTTGCCCTTGCCGGTCTCGTAGAAGGGGTACTCGTCAACACCAATCCAGTCGACAGCGTCGAGAACAACCTTGTTGGTGCCGTTGACCCAAGCATCCCAGGTATCGACGTGACCAATGGGGACGCTGGCCATGGGAGTGTTGGCAAAGGCCTTCTTGTAGTCGTTGATGAAGCCGAGAATCTCCTGGGGGCCGTTGCCGACACCAGCCTTGTTGGTTCGTCCGGTGGCTGAGTCACGGTACAGATCCTCGCTACCAATGGAGATACCGATGACGAGATCGGTGAAGTCGGTGCCGAACTGCTTGACGGCAGCGGTCAGGGCAGCAAGCTCATTGTTGATGTTGGTGGTGCCAGAGGCCCAGACACCGAGGAGGATGTAGGTCTTGGTCTTGACGGCGGCTGAAAAGGCCTCGATGGGGGTGTTTGTGGAGTAGGCCTGGATGTTGGTGTAGAGTCGGACGGCGTTGAAGGTGCCGGGGGCGCCAACAAGCTTCTGGGCGGTGGTGAACTCGGCCAAGAAGTCCTTCTCGAACTTGGCGGACTCGTCGGGAAGGGTGTTGCCGGAGTTGAAGCCGAGGTAGTTCTTCTGTCCAGCAGAAACACCGGCCGCAAGGGCAACACCAGTCGCGATGGTCGAAGACAGCTTCATGGTGAAATGTATTGATTGAATGTTACTGATGCAGTGCAAAGAGCGTGATGTGCGACGAGCAAAGTAGCTAAAGAGCGATTGAGTGAGTCTATTGGGCCGTGTTGGGCAGTGTTAAATGAAAGAACGTCTGTGGACAAGAAAATGAACGTCGCAACAAGAAAACGAGGCAATGCTAAGAATGAGAAGGCTTGCAATGTCGAGGCCAAAAAGAAAGTTGATGAGAGAAAGGACGGCAGTTTTGAGCTGCGCCATGGCGAAATTGCAGGCAGGGGGAGTGACAGCTGAAATCACGTGCATTTCAGGGACCGTGCCGGTTGCTGTAGCGGTCCCTTGGCTTCTGTCAGGTACCTGTAGCGGTGCCTGCAGCGCTGTAAATTGCAAGTAATGGTACCTGCATCCCCTGGAGGGATCCGCACTCCCCAAGTTGAAACAGGAGTGCATAGCCTCAGAGCGCCTAGCCGGATTGGGCAGCACTGAGAGCACATCTTGGATCTAATTGGAAGCTGGACGGCCATGGCCGAAGGTCACAAACAAGGGACAATACGAGGGAGCACAGCAAATTAATGATGGGAGCTGAAGTACCGTGACAACGGGGTTGCCCACTTGAATGGGGATCTGCAGTGATGATGCCCGTTTGCTGTTTGCTGATGTTGTTTTCCCTTTTCCCTTATTCCCTATCTTTTTCGTGTTCTTATGTTTTGTTTCTCGCTCTTCTTTCTCTCAAACTAACTCTACCTGAATATGACGCCATATTGTCTACCTGCTTACCGATGTTGTATCAAGGCCACTGTGAAACCATACCTACCTGCTAAATGTCCTACTGTTGCCAGATGTTTCTCCTCTTTCAGCGCGCATCTGCCCGTGCACAGCAGATGAAGCTTGTATCATAGCGCTAATAAAACCACCCAATGTGAAACCATTTGATGTAATAAGCATACGAGTAAGCAAAATTGATGCCAGTTGGTGCACTCAGGGAGAAGTCGAACGTGCTAGGGCCATGCTTTTATGGCTCGGTGCAGACCCAGGCCCCGCCGGTCGCACCAGAAACGAAACAAACAGCCCAGGCCAAATGGTTGTCGTGCTGGCAGAGACAAACAACATTCTAGTCCTACTACTAGTAGTAGCGATAATACTAGAAGTAGTATTTGCAAAGCGACCGAGATTGTCCCAATTAACGAGGAGTGAGCATTGGGCAATCGTGGCAGGTCGGCAGCTCATATAAAGTGCTGAACCCCTGCTGCTGCAATATTTGCTCTCCCTAGCTAATTAATAGGCATCTGCACCCACAACCGGCGATCCAGCGTTCTATATTAATTCTCGAAGGGGGATAAAAATAATATTGTTAGTAATAAGGGCTTGGAAATAATTTCAGCAAGGGTTAGGCGGCAGAGTAAAGGGAGAAACTGCCTCGGCCGAAACAGCACCGAGTGAAGCGAGATTGACTGCTCAAGGAGTTCACGGACCCAGTCATGGAGAAGCTTACCAGTATAGTAAAAGGTAGTAGGCAATAAACCTTTTATCTTTGCCGCCTAGATGTCACTCCGGCCCGAGCAGAGGGGCAGTATGGAGCGTTGAGTATTGTGGAATAACACGGGCGGAATTGTTAGGTCATGCAAGGCAGACGTCCGTATTTCGCACACCACGGCCGCGACGGCCGCCCCCCGACAGCCGCACACCGGAGAGCATCTGTGCTGCCGGCATCATCTTGCATGAGCTGGACAAAGGTGCCGGTATTTATGCATTGGTAGATGGGACAGCTCCTCCGTAGCGCCTGCGAGAGCCGACCCCAATGACGTTGCGCCTGGTGTGTAAGTGTGGTCGTGTGCGTGCAAACTCGTCGAAACAAACAACCGGCGACACAACTCCAGGCTGTCGTCCAAACAAGCGCGAGGCCTCACAACCCTCTTTGCATGCCTAAAAAGGCATGACTCAGCCCGGATGCGAGCTACCGGCTCCATCTCCCGCGTGGGTTTTGGCGCTTGTTGGATTCGAGCTGTGATAGGCGCGTAGACGCGCGGAAGAGGATAGATCCGAAAGGAGCACGAGCTCAGGCGAGGCAGACTTTACGTCTCATGAACTCACATCACTGTGATGCGTGCTTACGGGGTACCCCGAGCTGGTGCTGTGCATCATTCGAGTTTAGGCGGGCTCCAGGTTAGCGGCGGTCGGAGACTTTTCCACTTCAGCCCTCTACTAGCGCCTCCAGCCCCTCCCCTAGCCACCATCGCGGTTAATTGCGTGGCTGTGCTGCGTCTAACCCTGTCTAAGCGCGCAGGGGCGCTTGTTTGCGCACAACGCAACGGTTCAATTCGGATATCCGGCGACCGCGACTCCCATTGGCCGCCTCGCATCTTTTCTGCGCCATCCCCCATCATCGCCATCTTTTCCCTGCACGGCATGGCACCAAACCAGGAACTTGCAAGGGTCAGTATCTTTGGAGCGGCGTGGGGCTGGCGTGGAGAAAGTTGCCGCTTCCAGTAACTGAATCGTTATTTGGATTGATGCAACGGAGTCCAGTATTTGCATTACAGGGCCAAGACAACCTACCAAAAGGTCCTTCGACTCGACTCAACTCAACTCAAATCAACGGCAACTTTTTGACTCGGCTAGGCAAGGCCACGAATCGCTCGAATACGAGAACAGATGCCTAGCGCGTCTATTCTATCGCCCCAGCCCTGGCCATTTGCCAGCGGGCTTATGCGCATGCACAGCAGAGAAATACCGTCAAGAAACACCGCCAGAGAAACGCCGCAAGCCTCCGCGGCGCGCTTCCGTAATCCTGCCGGGCTCTGCTCCCACCCATGAAAACGATGCGGCTCGCGCTGACACCCGCCATGCCCGCCATATCCGCCATGTGTCCACATCCGCCCTGGAAGAATGTTCCTTGGCCCTGCCCTGACCTGACCTGCAAGATGAGCCCATCGATTCGGCTTAGCTCAGACCCTGGCCAGGAACCAGCGGAGTTACCATTTGCCAAAAGTGGTTCAACGACGCCTTGCTAGCTTGCATGTTTGGTGTGCTTCGCCGTTTAGCCCATTTGATCCCCTTCTCACACACCCGCCATTCCACACCCGCCACCACTACCGGCGTCTTGGTGCTGTTACTGCTGATGCTTCTAATCCTGGTATTGGTCTTAGCGCTGCAACTCTGCAGTCGATCGCTTCGGTGGATCCGGCACCAACCAGGCTTTGTGAACCATTACAGCTCTTTACGCTTCAAGTCCACTCTAAACTCCTATTGGCACCGACTATCAGGCATTGCAATGAAGGGAAAGCAGCTTTCCGGGCAGGTTCCTCGCATCTCACAGCTCCACCTTCAGGGCAGAATGAGAGAAAGCCCTATGGGGGTCGGGGGTAGACGACAAAGAACGTTGGAGCTAGCCATGTGTCCTAGTACCCGGCTTGGTCTGGCGATGGTATCAGATGGCCCTAGAGTCAGACCGACTAGCATTGCTCATTGCAAACGATAAGTTCAGGCTGCAAAGACGTGGGGAGTCTGGCCCATCGTCAGCACGGGAAGCCCACCCCATCCCATGCAGCCACCTTGAGCTGTGGACTGGACACCTTGGACCTTGTTCTCTCACCTGGTCCTTTGTTGCTCATCCATTCCCATCTCAACGGAACAGTTTACATCCGCTGACAACCGGGCCGTGTATTGGCATTCTCATGATGAACCCCCATCGACAACGCCTTGCGAAGGCTCCTCATCATTTCGAACTGAGTCACTTGCAGCGTTTCGATGCTGCGAGACTATAGACACAATAAGCTTCATCCATGTTGGTTGCAGGCAGACTTTTCCAAACCTCTCTTAACTATAGGCATCACACACACACCTATTCTTTTCAGGCATGACCGAGGCAAGGGTAGTTCAAGAGGGCTTCTGCGATAGGAAATTGGACCCTCTCACCTTTTCGAGCTTCAACAGAAGATATAAACCAAAAATCCCCGTCTTGCATCATCTACCAACAGCCCTAAGACCAACAGAGTCGATAACAACCTGCAACAACCAACAACCGCAACGACGACGACGACAACAACAACTACATCGACAACGACCCCGACAAAACCTCGCTCCTCTTTGCTCATACAAAACTTTGTCTCAACAGTCAGCCAGCAAACCCAAGCAACCATGTCCACTCCTCGAAGCGGCGGTAGTTCGAGTTCCAGGGGTTCCAAGACTCCAGAGAAGACTCGGGTAAGTTGTCATGCTATTGGTTCCCCTCTACCCCCTGGGATGTCTTGCATAAGGAGCATAAGCGTGCGTACATCAATCCATGTGTATGCAAATACTACCATGTATAAGTTATACACAAACTCTTGTATACACTCAAACTGCTGGCTTATATGCAAGACGAGGCCAGGAAGGCTTGACGATGTAAGGCAAGCACTTTGCTAACACAACGGCACAGTCATCCGTCTCACAGCTCATCGACTCGCTCAACACCCACCGAATCAACACTCTGACGGAGCTCTGCCGCATCGAGCGCATCGCCGCAACGTGCGACTCGGAGGCAGAGGCACGAGCCTTTCAGCAGCCCATGACCTCGGCCTGGATTCACTATGTATCGAGCAACCAGTTCCTCATTGAGCTCCGCGGCCTGACCCGAAACTATCCCCTGAGCGCCGACATTGTCACCGAGGCGCACCGGCGTGTTCGCTCAGACCCGGAGAGCAACCGCAGCTGGAACCTGGCGTGGCTGTGCCTAACACGGATGCGGGACGACGGGCTGGTGAGGATTTTCTCGGACGCCGAAGCACGGAAGCCGGAGATGTGGGGAGGAAAGGGCCCGAGCGAGAAGATGGTGCAGCAACTGGCGACGTGCTTTGAGGACGAGTGGAGGGCGGCGATTGAGACGATGCTGAGGCACTGGGCGACGCCGCCGACCTGGTACTAAGCGCGTGCATGAGTTTGAGCGTTGAAGTCTTTTGCATTGCATTGCATTGCACTGCGTTGTATTCTTCTCTTCTTGTTGGGGAGTGATTTGGTTTGATGGGCCTGCTTGCTTTCTATCCTTCTTTCGTTCCTTTGTCCTCTCTTTTTTGAGGGGCTGACTTTGTTTCTACTTCTGTTGTTGCTTGCTGTTTTTTTTGTCCTATTTCTGTTTCGTGTCGGTCTTTTGTTTTTGTTAAAGAAAAGCGATGTTTTGGGAGGGATTCCTTTCTTCATGGACGACGGCGTCTACATCATTCGTCTGCATCTGCATCTCTGGCGAAGAAGCAATGCGCTCTAGGGTTTCTCTTATTCTGACGTTCGCTGTTGGGGCACCGACCCCTTGTTTTTAACATGCATCTTGCTCTTCCTGTTCTTCCTCTTCCTCTTCTCTTCTTCATCACCATTGTATTCTTACATTCTCTCGGGGGGATCTTTTCTGTTATTAGACATCATTTCCTGTTCAACACATTTTGGTTCGATAAACATCATTCTTCTTTCTGCAATATACAAATTGGAAAATTTTTCTCTCCTGCCTAATGGCGTCAACTTACCATCGTATAGCCTCTTGTGAACCAATGTCAACAAATATAGAACCTTTGCTGGAGTTTAAGCAGTGCCAAGAACAATAAGTCCGGCCTCGTATAAACTGGCCAATACGTGTTTGCCCTATGCAGCAACAGATAGCATCCTTGAAATACAGCCAAGCAACTAGTCGGTGCAATCTCAAATGCAACTTCCGGTCAGACCTATGCCGAAGCAGCTACCGATACCGAAGTTGCGCGACGTCGTGCATCTTGAACCTTTTTGTGATGTTGCAGATAGTGAGCAATTTGCAAATGGACGGAGGCAGAAAGCCGAGTCGCGGCTTCGGAGTCGGGATCAAATCGACGGTTACTGTCCGTATCAATATGGAAAGCAGCTAACTGTGAATAGAACACCAACACCCAACGTCAGAGAATAGAGTCACAGCAGCCCACTATAACGCCGAGAATAGGTCATGTTGACAATTATTCGTTACGAGGCTCGCATGCGTCTAAAATAAGAAGGCTCAAAATATGATCCAAGAATAAATCAAATCAAATCAATTAAAAAAAAAAAAAGAGAGAGAGAGAGGTTGCATCCGTTGTGACATCCGGTTGTCCAGAACCGGCCGGCCGCGCACAGCGCTGACGTTGCAGCAAGTGAGTGCGTCTCTGACTCGTGCAAACTCCCAACCTGGGCAACGTAGGCCTTGGCGTAGCCTATTTTAAAGAGGGTAGATATCCATAGTATAAGCTTGTGAGTTGGTTTCCATTCGCCTTTCGCTGACAAAGGATCGAGGCTCTTGGGTAAAAAGATGCGAAAATAATAAGCGGCTGAGCTGAGAAAGTAGCACAGGGGAGGCAAGGCAAAGTGTCAGTTCGCCGCGCCCTTTGTATGAAGATGAAGATGAAGATTCTGGAAACTGGAAGCGCTGCTGATTCGTATGCCGCTTCAGTGCCTTCGGCGAGAGTGTATCGGGCAAAGAGTGGTCAGCTTTCCTGTTTCGGGTTAAGGAGCCACATCCAGGCTATGAGTCGTTCGCCGAAAAAAAAGTAATAGAGGTGACAAAACACGTGTATGAGTGTTTTGTCACCTATGCAGAGACGGACGAGCGGCAGGATTCGAGCAGATTTTTTGGAATATTTCTTCAGATTACAGTAGATACTATTCTTGTTTCGCATCTCGGATTTCGCGTTTAGAACAGATACAGATTACAGCCCGCGCTTGAATCTGTAAGACGAAGGGTCCGGACTCTATACGAGCATGCAAGAGTTGTTGAGTCGCGCTTCTTGGCACGATCCTTCATCAAACACACACAAAGAAGAAACGGGAAGGCTCCGCCCGGATAACTAAGCGCCACTAGCAAAAAAGCCAAGACTCAAACGTTTTCTCTCTTTGGTCTGGATCAGTGGTCCTGTCAGTCATTCACTCAGTCACAAAACCTCCACGGAATAAAAGCAGCCCAGCCCACTGTATGTAAACAAAAAATAGGGGATCGGCTTCGGAGCCGAGTTCGCTACTCGGGCTAAGTGGGGTGAGTGCGAAAAGCTTGGCTTGCTTACACGCTGGAAACGCTGCCCTTTTCTGGGGGAGAGAGAATCTATCCGGGGGGACTCATACTCGATGATGCCATCCTACGCCAAGCGCAACGTATGTACGTACGTACGTATATAGTTGTCTGAATGGACGTCTCCTCTCAGAAAGGGAATCTTAACGCGACCAGGAAAAAAAAAAAAAAGCGGGCTTGCCTTGTTGCGGGTGACTTGACTGGGTTGGCCTTGTATATAATTACAAAGCCTGATCCTCTTCAGTATATGTTGGAGAGTAAACGAGGCATGGATACTGCCATATATAACTCCATTGCTCGGGCTGCTCTTCTTGGAGACGGCTACTGGCAGGCCAATGCGACTAAAGCGGCGGAGTTTGGAGTAGCAGCAATGTCTTCGAACCAGGGCCAGAACCAGGGCCAGAACCAGAGTCATCCAAACCAGTATCAATATCAGACTTCCAATCCCCAATATCAGACCCAGAGTCGATATCAACATCCAAATCAGTTACCAAGTCAGAGCACATCTGCAGGGACAACTCCAGGTATGTCTCTCTTTTTGTGAACAAATACAAGTCAACACATGCTTATACATATATTCTCATCTTCTAGTCATGGTGCCACCGTCTGTTGCATCGTCTGCGACCCAAGTCAAGTCAGAGCAAGACTGCTTCGAACGCCTCGCATTGGAATTCGCATCCCTTCCAGACCGTGAAATGCCACCCGAGGTCTCGGATCCAGTAGCCGCACAGCAACAGCAGCAGCAACTCACAAACGCAGCATGTAAGTCAACCCAAAGTCTAAAAAAAAAACGCACAACACCCATCTACTTAGTATCTATGCAAGGGACATGAGCTCGTGTAAGACAGCTGGCTAACAAGAAACCCTTCGCGCAAACAGCAAGAGCACTCCCAGACCACAAAATCTCACCAAACACGCCGACAAACAACTTCGTAGCCAAAACTATACGCGCGGCCATGGCGGACATCAAACCCAGCTCGTGAATGAAAGAGTCACAAAATAGCCTGCCGGGCTAGACTATTGACCAACTGCCGCACGCACGCACAGCACGGCTCTTTTTTCTCCTCGGTGGGCTTTTTGCGAGACCGGGCAAGGATCTGCCCAGTCATCATCGGCACAACATAGCCGCCGCAATTCATTGTGTCGCAAGCCGTGCGTAATGAATTCACGGAAACAGCAGATTTTCTCAGATTGTGAGTTTTTCTTAATTGTTCTTTTTGTTCTTATCAAGCCAAGAATTGGGAGGGAATTAACACGAAAATCGTATAGGTATCTATCTATCTCTTGGCAGCCCTTGGCAACCCAAGAAAAAGCCAAGAAGCCAAGGATCGACACAAGCAGCAAAAGCGTCGGAAAAGCACCGCCAAAAAAAGAATCGGAGTTCGCCGGCCGTCCGTTTCTTAACGGCTTCGCGCCCCGGGGGTTGCAGATGACTGAAGTGGGAAAGAGAAAACCCGGTACAGTAACATGGTGCGGCGCTCGGCTTCGGCTTGGAACTATTAATTTGTGGATTTGGGATGACCAACCTGGAGAGGTTTGAAAGAGTCTGGACAAGCGGCTTCGGGGTGCCACGGCCTCCACGGCGTCCTACGGCGTCTCACGGCACCCGCGGATTTCCATGAAGAAACAGTGTCATGGGAGTCGATTCCTCTCTCATGCCTTGTTTCCTTGGTATAAAGAGGGAATATCCGCTCTGATCAGTTTTGTTTTCTTTGTCTACCTAACCTCGGGTTGCCCCCACGCACGTGGTCTGTGGATGGGCTTGGAGAGCAATACTGTAGCGCGGTGGAGATGCTGTTGTGAGTCGCTGGCACTTATACGCTGGGGCAAGATGGAGTGTATGAGTATAAGTATACAATGTTTACACGATGGACGATGGCTGTCATGATGATACTAATAGATGGTTGCAAAGAGCAATGTTCATATATCCAATAGATTCAATGTTGACAGCAATAGACTACTTACTAACCATTCATTCGATGTATACTCACTCTTCTATCTTCATGTTGCCTCTTCTTCCCCACGCCCGCTCCCACCTCGCCACATGGCCAAGCTCCTTCAGCTCCCCCCCTCCTCACACACTCTCTTTTTCTCTCTCCAACAATCTTTCCGACCATTCTTTGATGAAAAAAAGAAAAGATTTTTCCCATTCATCGCTCTATTGTATAAAAGCCTGCTTTAGCACCACCTAGCATGGGAGCTTCTCTCCAATCACAGCGGCCCGAATGGCGCATGACCCGCTGCAAGGGTAGGCGAAGGCGTCCACTAGACGGATTTTTTTCTGTTTTTTACTCGACGGGCCGCTGCTTGGCGCCGTTTGTGCTTGATTCTCGCCCTGTGATATTGGAGAAACGCTGGTGACTGATCAGAATGGACGGCGCTTTTGGTCCTGTGGTCTGTCTCAGCTCGTTCAGCCTCGGCGAGGGCATGTGTGCAGTGCAGTGCAGTGCAGCTTTTGTGACTTGTCTGCTCCCTTCTCTTCTCCTCTTCTCTGTCATCTCTTCGTTCTTCCTTCTCTCTTGCTTCCACTTCACTCACTTTACCTGTGCGATACTGTACTCGTTCGTATTCATTCTACCGTGACAATAGTCGATTAAATAGAAGGAAAAAAAAAGAAAATCAACTCAAGCAACCCCCGCCCCTCTAGTCCCCTCGTGCTAGACTGCATTCTTCCACCGCCAACTGCCTAGTACGTCCCTCCTCCCGCTAGCACCCGCCACCGCCTACCTTCTGCTTTCAGCTTATCATTTTTTTTTCTGCCCACCATGGATCATATCATAATTGATCTTGTCGCGCTCGCCGCCGACTAGCCTCTTTTTCTTTTTCTTCCTCTCTTTTCTTTTTCCTTGTCCTCTCTTGCCTCAATCCTCTTCTCTCCGTGTACAGCTACATTATAGATCTGCTCTGCTCGAGTGGATTTTATGTGCTGTCCTGCAGAATCATAGGCTTACCGGCAAGCGACTTGGAGTCTTTGCGCTTGCTGCAATCTTTAGGTGACGAAGAAAGACTCCACCAACCGGGAGATATTCAGCATCCATATCGACAACAGTGCCCCAGGAGATATACAATTACAACAGGTATGAATATGAGCATTGTCATTCTATCAAGATCTACTTCAAAACATCAAAATAGACTTTGACGTCGTTCTAACGCCACCGCCAGCAGTTGAATGACCCGCTCAAAAAACCCCCGCCTTCAACTACTATCAGCATCACCAACAGCTGCAGCTTCGGCTTCAGCTTCTTCGTCGACTTCAGCAGCTTCCTCCTCGTCTTCTCAGCCTCTCCTCGACTCATCTTCCCATCCACACATTTTTTACGGCGCCGTCAACATGACCGTCAACCCTATCGAGGCCGACTCCAAGCTCGGCTTCACCACGACCGTCGTCTCCTCCGGCTCGGGAGACAAGAACGAGGGCAGCAACGTTAACAGCCAAGCCATCAACCATGGCGACAACGCCAACAATGACGCCGCCGTCACCGATGCCACCGTCTCCCAGGGAATTCACATCCTCGAGGCCGAGTCCGTCCACTGGTGGTCCTACCTAGCTACGGCCGACTTCTGGGCCGTTATCGCCGTTGGCCAGGTCCTGTCGCTGTGCATCACTGGCACAAACACCTTTACCTCGTTCCTTGCCAATGCCGGCACCAACATCCCCGCCTTCCAGACCGTCTTCAACTACATTCTGCTCTTCCTCGTCTACACCGCAATCACCCTGTGGCGCGATGGCCCCCGTGTCTGGTGGGACATCATGGTCAAGGATGGCTGGCGCTACTTCATCATGTCCTTCCTCGACGTCGAGGGCAACTACTTTACCGTCCTGGCCTACCGCTACACCAACCTGCTGTCCGCCCAGCTGCTCAACTTTTGGTCCATCGTTTGCGTTGTCATTATCTCTTTCCTCCTGCTTCGTGTGCGCTACAAGCTGTTCCAGGTCATTGGTATCCTCATCTGCTGCGGTGGCATGGGTATCCTGCTTGCCTCGGATCACATTACTGGCTCCAACGGCGGCCCAGGTGTTGATATGGTTAAGGGCGATCTCTTTGGCCTTCTCGGTGCCACTCTCTATGGTGTTTCCAACGTTTTCGAGGAGTGGCTTGTGTCCAAGCGCCCCATGCATCACGTCTTGGCTTTTATGGGCTTCTTCGGCATGTTCATCAATGGCGTTCAGGCTGCCATCTTCGACCGCACGTCCTTCCGCGATGCTCACTGGGACAACTCCGTCGGCGGCTGGCTCGCCGGCTACACCCTCTGCCTATTCATCTTCTACACCCTAGCTCCCCTCATCCTGCGTATGGGAAGTGCTGCCTTTTTCGACATCTCGCTGCTGACGGCCAACTTTTGGGGCGTCATCATCGGCATCCACGTCTTTGGATACGTCATCCACTACCTGTACCCCATTGCCTTTGTCTGCATCATCATCGGTCTCGTCATCTACTTCCTGTCCGGCAGCGTCCTCGGCGACTCCAAGAAGCCCTGGCTGGGTGCTAACCAGGAAGACGGCGTGGCTGGCTTTGGCACTGCCAAGTTGCGTGCCATTAATGCCGCCAGGAAGGCTCAACTGGATACTGAGGCTGCTTCTACTCCTAATGTTCAGTAAACGAACATATAAGCTAATAAACCTACAAGTAAGAAGGGGAAACGAGAGAGTAATAACTATAGTAAATAATTGGAAAGAAGAAAAAGGAGGATTTGGTATATGTGAAGGGGAGAGGCAGATAGATACCCGGGTGATGCCTACTATATTATTGGCAGTCCATTTTGGATATACGATAATAAACGCTCCAAGCCCCATTTGTTCGATGCAATTCTCAAAGTCGTGACGCACCTTTCATTGCCCGATTGGCTATTTGTTCAGACAAATATCCGGACAAATCTGACAATAGCTCCTTGAGGAAGATGGACATCATATTCCTCTCCGTAGAGGGGTAGTAAATAGGGGAATGCTGAGTGTTGTGGCATTGCATATTGGCCTGCCAATTCTAGTAAATGTTTTCTCAATGCAAGAATTGTTAATACTTTATCATTTGGCTCTATTTCAGGTCACTACAATGTCATCGTCATCATCATTGTCATCATCATCCTCATCACATCCTCATCGTCACTACCACCACCGCTATCATCGTCACCACCATCACTATCGTCATCATCACCACCACTTTCATCATCACCACCATCGCCATCATCATCACTATCATCAATCACGGTCTTCGCCGAAGTGTCAACCGAGTCCTCAAAGTCAGACACCCAACCCGCAGCTTTAAGCCACACAACCTCTTCATTCGCTCCGCCATCCTGTCCAAGAGGCTCCGAGACAATAAGCGGCCTCACCACAACTCCAACATACCTTCCCTGCCGACACCGCCGTGCAGCAGGCGAGCCAACAACGTCAGCCTCGATAAAGGGGGATTCAGCGTCAAACCTCTGCTCCGCGAATCTCGATAGGCCGTGTGTTTTGACGACGGTGCGTATTTTCCAGAACTTGAGCGCCAGGTTGCCAAAGTCGAGGAAGAGCTGGGATAGGTCCTTGAGAGCTTGGTCGTCTACTTCTTTGAGGAGGAAGTGGAAGTCTTGGATGAACTCTTTCGCTTTGTTTTGTACAAGGTGTAGATTGAATGGTGTGGCTTTTGCTAAAGATTGGACGGTTTGGATGCGCCAATCGACTCCGAAGCTCTTGTCAACTGCGATGTTGAAAGTCTGTTAGCGACTCAGATATATGGCTGCCGTCGTTTGCTCTCTTCATCGCTGATTTATTTGTTTTCATCTCCAAGGTATTATTGAAGTTGTCAGCTCACCTTTGCACAGCATGTCCTCAACCTCCTTGAGCCGCCGGCGACTATCTGAAGGATCCTGGCCTTGCACTTTGGACGTTTCCATCCCATCTGCCAGAAAATAGGCATCGCGCAGAAAAGTGTCGCAAAGGGTTTCCGAAAGAACGGCTTGGAGAAGAACCATCGGACTTTTCCCATCAGGCAAGTCCATGGAGAACTGTAAGTTGGCCGGTTCAGTCATATAACTTTTGCAGTTATTGATGATGCCCATTGATTGTAGCTTCTCCTTTACCTTTTCTGGTTCGTCAACTTCCATGGAGGCCAAATCTCCGCACCATGGGAGAAGATAATTCTCATAGAAGCACTTCAGTTCGTATTTTATCATGTCGTCTGTGAATGGCCTTGAGACGCTCTTGAATAATGACGACACGTGGGTTTCGTGAGCTCTTGTAACGACTGTTTCGTTCTTTTCAATGTATTTTTGGAGTTCAGCCACTTTGGCCTTTTCGTTTTTGAGCTGAGATGAAATAGCTTTCACCTTGGACTTTTCATCTTGAAGCTGAGACGAAATAGCTTTCATCTTTGACTTTATAATCTGGAGCTGGGATGGAATAGCTTCCACCTTGGATATTTTGTCTTCAAGTTGAGATGAAGCGAATTCGATAGACTTGCTCCATTCCGCCGCTTTTTGATCGATAATTTTCTTATGCTTTGCTCTCAAACTCTCCAATTTCTGCTCACATATGTTTCTTTCTTGCTTTAGGCTTTGTTTAAGATTGTCTCTCTCTCGACGCACCCCATCCAGTTCCCTGCTTTGGGCTTCATATTTTCTCTCCAGCTCTTCTATATCTTGAATTTCGGCAATTTCATGGCCAAAGCAACTCCCACCGAAGAGTGACCATAGAGCTAGGAACTTACTCAGGCCAAAATCAAATTTCTTACTTACTGTCTGTTGAGAGGATGCAGGGTTCTCCAGCAGTGGGCTTCTTTCATTGGAGCAGGAGAGTTTCGAGTCACCATGCGGTCTTTGAGCCTCGATATCGAGATCGTCTAAATATGGAGAAATGCAATGGTCTCTCAAAAGGGGAAAGATGAAGTAAGGTTCTGTTGGCGAGTAGACGTATCCCCCATCCTAGAAATGTATGACAGTAAGTTTCAAAATGGGACAGACAGCAGCAGATTGTTTGTCTAGGATGCGTACCCCAGGTAGACACATGTCCGCCATATTGTTTGATTTCTCAGCAGAATATGCTCAAGCTTCTGCCTCAAAGTCGGCGGCGCGGAAGGAAACAGTTGGTACATAGGGAGGCCAGACTTTGATAATGATGCCCAACATACAATTAAGTGTATCCCTTTTATAGCTACGATAACCGTTCAGGCAATAAAAAACATCCGATTGCCTTATAGTGGTGACACGGCAAAAATTGGCCAAATCATATAACAACCACGGCATTTACTTTCACCACTTGACACCTGATAGGCCAAAATACGTTACAAAGCTTTGCGATGAAAAGGCAGCCATTTAGAAATTGATGCGTGATTCTAATCAGTACTTCCTATCACACCGACCAATACCAGATCAGTACGTGGAGGAGGTGTCTGCGACCAACACGCAGCATCGCTTTGCTGCCTATCCAATGCCGCAAATCCACGTAAACTTGACTTTCGTCACACGCAGTCATCATACGTTCTTTTTCAATGCCTATGGACGCAGTTGCAGCAGAAACGACGAATAGATACAGGAGAAACTTCTTCAACTGCAGCCGTCTCCGGGCGCAAATAATGGAGCGTGCATGTAAGGCTATGACTCAGGGGTTTGATATCCAATCTCATTATAATTTCAGCAAGGAAATGTTACACACAAGGGTAAGTAAAGAGTGTGCCGTGCCGCGACCTAATGCAGCTGCAAGTGACACGCATTGAAGCCTAAGTTGGGTAAACATGAAGTCAGGCTGGGAGCCTTCCCAAGGCAGCTATTCGGCATAATCGTCCCATCCTGGTCCCAAAGCCTCGGTATTTCGTCTCTACCAAATGCCAATTCTTCCTAATTTTCTTTATCTCATCAGAGAAATCAAGGCATCATCTCATTGGCCTCGAGAATACATAGACAATGGCCATCATTACCCCCCGAACCAAGCTTTTGGTCGGAATCGACTACGGAACGACATATTCTGGGATATGTTTTGCACTTTCAAATGCCTCTGATTTCAAAGATATAAATACCTGGACCAAATACCCCGGCGCCGCCTCGCATAGCGCCGAACATACTATCAAAACCCCGACAAGAGTTGCCTTCCCAGAGGAAAATGACGACCTCGATAGGACAGCATGGGGCTACGAAGTCGAAGCAGGCATGAAATCGTATTCTTGGACAAAACTGCTTCTGGACGATACTCTGCCTTCCGAGTTTGATGCCACAGATACGTATTCTACCATAAATCCTGAGATTATGCGTCTCCCCAACAATATGTCGGCAAAGGATGTTGCTAGGGAGTATCTTACGGGAATGAGAAAGATGTTTGACAAGAATATCAATCAGTTTATCGGCGCTCATAAACTGGATGATCTTCCAATGGAATTCTGGATAACAGTCCCCGCCTCGTGGAACGAAAAGGCGAAACTTCTTACAAAGAGCGCGGCCATGGAAGCAGGGTTTGGCAGGAGGGAAATTGACAGTATCAAACTCATCCCAGAGCCAGAAGCGGCAGCACACATGGCATTGAAGACCAGCATCCATCGGTTCGAAGGCTTTGTCAAGGTACGTGCTCTCAAGGGTTAGACAAGTCGAACCAGATTTTTCTAACCCAGGTTTAGCCCAAGACAGGTGTATTAGTGTGCGATTGCGGCGGCGGTACTGTGGTATGTGTACCCTATTCATGCACATGATAGACGACTTGCTGTCTTTTAACCATGACCAGGACATTACGACCTATGAGATTGAGAGGACGGAACCGACACTCACTCTCCGAGAAATAGTTGTTGGTGCAGGTGAGTCGGAACCGTGAGCCATGATTAGCGAGTCTCCTATTCAGCTAAAAGAAGAGAAAGTAGAAGAAAAAGAATGCTAACAATACCATTTTTATAGCCGGCAAATGCGGCGGCACATATGTCGATCGAAACCTTTTGAAACTCCTCTCCGAACGATTCGGCGAAGCATTTACAAGCCTCCCACCCGAAGAAATCGGACCAGGCAGCAACTTCATGGACTCATTCGAAAGCAAAAAGAAAGACTTTAAGCTGAAGAATCTGGCTACTCGGCGAGATGCCAGAGTTCAGCTGTTCATGCCGCGATTGAAGAAGACGCCCGATCTCGAGCGCTACTACGAGAGAAGATCACACTCGGTTCTTTTGAGCAAGGCTGATTTCCAAACTATTTTCGATCCAGTGGTTGACAAGATGATTAAACTCTTGGAGGACCAGATTAATCAGATTAAGAAGATGGACGAACGACCTATTGAGACTATTATCCTTGTTGGTGGATTTGGGTCCTCGCCGTACTTGAACGAGAGATTGACCGACTGGTGTGAGCCAAGAGGAATTCGTCTTACAGTCCCTGCGACCGGCGCGTAAGTCCCACTCCCATTGTCCAGAATAGATGAAATGGAAGGCTGACGAAAATACAGTTGGTCTGCTGTCGTCTGCGGCGCCGTACTGCGTGGATTAGAAGGCTCCATCGTCAGAGAAAAGAAATGCCGAAAACACTACGGCCACGCGCTCGCCAAAGTCTACAATCCGTCCCTCCACAGCAACTACAATACGAAAAGGAGATCTATTTACAAAGATGTCATGGACAGGGTTGATAGACTTACTGGCTTCATGTTCTGGCAGATTCCAAAGGTACAAAATCATCTTGCATTCTCAACACTGCCCCCCTTTCCCACTTAAATACTAGACAGACTAACTTTGCCTTCAAAAGGGCACCCTCATTGATTCGAAAACCGAAATCAACTCAGAGTTTGTCAACAGTTACAGAGGTCCCATTATTAAATCTGGAGAGCATTTTCTTTACTCGTGCGGTTTAGACGCTGCGCCAGGTACCATCGATGATAATCGTACACACTCACTCACTTGACCTGGGAGAGGGGAGAGCATATTCAGCTAACCAGATGGATATAGGCGTCGAGACGATCGGGAGAATTCTGTACACTCTGCATGACATGGATTGGTCCCAAGTCCCCAACGTCAAGCGGCTTATAGAAGAGAATGGGGAGACATGTACTGAGATTCCTCTGGTTCTCAACATTCGCCTGGATGATGAGGTGGGCCATTTGGTGTTTCGCATCCTGTGTAACGGAAGGGAGGCTGGTAAAGCAAGACTGGACTTGGATTATTAGCGAAAGAGAAGACGATGCAAAAGACAGTTGCTAGAGATTAAGGGATGAGGTGTGAAAATATTGGTCACCCAACTAGACATGCTGCGTAACCTATAGGGGCAAATAGCCTGTATAAAAGCTATACCAAGGAAGACAGAGTGGCTATTCAAGACCAACTCCAACTTGGCTGCATTTCTAACGCCTCAGCGACTACATAAGGCCCAAGTATCGTGACAGAGTGCGGAAGAGACACTGCCTACTACTGGCTAACTTGGATACTGCTATCGCTGCTTTCTTCTACTACTTGACACTATAGCTATATTTTTCTAGTATTTGATGAAATTGCTACTTTCTCTAGTATCGGACATCAAAATTATATGTCTCTAGTATCCGATACTATACTAAGCTATTCCCTAAATCATCAGTTAAACACTCAGTATGAATCCTTATCCCAATTTCACTCAGCACCAGCTAATCAAGTTAAACCCCTGAGTTCTAGGTTATACATATAAATTGCGTCTGTCAAGAAGCCTCAAGAGCGTTTGTGCCAAGAAGCCTCAAGAGCAAAGCTCAGACTGCGCACAAAGGCTTAAACACCAAAATCCCAAACAAAACACAACAACTTCAACTTAAGGCATATAGCCAGACGTTTAAAGCACCAGAGTTGCATTTTCCAGCAATACACCTAATTCAGCAACATGTCAGAGTTGTTTCACAGAAGGGCCAATATCCAGCACTTTGAATCAACAAGTAGAATCAAATCCGCCTTAGATTAGATTCTCGAAAAACACACCTATATACGTGCAGTCATATATAAAACACAAATCAAATTAATTCCCAATAACCCCTCCGCTCATCCAACCAATTCCATCGTGAAAAAAAACACCCCTTTCATCCCATAGACACATCAGTCATCCCTAGTTATAACACAAATTTCCCAATGCCCCAAAGCTGCGCCGAATATTCATTACCCGATATAGTAAGTAAGTATAATATAGATACAGTAAGTATCGTGGTGGTATATAAGATGGGCATTGTACATTGAAGCACATGTATGTTAGTTAAATGCATGTATATGCAGTTCGCTTCCTTTGAATACAAGAGGCGCTATCATTATTGCGATTCTGCAATTGCGTATCTTCGTTTATCGTCGTAGTCTCGCTCCCCCGAAGAGAGGATCTCGTTAGACGGGCGTGTTGCAATTTATTAGGCAGACCTAAGACAGGGCCGACTCCATCTCCCCATCTCCGCCCTTTCGGCCGTCAATCTTTTCGATATGCTCAACGCCGTTTGTAGCCTTGGCCGTCGAGGAGCTGGAGCTAGGCCGCCCGTCTTGCTTGAGCAAGCCCACCCTCTCGTCGTGCTCGCTCCGCAGCTGCTTCGTCTCTGTCCTGGCCAGCGTCTTGTCTTCGAGGCCTTCGATAAAGGAAATGTCGCCGACCCGGAACTTCTCTCGCATAACCTCTACGCCGGGCAAGACTGTGCCTTGCTGCGGGGGTGGAGTCACGACCAAGTGGTCGGGCCACAAGATTCTGCGTGCTTCTTCTTCCGTCATAGGAGGTTCGTCAATATCCTCCGTCGAAATGAGACTGCTCTGGTCTGAAGGCGTAGTGGATTCGTCCGAGAGATCAAAGGCGCGCTGCCGAGGCGTAGTTGGAGTGGCGGTATCATCGTCATCAGAACCCTCATTACTCCCTTCAGCAACTGGGAGCAGCGGAGGAGGGGGATTAGCCTCCTTTGGCTGAAACGGCGGCGGAGGGTCATGGGTCAAGATTTCCAAATCGTCGTCGTCGTCATGGTCGGCTCGGACCCGCCCGCCTTGTGAAGACACAGAGCCATGACGAGTCAACGGGTCGATACTGGAGGAGTCGTCTTCGTCTGATTCGTACAGCCCTTCGTCCTCTTCGCTCCTCAAAGTAATGGCGTCGGCACCATCACCAAAGCCTCTCTCCTTGAGCATGTCCGACTCTGATTTCAAGACCTTGCTTTCGACCCTCTCGTCTTCTATCGAGGACCGCCCCATGCTTCCCCAGCGCATCCGATCCGCACGGAGATAATTGCGCATGATTTGAAGCTCATTTCTCTTGTACGTCTCGTAAAAAGCTCGGTTGATCCTGGCCGCGGCTTGCAGATCCTCTAGATCGTCCATCTCGCTAAGGATCTGTAGGCGAATCTCTTCTGGAAATTCACTGACAACACTGTGGATCTTCTCGTGGGCGGCCATCCGATTGAGACCGGCGGTCAGCAGCATTTGCGGTTCTGATATCTTGTGCTTTGAGAGCGCCCAACCGTGGCTCTTGCCGCTAATATCAAATAGAGTTAAGCCGGTAACACTGTTGTAAATGTCCGCTATTGCAGCACGGAACGCGGGAACGGGATCGCAGACGCTCCCGGGGTGGAGAGGCGCAGGGGGGCTCGGTGTTGAGCGGAGTGTTTCCATCATCTGCGCCAGGCTCTTGGATGGAGGACGGGCATTCGGAACGTGCGACATGATGGAAGGCTGCACAATGGTAGACAGCAAGCCCAGCTCGTTGTACACCAGCATCAACCACCCTAGATTTGAAGCATCACACCAATGGTTGCCTTTGGGACATCTCGGTGTGCTCGTAAGTGCCATGGCGGGCTGGATTGGCGAGGCTAGGTGGCTATCGAGATCAGAAAGGGATATGTGTTGCTTTTCTTCTGTGGATGAATCCTGCTCTGGTGGGCGGATGTACTCTTGTATTGTGTTTGCGCAGCTCGCGTAAAGCTGGTCGACCTTGGCGCAACGAACCGCCCAGATCTTGTCTCTAATCTTCTTGGGCCAAGGTTTGCTGTGCAGATCCTTTTCATCCGCAAGGTTGAGTATCGCGCTCTTGGACATGCGGGTGAAGAGTTGCCGAAGCCCAAATGCATAGCTGATGATGAGAAGTCCGTCAGGCATGTCATCGGCTCCTTTGTGCATCCACTGTGGCAGCCATCTATGCTCCACTACCATTTCCAACGGTGACGTGCTCTTGTACCTGAGAGAGCACTCGGCAATGGAAACGAATTGCTCAAAGGTGACATCCCTGGGAATCTTGTCGTTGTGCATGTGGGCGGCATGGAGCAGGATTTCCAGCGAGCCGTGGTGGTTGAACTCTTGCTGTGGCATCCGATACAGCTTGACTTCGGACCCATCGTCACAGAAATACGGCACCGGCGGCGGCGGGAGCTGATCGCCAATGTCGTCAGCCTCGTGCAGATAGTAGCTGCTCGCGTGACCAGAGAACAGCCGCGCAAAGATGGGTGACGTCTCTGCTAGCAAGGCGGTGGAAACGCGGAATCGCAAGGCCGGCTCGTTGCCTGTAGCGTCAGGCCCTAGATTGGCGAATTCGAGTACAGCGTCTCCACGGGGCGCAATAGCAAACTCCTCAATGACTCTACTCGGTGAGATGCCCGACTCTCCTGCTTGAAGAAGCTTTCGGATATCTCTCAGCTCCAGCTTGACCCGTTCATAGTTTCTAAACCGAATTTCATATCGCGGAAACTGCACACATCAAAGTTAGACCAAGCTTTTCGTAATTTCTCGTGGAAGATGAGGTACTCACAAATTGAGGGTCGGCGGACAAGATCTTGGTGACGCTTGCGTTGCGCATACGATGGACTGCGTCTCTCCTGAATTTCTTGCTCGTGAATAGGGCCTCGAGCATCTCAGGTGTGGCGTCTCGTTCATAGCTCGTGTACGTCTCGGTAAGGCTGGTCTTGAAGTGTTCGGCCAGCACCTCGAGGCACGTCTTCCAGTCCCGGATCGGCGTGAGCCACATGTCACCACCATGACTCTGACTCCTGCTTCCGCCGGCTGTGATGACCTCGGCTAAGCTGCGGCCACTAAAGGAACTCCTCTGGTCAAACACGGCGCTCGGGCTGCGAGGTGTGTCTGCGGATGAATCCTGGCGAGTCAATGGAATGGGTTCGGTAGCGGCGGCATTGGAGAGAGTGCGAGGCGTCTTGATCTCCTCTCGAAGGATCGCATCGCAGAGAGCAGCGCATCGCTCGTTGATCTTGGTAAACTCTTTGTAGGCGCCGTCGACATGGCTAGGGCCGGAGGGAGCGGCCCGCATGCGCGCAACAAGACTTTGTAGCTGGCGGTAATTGGATTCGGCGGTTTCATGGATCGAAGAGATTTCGTGGATGGAGGGCTCGTGGGTTTCGGTGTCGACGGATGAGCCGCCCTGTTTGCTCTGTACAACATGTTAGCCTCATATTGTTAAATGCTGCGGCGACGATGCGGAGCGGCAACGTAAGCAGCGAGCAACGTTGGCCACTCCATCTGGCGATGCAGTAGACGGCCAGACAAGGAAGGGGACAGTAAGCACAGAAAGTCGGGAGGGGGGTAGAAAGAGGCCAAATGGAGGAGAATGGAATGCCAAAGACAAAGATCGGGTCAACGTACAGTATAGCTCTTGTCATCCTTGCTGGCGCCGCTGATGCTGCCGAATTTGCTGCGGATGGCCGAGGGGAACCGCCATATCTTCTGCGACGAGCCGCTGGACGAGGCGCCGCCCTCGCTGTTGGTCCGGTGAATCATGTCGGCCTTCATGCGGGTGCGGGTTCAGAAAGAGGCGAGATGGAATTGGACCTTCGAGCGGAGGCGAGAGAGGAGGAGAGAAGAGAGTAGGAGGATGGGAGAGAACTAGGAGGAGAGAGATAGAAGGCGGGAGAAGGCGGGAGAAGGCGGGAGGCAGAGAGAGAGAGAGTAGAGGTGGTGATGGCGACGGTAATGGTGGTGACGATGGATGGTGATGCGCGTCGCACGGCAAACAAAATGGCAGCGTCAAGCCTCAGTGTCCACGGCAGCGTCGGCGCCAGCATCCGTCGGCAGCATGATTCCGCAAGTGACGAACAATCGCGAATCGGAATGGCTCAGAACGAGATGCGCCTGCGTGTGCCGTGCCGTGTCGTCCAGGTTCGTTCGTTCGTCGGGATGGGATGTTCGAAGTTCGGGGGCGGCTTTAGTGTCGTGGGATCGGAGACATGGGGAATCTGGGGTAAGAAAAGCGGGATGTCGCAGACTTTTTGCACTGGAACACTAAAACTGGAGGTGCAGAGCTAGCGACTGAGCAGCAGGGGGGGCGACAAGTGTTCAGTGCTGTGTTGTGCTGTAACTACAGTGCAGTAAGATTTGCTGATGCGCCACACGCACGCTGTAATACAGCAAACAGCCCTGGAGGAATCAAATGCCTGTCCTGTCTGCTCCAACGGGATTATCGTCGTCACTGTGTAAGAAAACCCCGATGCTGCGTATTGATGTCGTGTCGGGTATTATCATGTATGTATCAAGGTGGACCTGCAAGGGCAAGGGGGGGCGAAAGAAATGGAAAGGTCCAGGCCGGGCTCTCGCTGCAACAGGCACATTGATTCCATACAACACCAGCAACTCATCCAAATACTACTGCACCTCAGCTTGCAGCAGAACCTATGCAGGCCCGTGATGAAAACGCCGTGCCGCGGCTGCAGGACCAAAAAAGGGCAGAAGCAAGGGCCGCACGTGAGCAGCCGTTAGGCCGGACGAACCAACGGATTCTTTTGTACACGACTCAGGGAAAAGGCCAGAGGGAAAAAATTAGTCGGGAGGATGAGGAACCAGGGGAACGAAGCTAACGTGGACGGCAGAAGAAAAAAAAAAAAATAGGGGACCACCAAACAAGCTTAATTAGAGGGGAAAAGGAAGATCAATGGAACATGAAGTTGGATGTGCGTAGATAAGTACTGTAGCATCACATAGAAGCTACATGGAAATGCGACACAATGTTGTTACACATCCGCTGATTTGGTTTCCGTCTCTATCTATATATATGTATACAGACACACATGAGAGAATGAGACATACGATGAAGAAACAAAGAATCAGAAAATGATCAAAGGAGAGGCTCAAACACGAGCTAGGTAGCTGCACATTGCACACTGCAGATACGGATACGGGACAAAGACTGCCAATTATAGCACCCCAACCTAACTTCGCAAGACATTTAAGCAACGGATTGGCTTCAACTAATCAACAGTTGCCTAGAAACACCAAACAGGTGCCTTAGTATGAAACACTGTTGACTGGAGTACGAGACAACATAGACAATCGACATATGATGAAAAGTAACAGATAGATACTCCGTTATACAGCATATCGAAAGTATTGATGTCATCACTCCCCGAATCCCGTAAGGCATCCATCCATCCACCCAGCCTTGTTCCAAGAATAGCATCAGAATACGATCGAAATAGGCATCACCACAATCGACATCACTTCTCCCGAATCTCAAACCCAATCACAACTCAACAATTGGGAGAGCCTCATAAATTGTACTTACTGGCTTCTTATCCGCGGCACAAATTGCCGGGCCATGATGCATCTAGACTCTTTCGCATCCCGTCACCAACGCCTATAGCAATCAATCACATGGCTCTTATCAACCAACCAACAAAGCAATACCTCTTCTCTCAATCTCAAAAGCCGTCAATACACCAGCATCAAGGGTATGAACAAGACACAGTCTATCCATCAAGCGAGTCATTTCATACAGTTTATTAATAATTGCGTTGCATGTATCTGTTTTACGCTTTCATTTGTCTCAGGCTGTCCATAATCTTTCTCAATGCTTTTGTAACATCCATCTATGCCGCTGGGTTTGTGCTTTGTGCTTCCTGCAGGAACAATGACTAGGAAAAATAAAAATAAAAACGACGGAAAAAAGTGAAAAAATAATCGGAGTTCCAGCCCTTTCCCTCTTAGATGAGTGTTTCATTGATGCAAACGCCTTTCCACCCGGCCATGTATATGTATCAATCCTCCTTAGTCCCCCCTTCCCGTTCAGCTCATCCCGGATCCTTTGCTGTGTGACGTGTCTCATTCATGGAGCTGCATTTTCTGTCCTTTCTTTTTTTGTACTTTTTTGTCTTTCTTCATGCTTTGGTTTTCGCTTCCCACAAGTCTCATGCGTCCAGGGCCATACGTACACACATGCACCACAATTCAATCTTTCCGCAATGCAAATTCTCACAGAGACAGATCCTGAATAACGAATGTCCAAGCCTTCCTTTCTGCGACTGTGTCGTCTTTCGTCAGGAATTGGCATTGTACAAGCAGAGCGTCGTTCCCTCCCTCCCTCCTAACAAAAAAGAATCCGACGCTGATTGTCGCATGCATGCCATGGGCGATTCCCTATCCAACATCGCCACCATCCTCCTCCTCATCTCATAGTTGAGGGAGATGAGCTATCGAGCTTCCTGTAGCTGTGGTATCACTTTCGAATTTCATGCCGCTTAGTCTCCGGTACCCCCATGGAACATGTAAAATAATAAACAAATCGTCATCGTCATCGCTATCCGAGATGCATATTCGCGTATTCAACCTCCCTTTCGCTCCGATTCGCTCTTTGGTAACTGCTCCGGGTGTGAGTTTGGCGCAAGCCCACTCGATCCCTTCTTCTTCCCTTTACCACCAGCCCTCTGCCAGCTGCTATCACTCTCGCTCTTGGCACTCCGCACATGACCGCCATTCTCCCGTGGCGCATTGTTACGCTGGTTCTGGCTAGCCGACTTCTGCGTCTTGGACTGCTTCTGAGCCTCCGGGGCTGGCTGAAGCTTGTCCTCTGCCCTGGGCGCAGGCTTGGCCGTCTCGTCGCGCGTTGCCTTGGCATCTGCCTTTTCACGAGCAGTCTTGCCGGCGACGGGTGCGGGCACATCTGGCTTTCGCAGCATTGTCGGAGACGATGTCTGCGCCTCGTAAACTGGCGACAGATGGGCCTGCTCGACACCCAAGCCTTTACGGTGGTCGGCTATGGCAAGGTCCAAGGGGGCAATAACGCCATTCTGAGCCTGCCTGGACATGAGGCGCTGTTTCGCTTGAAGTGGCAGCTGTGCCATTTCGTTGGCTTGCAGAATATCCTGCGTCATCCCAAATGAACCTGCTTGATACGAATTCATCATTGCGACCCTATCCCTGAACGAGGCATCTTCAGTAGAGGGAACTGCCGGCTTAGCATTGGTGCCGTTGACAATAACTGGAGGACGATCCGCCGCCACCGCAGGCAAGGGGGGAGCGGGTGCAAGCGATGGCATCAGTTGGCCATTTGACGTGCCCGCAGCATTCGTATTCTTCGTTGACGGCGTCGAATTGATATGCAGCGCGTTATCAATCTTTGCAGTGCCACATTCCTCAGATGCCGGGGGCTCTTTTTGCGCCTGATTTGATGCAGCAAGCATGCTAGTCTTGAGCCCGGATCCATTTACAACCACAGGTCTCGCCAAGTTCTTATTCTGAGCCTGACCGACACCCGGGAACGGAGCCGAGGCGAGGGGCGACGAAGCAGTCGTCCCGGTTGCCATGGCCCGACTGTGGTCGAGTGGCGAGGGTGACCGCGACGTTCTCCTCATCCTCCTGTCCAGAATGGTTTGGGGCAGCTGATCCGTAGACAGCCGACGACGCCTGGGACTGGATGACTGATTGACAACATCTCCAAAGGCAAGGCCGTTTGCAGTAGGGCTATGGTTCTGGGGGAGTTGTGGCTGGCCAAGACCCGAGCTCCGTGATCCCAGGAGCCCGTTTGACCTGCCCTCATCGGACTGCGGCGAGACAGAGGCGGCCTTGGATCGATCGTCAAGATCGGCATCGTCGGAGACGAAGCTGGGAATGGGCACGCCGTTCATTTGTCTCGGAGCATAGCCTGGTGCACTTGAAGGGCCGGTCCCAGGGGTATAAGCCGCCCGACTGTGTGCTCCAGATGGCGATCGCGAAGGAGGCTGGGACTGCGATCTCAACGAGCTAGATGAAGCCGAGAGACCGGTATCCGATGCAACGTTGGACCTCTGTAAAGGGCGACGGAACTCTTGCCCCATGCCGTTGGACGTTACCGGCGAAGAGGGATAAGTTCCATAGCCCGTTGCCGTCTGCGCGTAAAATTGTTGATTGATGCCCATGCCGTAGAGGGCGTACAGTTCAGGCCGCATCGTAGTGTTGATGGGTGCGTTGTCAAACGAGTTTGTTCGAGACCGATCGGTGGCCGTCTGCTGGTTAGATGAACCGGTATTGGGGGACATCCTCTGCTGGCCCATGGCTTGATGAGCCATGAACGCCGGCGTCTGCTGCGCATAAAGGTGCTGCAGCTGCTGGCGCATGGCATCTTGGTAAGCCGCCATCTGCATCAAGTCCTGCTGAGCAAACGGAAACGGGTACTGGTTGTTGGCTGCGAACCACATGTCTTGCGTCATGTTGACGGGCTGAACAAACATACTGGGGTCGTAGTTGGGCGTGGTTGACGACGCTCTCCTATTATTAGAGCCTCCATTACGGTGGTAGTTATTGCTATGCCGGCCGCCGCGATGGCCACCACGACCACCTCGCCCCCCAGAATTGGATTGCGAGGAGCTGCGCAGCAGTACGGGTCGGGACTGCGGGGCCGGCCGAGACCAAACCCTCTCTTCCTCCTTTGGATACACGTACTGCTCACAGGCCTCTTCGAGCTTGGCAGCGGAGATCAAATCGAATGCTCTTCGGAGCTCCAGGTGAAGACCGCGGAACGAGTATTCGTCTGCCGTATTGCCAAGATTGCGAGACGTGTTGAACGGCTCCTCTACGCAAAGCTGATTGTTCATAGCATAATGCCACTTTTTCTCTGGCTTCGTGATTAGCTTGCCCTGACGCACGGAGAGGACGTGCTTGTCGTAGTCGAATTCGTGAGCATAGAATCGAAAGAATTGGAAGAGAAGCTCTGCCTCGCTTGACTTGTTCTTGCTACCAAACCCCTTGATCTTCTTGAGGTTATCAGCAAAGTCGCTGACGGTTCCATCAGGTTTGGTAGTCTTGTGCGGCAACTGGTGCAGCGCTGGCAAAACAGGAGGGTTCCTCAGCTGCAAAAACACAATGATGAGACATATCCAAGTGTAGGAACTCAGAGTACCTCCAAAAGCTAGAATCAAGTTAGAACAAGAAGATTCAGAAGATCACAGTGAAATCCGTCAGATTTTCGCGTTAGATAAAGGGAAACCATACCGGCATCGTTGACAATTCTCCTCCGCGTCCAGTGCTTCAGGATCATTGCCAACATTCGCACACGCGGGTCAGCTTCGACGTATGTGCGCACCATGCGAGTGTTCTCCAGCGCCAACGTATTGTTGACGTTCATGTCACAAGCAAGGCCGAGCTCGGGATCCCAAATCTTCACAATGGGAACCTTGGCTGCAGAAATGCAGACAACCTTTTCCATGCCCCCTATTCAAGAGGAATTAGCGTCGTTGTCAAGAGAGGGGGCTATCGGTTAACAACGGCGACGGGAAAAGAGTAACTTACGTCGAGCGAGAAGGTCGGCTATCATGCAAACATCCTCCATCTCGTGCCATGATGTTGTGATGCAAATGTCAACTGGCATACGTGTGTTAGAGAGGTTGTGATACCCAGCGTTAAAAAGATGGGGAGTGGGGAAAAAAGGGAAAATACATACCATCAGAGTCGTCCGAACATAGAAGATTACCAGACGATCCAAACAGGTGCACCTTGATGTCATGCCCTGGCCACTCGGTGTTGAATATCGTCTCCAGCTTATTCACCAGCTTCCTCCTATTTTCCTCAACCTTTTCTGTAGGCAATAGCTTGTTATAGATTTCATTCATATCTGCAGCCAACTGCTTCTCTTCGCTCTCCGACAGCTTGCTTTTGACATTGCGCAGATCCAGCTTTTCCAGGCGCTCGCTTCCGACCGAGTAGGGTATCCTTCTTCTCGAGTTTACCTGCGCGGTCTCGTATTTGCAACCCCCTAATCGCGGGGGTAGCGGCCGCAACGAGGGCAGTGCGCTGTTGGTTTCGGAGTAGGCTGAGCGCGGCGAGTGGTTGTTGCCGGCATTGGGGGATGGCTCCCGGGACTCAAAGGAGAACTGGCGGGCATGCTGATGGGGTGTAGAAGGCACGGAGCTAGAGTGGGAGAGTCCGTGGGGCGATGAGGACCTGGCTATCGCTCGATGAGGCAAGTTTTTGGGCAAGTCGGCCGCCAGCTTTGCAGGCATCTTGGGCGGGACCTCTTTGGACGTTATAACCGGGCGGTTCTTGTCTGAGCCCTGATGTGCGCGGCTCCCATGGCCTCCAGTTGCGCTCCCCTTGGCGGTGGTGGCACTATCCCTGAGCGATGCTTTGCTAGAAGATCGCGACCTTGGCGTGGCCTGGACGTGAGGAACGGACACGATGGGAGGAAGTGGCGCGGACTGTAGGCCACCTCCTCTTGCCGGGGAGATGAGTTTATTGTAATGGAGAAGCTGGGCCTGATATACGGACTGCTGCGGGAAGATGAACGGGAGGAAGCCGATGTGGGGAGTAAACTGTAGATTGTTGACCGCGGCAGCAGAGGCAGAGTCCTGGGACCCGTCTGGGAGGTGCGCCGTCAGCCCGTTTGGAGTCGTCGGTGTTGACGTCCACGGGCTTGGGGGGTAAGAATGCTGGGTTTCGGACGCTTGGGTCCGGGCGTCCATGGAACGAGGAAGACTCCCGACTGTGTAGATGCGAGTAGGCCGCCGAGGCGACGTCTGCAGCTGACCGAGATGGACGCTCTGGCTTCGTCGGTGACTGGATCGGTTAACTGCCGCTGGGGGTGGGCGGTGCGACGGTTATTCGAGGGGTGGGCTGCGATCTGTGGTTGCTTCCGCCTGCCTTGTCAAGCGCCAAGGGGCGGGACGATCAGAGGAGCGGATTGTGCAAGGCGAGAAGGGGAGCGGTCGTAGCAGAGTCAGGATTCGAATAGCGCAAGGACTGGCAGGACTTGTGTGTTGTGTCTCTTGACGACGGACGAAAGAGAGGAGAAGACAAGAGACGGATGGATGAATGCTTTGCGGGCCCACAGATGGGCGGCAGGAAGAATCGGCGACGGCAAGGACGCGGGCCCAAACTCGGTGGAGAGAGCGCGAGTATGGGAAAAGGCAGACGGTATCGCGAAGAGGACGAGACGAGCCACTGTCGAGACGGGAAAGCTGGAGGAGGGCGAGCGATTGAAGACACAAAAGGGGGTTTCGCGGACGGGCGTCGAGGGAATTGCTCTCGAGGCGTCTGGGGCGGCGGCTCGCAGGACAGAGGCAGGCAAACAACAGGCGCGGAAGAAAAGGAACAAGAAGAAAAGAAAAGAATGGTGATGACAAAACAGAGGGCCGACGAAGTAGAACAACGTCGAGAAGCCGTCCGCAAGCCGTTGCTGCTGGATGGGGAACTTGTGAATGCAATGCAGGTCAGCGAGCGAAGAGAGGTGAGGTGTGGTGCAAAGCCTCCACTTGGCTGTGGTGGCACGGAGTAGCGGTACTTGCGAGCCCGCGACGCAAAGTAGCGGGTACTCGTAAAGCGGTGGAGGTAACAAGTACGAGTACTCTTACACCTGTACTGTGCTCGAAAGTGTGACTGTGACTGTGACAGCTGCCACCAGAACTGCTGCCCGTAGCGGTATAGTTGGGCGGTGCTTTGTGCTGTGCTTGGGTAAGACAGTGCGATTGATTTGCTCACAGCAGACTTGGATACGTTCATGCAAAGTTGAATGGTGCTACTTGTATCAATATCAATAGATTGCCCATCAATCACCGTATAATTACACTACATATACACTAGATCATCAGGCAATCTTGTTCCAGTTGACTCTCGACTTTGCCAAAGTGTGTCCGGCCACCCACTGAAAGGCTTAGTGGATCAATGTCTATGAGCCAGTCCAGTTGGGCCCTGCCATTGGACTAGGCGGGAGGCAGGCTGTTGGCGACAGGAGGCAGACGAGACACGCTGGGTTTGCTAGGCAGGCCCTTGAATTTCCAATTCAGACCTGCGGCGGGCTCCCGGGAACCAGGTTGGGCAATTTCAGTGTCGAGGCCGTGCAAGACAAGACAAGCAGATTCACTCGATCAGATGATTCATTCATCCATACAGTCAATTGTACGAACAAAAATAAGCATCAACCAGACGCTATTGAAGCATCTAGTAACGAAGCAATCAATATAGTTTGGTGCCTGGTCGCTCAGGCAGAGGGTTCGCGCCGCAGGTGGTCCATCCATCAATGTCCCCAATCCAATCAACTTCACAGGGCGCAAGTACCGGTACCTCCTCGCACCACCTAGGCCCTAGCGGGGACCTGCCCAGTGGTTCCAGTTGAGGTCAATGACGGGCCCCGTGTTGAGTGACGCCAGCGGGTGGTCGGGACCCTGTACATTTTCGATGAATCAATTCAGTGCAGGTTCCAGGTCCCAGTCCAGGTAAACGCGGAATCGACAGCTGCCGTGCGGTGCTTCTTAGGGGGTTCTAGAGAATCTGCTAGTCCGGTCTAGGTACCTGGACCTGCCCGTCTAGGGCTATGCCAGAGCCACTTTCTGGAGGACCATCGTCGCGTACTCGTACCTACCAGGTACTGCTGCGCGCTTCAGGTCGCTCAATTCTGGGTGCTCCAAATTGAAGAATTTCGCCAATCTCGCGTGTCAAGATGAACATGGCGCCGTTGCAGATGCTGCTAATTTTGTATCCGCGGAGACGAACCTGGGAGAGTAGAGAAGCAGGCTTATTATAGCAGCACAGCCCATATCAAATTTATTCAAAAAGACGGACGGCATGATCATGATGACCAGTTCCAATACCCGTGTGAGCATTACTAAGTGGTCATTGGCGCTCGTACGAGCAAATGTCGAACACGGGGTCCCTTTGATTACCTGGTACATGCGAGGTACCTAACCCCCATGCTCCAAACATGTTCTCCGTCCCTCAGGGGAGGCCGAAATCACTCAAACTGGGGAATTTCCATGGATGCCAGAAACAGCATCCGCCAAAACTTGGAAGCTCTTCCATGTTTGCTTCTACCGTACCGTGCTAGTATCGATGTCGACCATAAAATGCCACTTTCAGGGTCCTTTCCGTACCTGTACCTATCTAAGGATACAGTAGCTGGCCAAGGCTCTGCTGCAGAGACCCGGCACTCCAGTATTGACCTTGCTTGCTTGCCTCGGGTGTCTCCGCAAGACACTTGGCCCCCGTCATCCGTTTCTACATTTCGAGTTGGAGGGGCAACAGCAGCTGGCATGAAGATACTGGACTTAACTGTCCATCCGACAGCATAAGGTACCTAGGTACTTTAATCGTACGAGTACATACAGAGCAACATCGCCCAATAGCAATCTCAGACCGCCTGGAATTAACTCGACTGCTCAGTTGATCATATGAATTGATGCTAAATCCGATGGAAGCTTTGGCGCTATCCCTATTACCTTAGTAAGGCGAAGCATTGATCTTGGGGCTCGTACCGAGACATGTACCTTGTCTTGTTACTGTACGCGCTACCTCGCCCGTGCTAGCAGAGACGCGTTTAATTCATCAGATGGGATTCAATTCGATCATCGCTCGGTGCTAGGGCACTACTTCACATGCTGGCGCGCCACCGCCCATGGCTTCAAGTACAATGATATTGTGGGAGATGCGCCACGTGATTGTTTGTCCACGGCGCGGGCAGTTCCCGTCGTGACGCAGAGTTCAGCCGTACCGCAGCAAAAGATGGGTACTAGAGTTTGCTCTAAGGTACACACAGCATATTACCTGTAGTATTGACATTTCATACCATGAATCAAATGAATGACTGTTGGTCAATTTGCTCCCAACAATATACGGCACACTATCGAATCTGATACATCTGCACGATACTATTAGCAGAGCAACTGTCTCCCTCGCACGACACCAATGAACGGCTATGATTCCATAAAATAGGTCAGTCCCACCAGGTAGTGGCTGGCTGCTCGGCACGACTGCTAAAATGACCTCCTGGGCTGGGTAAATGTAAAATGTACGAGCACTCGACGGTAATGAGCGGTACGGATTAAAAGTACAAGTACGAAGACTTTCGCCTGTGCGTGGTAATGTACCTTGCTGGGTCTTACCAAGGGGCATTTTTAGCAGCCGGAAACACGGGATCCCGTAGTAGCCAAGGTTCAGGTTGTTGAATGACGGTCCATGTTTCTCAATCTGGAACACGGAGGATTAGCTCATTGAAGGGAACACGAGGGAATGCCTGTGCCTTTTTCGATGTGCCAGCAGGAATGGCGGGCTTTCATGTGATGGTGCCAGTGCTGCTCTACTACTCTACAATCGATCCGGGTTGACATGTTACCTTGTGATGGATGATGAATGCCGAATAGATGGAGATATTGGTGGTATTATGGCATACGTGTACATCTGCATCAATGCCCCTAATGGATACTACCTCTACTGTATGTAAAGTAGACAGTATCAATACATGTCGAATTGACACCAGGTCTTGTCAGCAAATGAACCGCCGTCAAATGCCAATGTGGCCCAGCATGGATATCGGTTTGGCAGGTGGAATTGAACCCCCAAAATGCGACGTTTGTTTTGCCGGCCATTGGTGAAAGCCCGCCGCATCCGCATGCATGGAGATGCAGTGGAGGGATTTTTATGTCCTACTGGATACTAAATGACTGCAGACAGATGGAAGTGGAAGTGCTGTGCCGTACATCACGGATATGACGAAGCCAGCCGTCATCTTGGCCTCTTGAGCGCCTCAACTGCAATAATTGATCTGGCAATAATACCCGTACATACAGACTGAGGGCCTAGTGATCCAGCTCCGGTGCCAACGGGCTTCATGTGTTAGGTATCGGTACAGGTATAGGTAATGTAGTCATACTCCAACCTTGTGCAGGTACATGTAGATAGACTCATTCAACTCCTTTGGGCCAATCCCTCGCTGTACCATACTTGCCTACCGCAACCGCACCGCATCGTACCTGCGGCTTTAGTGTGCACACCATTTCAATTTTACCCCATCAGTCACATCAATCAATCCATCCATCTCCAAAATCACCATCGTCGCCCTTCAACCTGTTTTATCCGACCCGCAAACGCCTCAAATCCACTGATACTTCAGCAAGCTCGCCTACTGTCAGTACTTTAGTACCTTGGGCCCTCAAGGTGCAGCGGGCATCGATACGAGCTTAAGCCACCAAAGTTGTTATACGAGCTGCAGACGACAGACTACAGAGCGCAAAGAACTCGAGTGCGGCTGCTGTTGCCAACAAGCGCCATCTGCGGCCTTGATACGACCTGCTGGTGGCAATCATACACTCTGTATCTGCAGTGCACAGTATCCCATCGCTTTCTACCTTGGCACTCACTCACTCACCTCATACGCTTGCGCCCGCAACCCCAGCCTGAGCCCTTGCAATGGCCTCGATTCGGATGTTTCTTTTCTGGACTCCCTCCAGCTCCACAGGTGTAACAAGCACCCCAAGGCGGCTAAGCTAGTGTGCAACGGGTAGGCCGTCACCCGCTCTGGGGAAGCCCGAGTGACGATGGTGACTGTGACAGATGCATGTGTGGCTATTTTCAGGTATCTATGTCTGGCCTCTGGCTGCCACGATCTCCAAAGGTTGCCTGCGCCATTCTATTCTTTGTTCTCTGTTCACTGCTCACTGCAGGTATGGTATGGTATGAGCTACCTGCTGCGGGT